AGGGTCTTGCTCTGTAGTTCAGGCTGGCCTCAGACTCAAGGTGATCTCCTGCCTCAGCCTCCTGAGTGCTGGGATTACAGGCATGAGCCAACACCCTCAGCCTAACCTCTTTTTTTTTTTTTAATATTGTGAGATAGAACATATGAATATAAAACATACATTCTGCCTTTTAAAAAATGGAAAGCAAGCTGGATGTGGTGGCACACACCTATAATCCCAGTATTCTGGGAGGTGGAGGCAAGATGATCGAAAGTTCCAGCCCAGCGTGGGCAACTCAGTGACTTGAGATCCTGTCTCAAAATTTAAAAAAAGGGGGTTAGGGATGTAGCTCAGCATAAAGGTCCTGGGTTCAATCCCCAATATCACAGGAGGGAAGAAAAAAGCAAAGCAACCATTCACTTGACTATAATCCAGGCCAAGAGAACAAAGCCAACTCCCACCAAGAGGTCTTCCCACGCTGTACTGTCCACCCATGTATGTAATTACTTGCCTGGCCCTCAGGATAACCACGTCCTTGTTCTCTTTCATGTCCTACCCTGCATTCCTTCTGAACTCCATGTAAGTGAAAACACACTGCACACATCATTTGTGGTCGGCTTCCTCCACTTAACATTACCTCTGCGGGACTCATTTGCATTAAGTGTAGCTACAGTTTGCTTATTTGCATTGCTGTTCAGTGTTCTGTTTGTAGCCACGAAAAGTACTTTTGGTTTAGGATTATTACAAACAATGCAGTATGCAACACTGTACATATACATCATCTGTGCATGTACAGAAACTTCTGTAGTGGACATGTTTGGGAACGTGTGTGTATGTGTGTTGCAGGGTGTATTCATCTAGAAAACAGCAAACTCCCAACCCCCCACAATGAATGTAATCATTAGGTACTGCAAACATGTACTGATAAAAATTTAAAAAGAAAACAGCAGACTTTTTGTTAATTTCTTTTTCATATTTATGACCTAAGCCCCTTAAAGAAAGATCATGCCTGAGACCATTCTCAATGATTTCCCCTCAGGCCCAGCATCAAACTGCATTTGCAGAGAGTACTTAACATCTACCCAGTGATGAGTGGATCCACACTAGGCTTCTCTCCACCTACCTCGGAGGCAGGCCACGCCTGCCAACAGCAGCAGCAGTGTCCCCGCATAGTGAGAAAATGGCACCACTTTGGACAGACTCAAGTAACCTGCGAGGGGAGAGGGTGATATGAGCAGCTCTCTGCAGCCCTCTCAGCTCTTCCCAGCTCAGCCCCAGCCTCCACCCCACGCTGCCTCTTGTTATGGCCACATCCTCAGGGGGAAGAGTAAGCCAAGTCGTCCTCACAGGCCCTTCTCCTCTTCAGGGGTCCGGCTCATCTGCCAACAACACGCCCATTCCCTGCCCCACCTCCTTTCAAACCACACTGACCTTTCCTGTACAAGTAGAAGAACGCGAAGGGAGAAGAGTAGTAAGAGATGGACCAGAAGGCTGAAGCCTGCAGCAGAGACAGGGACAGGCAATCAATACACACACACACACACACACACACACACACACACACACACGTGCGCGTGTATGTGCACAAACACATGTGCATGCACGCACAGGCACAGGTCTGCGCCTCCCAGGCCTAGGCTCGAGCAAGTGAAAATGCCAGGAATATCATATCAAGCACCTATCCTGTGCGTGCCAACATGCACACAGTAGGCACTCAGTATTTGTTGAAATGTGTTGTACCAGAGCACAATGGGGGCTGGAAAAACTCGGCACTGGTTCTATTTTCTTCCTTTAATTACCTCCAGACATAATTTCACCACATTTCAAGGCCTGTTTCCCTGTCTACTCAAATTAATCAAGGCTTTTCAGTTGACCCTGTTCGGACAGCCCCTGGCCCAGTCCCCAGGAGATGGGCGCTGTCACTACAGATCCCAGCCAGAGAGAACAGCTGTCTCTGCAGCCGAGGAGGTTAGTTGCCAGGGAGGACAGGTCGCTGGGGACTGCAGGACTGAGCACCTGCAGATGGCCCCCAGAGTCAGCATGTTTTCCTCGGGGGCTCAGGCTGCCCCAGAGAAAGCCACACTACATACCAAAGTGGGGTGCCAAGTGTGTCTGTGAGCATGTCAGACAGGTCTGTGTGGAGCCCCAGCACCCCCACCCCCGGGGCGCTGTCTTGTCCCAGGTTTAGGAGGGCAGCTGGGGCTAGAAAGACGCAGTGAGTGGCAGATGCCAGGGCAGACATACCAGTGCCAGGATGCTGTCTGCATGTTTCTCCAGGGCACGGGGCTGGTAATATGTATCCTGCAGAAACAGATGGCCCGGTTAAAGACACTACCGGATGACAGGTCTTTTTCCTTCCCTTCTGGATGCTCTAATGTGGGTCCTTCGGTTCTAGCCTCCTTGGGACACCCCTGGCCTTCACAGAATCCACTCTTCCTCACCCCCACCCTGAGCCTGATTTCCCACCCGTGACCAGGAGAGCAAACAAGAGGCGCTCGACTTTGAAGCAGAAGTGAAAGCACTGAGGGCCGACTTCTGCTCCTTTTCCAGTGAGCGTGTACAGAAGGGGAGAAAGGTGACAGGAGACTCGGTGACAATTCTAAGAGGGAAAGAAGAGCAATAGAAGTAAAAGTAGGTTGATTAAGAAAGAGACTATGGCCAGGGGTGGGTGGTTCAGAGAGATTCAGAAACATAATCTGAGACTGCCAATGCAAAGAGAGGGAATATTCAGGAGAACAGCCTGCCACCAGCAGCAGCTCGCGTGAATGCAAAGACTGGATCTCCCTCCAGGCTGGGCTGAGGGGTAAGGGAAAGACAGCGGATATATGACATGTAGAAGTCATTTTGAAATTCAAGGCCAGGTTAAAGGGAAGTTAAGCAGAGCCAGGGAAGGTACCAAGAGCTACTGAGGAAAAAGAAACTAGGCGTCAAGACGGCGGCCAAGTCCGCCAGCGCCCCATTCCGTGCAGGGTCTCGGGCAGGACCCACGATCGACTGGGACAGACAGGAACCATGACAGGCGGGGTGGGGGACGCGGCGAGGAAAGGCAAGGGCTGGAAGTCGGAATGAGAAAGCGGTGCTCAAATAGGGCTACAGAGAGGAGACGGCCAGTCCGCAGGCGTGACTTGAACCCAGGAAGCATGATGGGAGCAGACTTTTCGGACAACTAGCTTGACAAGCAGGCTCCCCTGATTTCCAATAATGGGCACTTCTAGGGAGCAAAGGCCCTAAAAGGTTTGGACCGTACCATGTTCTTGACCAGGGGGGAACTCGACTCACCCAGGAGCTGGAAGGGGGGTTAGTGACTGAAGTTGGAGTCTCAGGGACGCTGGACGGGGCCCTTTCTGAGTCCCTCTCCCGGTAGATTTTGTAGAGCCGGGGGCCTAGGACGCAGCTCAGCAGCTTCGCCATGGCCCCGGCTTGAGCCGCTGCTCTCCCAGCAGCAGGTCCCCCACTGGCCCCGCCCCGCCTGCCTCTGAGGAGCTGCGAGCCCTTAACGTCAGCACGTACCGGTTCCGCCTCACGCAGAGTCGAGACCTCTTTAGCGCTCCTTGCGAAAGTTTTCATTCAGTTGGACCTACGGATACAGCAGTGGCCAGAAATTATTTGGAGGCGTTGGACACGGAAAGTTAGAAAATTGTTAGGGATAGTTAAATCATTTTTTTCTATCCCTTACTCTCCAGCAACAGTAGAAACGCTAGGAAAGATTAGGAGCACTTAACAAGAGCTACAAAAATATGCAAGGTATCAAGAAATGAATGTAATAGAAGAAATGCAACATTTTAAAGAAGAAAAATATTAAAAGATTATCAGAAAAGGTAAATGTAAGGTTAAATAAATGGAGAGCTACATCATGGAAAACAATTCAGGAAAATAGCACCGCTAAAGATATGTGGAATACTTGTTAAAAGAAAATGAATGAGGCTCGGTGACATTGATATAGAAGAAATATAACTTCCAACCTGCTAGATGTCAGATGTGCCGAGTTTGTGCCCCAAATATCAAAGAATGAATTCCAAAGGACAAAGGAGGTTAAAAGTAGGAAAGGTTTATTGAAAGCTCCTGAGAGATAGGAGGGGTCCTGAAAGTGGGTTGACACAGAAGCCACTTCTCCAAGAATGTTTTATAGAGCAAAATCATACGCTGAGTACAACGTGGGTCAAACTATAATCAACCTATAAGATTACAAGTATAGCCGCTTAGCTAACATTGATCCAATAGGGAAGCGAGGCACATAGCGAAGTTATATGGTGATCGTCATTAACTTCACCCTATCTGTAACTTCTAACACAGGAAAAACAAAACCATTTTTGGGAAGGGATGGGTCCAGATGTTCTGGTCACCTACCTGGATGTCTGGTGCTTGTCTGGACCTACTGGACCCGATGGTGCCAATTACAGTATAATTCTCAGGCTGGTATTTATCCCATAGGGAGGCATGCAGGCCTGGCCTACTTGAGGTTCGCCTCCAGCGAACAGTTTTGATGTGTTCTCATCTTCTGCACTGACCCCCTCGATGGACCACCCCTATCTGACTATCTTAATAATTTCTATCTAACTTAACTGTCTATAATAACATCTGCTGGTAATTCTAGCACTTGGGAGGCTGAGGCAGGAAGACCTCAAAGTCAAGGCCAGCCTGGGCTACATAATGAGTTCAAGACCAGCCCGAACTATATATCTAGACCCTGTAGCAACACACACACACACACACACACACACACACACACACACACACACAAACACACAGAGCATAGAGGATTTGTGACTAAAATCCAGATAGGGTATCGGGGATTGAACCCAGGGGTGCTCTGCCACTGTGCTGCTCCCCTGACCCTTTTCATTTTATAAATTGAGCCAAGATCTCCCTAAGTTGCCAAGGCTGGCCTGGAATTTGTGATCTTTTTGCCTCATCCTCCCATGCCCACCATGCCCAGCTGGTAATACTGTATTTCTTTTTTTTTTTAATATGATACAGCACTTGCCTACCATGTGTGAGGCCCTGGGTTCAATCCCTACCACTGCACTTATTTTTAATAAGTAAATAACAGATTAAGCACCATTAGATTTAGACCAAGACCCCCACTCGGGCAGAAGCATGAGTCTGAATACTCCAGGCCCCGAGGCAAATAATTCACCTGGAGTAGTAGCTTACTGTGCTTCTCAAGGGTTCTGCAGAGGTCTGTAGTATGCCAGGAAACCACAGGGAAAGTCATTCCAAATCATTTTGGACCACTAACTGAGTTTACAGTCATGGAGACCGACAGGAAGACTCAGCTCCTGGGCTCATGGCTGACCAGACTGATGCCAGGTGGACAGCTAGGACCTCTTCTATGCAGGAGCAGCCTGGACCTGGCCCTGTTCCAGCTCCCAGAACAGAAAGGGGGCTGCTCTCACCCTAGGAGACATGCAACTGGGTTTTATCTGCCCCAGCATTCCCATCCCATCCAGAAGCCCATGTTGCTCTGGCCTGGCAGTGCGGGCCTTTATCTGGTCTGTTTCCTCCGGAGAACGCCAGTCTCGGAGCAAGAGGACGTGGCTGTCTCTTCCCATGGCAGCCTCACTCTTCTTCCTTCTGTTTCTCTGTGGCCCTTCTCAGGCTGCTGTAGGTAAGGAGCAGCAGGTGGGAGATTCTTCAGCTGTTTGCAAGGTTGGGAGGGATGCTGGTCTTGTTCTCTAGGGGCCTGGAGAAGGGAGCTGACTCAGACTTACCCTTCTGACCTGTCCCTGCTTCTGGTTCCAGGGAAGACCCAGGGGCAGTGAGGGTCAGGACTGTGTAGAATTTCCTTTAGAAAATCAACAAATGAGTAAATGTATGAAGAAACGGGGCATTTGGCAACTATTTCAGCTTTTACCCTCACGCACTTAGATCCTCTCACTGGCCTGAAAAGAGGGAAGGAAAATCCTCAGACTCCACTTCTCTTGCTTTGGTAGCTGTCACTTGCAAAATTTGCTCACGAGCCAGGCCAGTGCTCGGGGGCCCCAGAGGAGCAGGAAGCCAGGGTTAGAGGTCAAGTGGGGGCTTTTTGACGTGACAGAGGTCTCTGGCCTCATAGCACCCTCTCCCCACAGACCATCTCCCTGTCTATGTGGCCTTAGGGGAGGCGATGGAGCTACCATGTCCCTTACCACGTGTCCTACGTGGGGACGAATTCCTGTCTTGGTTCCACAGCCCTGCAGCAGGCACCTCCACCACCCAGCTGGCCCAAGTCCAAGTGGCCGCAACAGTCCCACACTTTGGGCAAACCAGAAGGGACCCCAGGCTCAAACTCCTGGGCAACTATTCCCTGTGGCTGGCGGAGTCTGAGGATGCAGACGCCGGGCGGTACTGGTGCACTGTGCTGGGTCAGCACTTAGAGTACCAGAACTGGAGGGTGTATGATGTCTCCGTGATGAGAGGTGAGCTGGGGTGTGGATGGAGGTCAGGGGCCGCTGGGACTGGGGAAGGGCAGGAAAAGAACCAAAGGGTCCTTTGTCCCACAGGATCCCAGTTCTCTGCAAGGGCTGCAGATGGGTCTTCCTGCTCTGTCCTCCGGTGTTCTGCGGTTCCCGCCAGGCGTCTGGACTCCGTGGGCTGGCGGGAGGGGAAGGGCCTTGTCCGAGGACGCGCTCAGGCCTTCTGGAATGAGGGCGCGGCGCTGCTCTTGGTGTGTCCTGGCGAGGGGCACCCTGAGCCCAGGGGCCGGAGACCAAGAATCATCCGCTGCCTCATGACTCAAGACAAAGGCATCAGCTTCAGCCTGCCAGGTAAACTGAGGAAAGAGACTTCCCTCCTGCCGGCTGGGAAGGAGGCCAGGAGAGGAAAACCAAACCGGCTTGGGGCGATTTCTGGAGGAGCAGACTGCTGCTTATGTCGACCGAGTGCACAGCAGAATGGACTTGATTAAGCCGGTTTTCAGATGAAACAAACCAGCAGCCAAGACTATATTTTAGTGAAACGTGCCATTGTTTATAAATAGAGCAATCAATAACTTTTTGTGGAATAACCCATAGCAGAGAGGAAGAGCATAAAATTTATTGCTGAGGGAGTTGTTACTTGAACTAAGGGTATATGCACTGCTGTTACAATGGCCCATGGATAGTGAAGGTGGAAGGAAATAGATATATATATATATAATTGTTCTGCAGTTAAAAAAAAGCCACGAGGCCAGGATTTAGCTCGGTGGTTCCACTGCCTCCCTCACAAGCTCAAGGTCCCGAGTTTGATCCCCAGTACCAAAAAAATAAAAAATAAAAAGGGCTGGGCATGTAGATAAATGTGAAGGCCTTGGGTTGAGTCCTCAGTAGAAAAAAAAAAGCCATATACCAAGAAGATATGCTACTGAGTGTAGAATAACCCACCTACAGGCAGTAAGGAGGAGCAGATGGGCAGTGACTGAGTGTGTTGCCCTCTACATCCTCACACTAAACACAGTGCCTGGCGTGTGGTGAGAGAGACCAAGCAATGTTGAGAGAGTGAATGAATGGAGGAATAAGTACATGGAAAGCACTTTCTTTTTCTTTTTCTTTTTCTTTTTGGTACCAGGAATCAAACTCAGGACCTTGTGTTTGGGAGGCAGGTGTGGGCACCATTGCTCTAAATCCCCAGCCCCAGCACTTTATTTTTCTTGGGATGGTGAATTACTACTGAGGCAGCCATGGCTGGAGGTGTCTGGAGTTAGCGGTCCATGTGTGGGTGGACAGCACTGCCATTCTCTGCTGAGGTTGGCACGTGAGGTCAGGGAGAATCCTGGAAAGGAGCAAAGAGGAGAGGTGGGTACTGGGGGGCAGGGAAGTTCGTAAGTCTTCTGTAGGAAGAACCCACTAGACTGGGGAGCCTCCCTTTGGGGCACAGGGACAGGCTCCCCACTGCTTCCCTCCCTGTCCCTCTGTCTTACTCTTATTACAGCCTCCGCGGATCCGTCTCCCACTCTCTGTGTCCCTTCCATGGGCTGGGATGTGCCCCGGATCCTGATGCTGCTGCTCACGGTGGGCCAGGGATTCACCATCCTGGCCCTCAGCATCGTGCTCTGGAGGCGGAGGGTCCATGGGGTTCAGGGCCAAGGTGAGACCCTCACTGAAGCTGGTTCTGTCCTGCCCTCTCTAGGTAGGCGCGGGGTGGTCACCCAGCGCTGACTTCCCTTCTGTACATGTATGCCCCTTCTCCCCAGATGCCTCAGTTCCTCAATTCAAACCCGAAATCCAAGTCTACGAGAACATCCACTTGGCGCGTCTCCGGTAAGGAACAAAAGGAGACAGAGGCTAAAATCCCACAGGGCCTCGGGATGCGAGAGGAAACAATGGAGTTGGGTCGGGGATGGGGCCTGGTTCCTGAGGAGCTGGAGAAAAGTTATCCTTAATCTGCTTCCCTGCTTTGCAAACCCCACAGCCCACCTGCCCACAAGACCAGATGACCTTGGCAACATCTGCTGCTGGAAAGTGTGACCTGCTGTCTCCCTGGCCATCTGCCATAGAGGACGCCCTGAAACCGGGGGTGGGGGGCTGTCTGTCCAGTTGGCCTTCAGCAGCCACCAATGTGTGTGGGGGATGGGGTGGGGACTGCACGAAAGGAGTGGCATTGTTCCATGTCACCTACAAAAAGCTGTGGTCTCCTGTCTTGAAGTGGCCGGTGGGGGGTGGTGCTGAGCGTGAAGTACCATGAAATTGAGGGGAACCTGGGGTAATTGTTGAGGGTAAGAAAGGGTGGGGTGGGCAGGGAAGAGACAAAGAAACCCAGGTATTTGCACAATAGTAAAGTATCAGTCGAAGGGGGACTGAAGGACATATGGAGGAAACTGAGGAAGAGAGAAGGGAAGAGACTCAAGTCAGAGTAAGAGAAAGGAGATGGACAAAGAGACAGAAAAATAGAAGCACAAGTGGGAGAACTGCAGGACAGAGAAAATGGAAAGGAGCTTCGACAGCCTCCAAACTAAGGCAGACCTTCCTCTGTCAAAGCGGCACCCTCTTAAAGAAGAGATGCTGAGGAACGAGCAATGTAATCAGCCCCAGACTTCCTCAGATGGAAGGGGGGAACTTCGGTGGAGTGGGTGCTTGTGCTTGGCCCCCGCCAGGGCACCCTCCTTATCCAAGGCACACTTGCTTCCTCTTCCTCGAGCTGCGCCACAGTGGCCTCCAGGGTGTGCGCTGCTTATCGCCTGACTCCTGGCGCACCGGCTCCCTGTGCCGAGAGGCCACCCCCTCTCTGGGCAGACTGTCCAGAAGCACCCAGACGGGATTCCCCAGGGTCATCTGTGGGCCCTGGACACATCTGGGCGGGTGGGTGGGGAAGGGCATTGGTGTTCCCAACCTGGTGGCCCCACTCGGGCAGAAGTGAGCTGGACTCTGGGTCACTGCCCATGGGAAGCTCTACCGAGCACTTCAGAGTCTGGGCTCTGGCTTGGAGAAGAGCTTTCTCAGAAATCTCGGCTAAAGCCTTCACACTGCGGTGGCCTAAGCTAAGCTATTGGCAGGAAGGATGGCGTGAATGATACAGTTGGGAAATGAGGGGGTGAGTGGCTCAGGCTCCAGCACTTCAGTCCAGCCCACCAAGCAGCTGCAGCTCATTTTCAGAGAGCACACCTGTACACACACACACACACACACACACACACACACACTCTCTCTCTCTCTCTCTCTCTCTCTCTCACACTGCAGCAATGCCAGGCTCCCAGATGGCCCTTTTATTAAATCTACTTTTTTTTTTGGTACCAAGGATCGAACTCCAGTCCTTGCATTTGCGCAGCAGGTGGCGAAACCACTGAGCTAAATCCCCGGCCCCTTAAATCTTTTTATAGTTTCCCAAACTGAGTCCCTCCTTCCCGAGTTCCCAGTCTATAAGTTACATCCTTCCTAGCCAGACTCTCCTTGTCACCGTTCCCAGTGCCCCTTTGACTCTCTTGCCAGGAACCTGGGGCTGAGGGGACATCAGCACCAGGCATCTAGAAAAGGCAGAACAAGGGTTTCCTTGGGGGCTGGGCTCTTAGCAGGTAACTGCAGGGGCTGGAGCAGGGCCCATAGGAATCTGTAGGGGCACTGGGCCCAGGGGTCTGAGGTCTTTGTACAAAATCAGGTTCTTGGGCAAATTTCGGGTGTTTGTGCCCATTCCAGGCCCACGATGTCTGTGGAGGAGCCCAGGGTTGAGGGCCGCAGACTCCCATGAGGCTAGCGGAGGAGGTGGCCTGCCCAAGTGAAGCTGGTCACAAGGAGGACCAAGGTGCTGAGCAGAAGGCTAGGGAGCTGCTGGGGCGTGGTGGCCACGTTGCACAAGTCCTGTTCGCAGCACTGATGTCGCAGCATGTAGGAGCGTGACCAGTAGGTGGCATGCCCTGGCAGAGGGCACTGGGCCCTAGGGAGGCAGCCTTTCCGCTCGATGACCTCATTCTGGTCTGTGGGAAAGGAGAAATGGGGCAGTGGGCCAGGAAGGACGGAGGCTGGGCCCAGCAGGAGGGGCCCATCCGGTGGGAGCCTACCTGAGGTGCCCAGGCTGATGCCGCAAGCCTCATCGTCCTGACACTCCGTGGGAACAGGGTAGCAGGGTTTGGCGAAGCTGCAGGTGTAACAGTGGAGCCGGGCCCGGGTAGGGGAAGTGCTGAGACCTGTTGAATAGCAGAGATCATGGCAGGGAGCAAAAGGCGAGAGACAGAGCCCACACGGAAGGACAGAGCTGGGAAGCCATGAAGTGGAGGCAGACGAAGTAGAAAAACAGGCGGAGCAGGCAGGGGAAGTAAAAGAAGAGAGGCAGAGGCACGAGAGATATAGGGATTGACAGAGGCGCACAGACAAACAGACGCCAGGAGAGACTGAGGCACAAAAGCCAGGCGGGTGCAGAGATGGAGGGAGAGGAGGGAAGAAGTTAGGCAGATGGAGCCAGAGGCAGTCAGAAAAGAGGACTTGGCTTTGAGGGGCCTGGTGCAGAAGCGCAAGGGAAGAGAAGTGGAAGATAAGGCACAGAGACAGAGGAGCTCAAAGAGAGAGCTCAAAGGAGGAGACAATGGGTCTCAGGGGCCTTGCAGAGAAAGCTTCTCTGCTTGCACTGAGCCATCGAGCGGGCTGGCCCGTGTCCCCAGGGTCCCCAGCTGTCCCCCTGGCCTTGCCTGCTGCCTGTCCCTTCCAGCCCTCCAGCTCCTCCAGCCCCTGCCCGCTGCCCACCCTTACCCAGGGCCCCGCAGAGGAGCAGGAGGCACAGGAAGATGGTGCAGGTACCCATGGCGGGGTAGAATGTGATCAGCACCAAGACAGAGACTCGCATCTGAGCATGACAGGAGGGAGCAGGAAACAAACACACCTAGGGAGAGGCTCCGGGGGCGGGGCGGAACCGAGCCAGCATTCATTCCGCGGTCTGACTCACAGGCCGGCCCTCCGCTCCTGCACCCCTCTGCTCTGTCTCTCACCCCGTCCTCGCCATGAGGGTCCTCTCCCATCTGCTGTCTGCTGCACGGGGAATTCAGCACCCTCTGCCACTCCTGCACTGTCTGTCGCTTTCCCCTGCCCCCTTCTCCCTCCCTCCACGCCTGTCTCAAGCTGTTCTGGCGCTCTTGGCTCTTGTCTTTGTGGTGTTTTCTCTGCCCCCTCCAGGGTCGGCCTCCCAAACAGCCCTGGCCTGAACCTTCGTGTGGTGTGTGAGTGTGGCAGCAGCTATCCCACCCAGCCGCCCCATACCTCTGCCCATAGAGCCGAGCTGGGGGACACCCCCACCCAGCTTCACATCCCTTTGATCCCCCCAAGCCTCAACATTCCCACCCCATAATTAGCCTCCTTGGAGGGGAGAATTAATCAGGAGCAGGGCCTGGCCAGATGGATGTTTCTGCTTAGGAGAGTCAGAGTAGCAAGGAAGAAATAGGCAGGATTAGGCACAAAGTGAGGCAGGGTATGCAAGACAGGGTTCACTCGAGAGGCTGGGGACAGGACTGGGAGTGCAGCTCCATGGCAGAGCGCTTGCCTAGCATCTGCGAGGCCCTAGGATCCATTCACAGCGTCACACACAAAAAGCACCTTCCTTACCCGAGGAGTCAGACTGAAAGGGCAGGGAGAGACAGGTGTTCACCAAGCAGCAGTTCTCAAAATTTTATCTCAGTCTCTCTCTCGCTCTCTCTTCTTTTCTTTACCAGTACTGAAGATTAAATCCAGAGTCTCTCGCACAAACTAGGCAAGTGCTCAAACACTGAACTAAACCCTAAGCCTTTTAAACACTTGGTTTTGAGGCAGGGACTTGCTGTACTGCCAGGCTGGCCTCTGACTTGAGATCCTTCTGGATCAGCTTCCTGCGTGGCTGGGGTTATACAAGCGTGCACCACCACACCCAGCTTTCTTTACCCTTAAAAATTACTGAAGGCCCCAAAGAGCTTTCCTTCGTGTGGGTTCTGTCAGTATTTACTGTATTAGAAATTAAAACAGGACATTTTAGATAGGCATTTTTTTTTTTTTGTACCGGGGATCGAACTCGGGTCCTTGAGCTTGCGCGGCAGGCGGTGAAACCACTGAGCTAAATCCCCGGCCCTAGATGGGCATTGATTGATTCATTTAACAAATAAAAACTAACCCTATTACACGTCAATGAAACAAAGTTCTGTGGAAAGTAACTATTAGCTCCGAACAGCTCAGTGAGAAGAGTGCTATTGCTTTTCATTTTTGCCAAGCTATTTAATTTTAGACTTCGTAGAAGATGCTGGGTGTCCAATCCACTTCAGTTTGTTGTTCTGGCTGAAGTATATGAAGAAAATCCAACTCGCGAAAACGCGGCCTGGGAAGAGGAGCAGTGAGGGAGTCGGACAGGCTGAGCCCGCTGAGGCTGCCAGGGAGGCGATGGGCTGCAGAGATGCCAGAGCATCCGCCGAGCCCCGCCCTGGCCCCGCTGGGGCCCGGGGCCTCCCGGGGGCGCCTCTGCACCTTTTATGGGCCCATAAAGCGCGGGCCAGGGGGATATAAGGCTGGCGGAGCAGGGCCGGAGGGGGGTGGGCGGGAGGGACAGCGCTGCAGGCAGAGCGACGACGCGATGAGCCCCCGGGTTGGCGCGATGCTGCTCTGCACCCTGCTGGGCGCCGCCTTGGGTAAGAGGCGCCACTGTGCTCGGCCTGTCCCAGCCCTCCGCCTGCGGCCCGGCCCGGCCCGGCCCAGCGCCCGCCTCTTGTCTCCCCAGGAAGCCGTCTGCGGTGCTACGACTGCGGGGGCGGCCCGGGCGGCTGCGCCGAGGCCGTGACCACCTGCGGCGAGGGCGAGCGCAAGCCCCAGGCCAGCCTGGTGCAGATCAGGCTGCCCGGAAACCGTGAGTCTCCTTCCTCCCTCCCCTCAGCCCTTCCCTGCCTCCAGCCTCCACTTGCATCCCTCCGGCCTCCAGAACCTTTCCGGGCTCAGTCTGGCTCTGGGCAGACGGTGCGGCTGTGGCAGCGAGCGCCCTGGGCCCATCTGGCTCCTGGCACCGAGCACCCTGTCTTTGTGTCGCAACCCCCTCCTCTGCGCTCCAGAAGGGACCTTGCAGGCTTGTTCACTCACAGAAAAAGCCCCATGCTGCAGGCCCAGGCCAAAATGTTAAACCACGCTCCAACTTTCAAGTATTGGCCAAGAACCAGGGAAGTATACTTGTGTATGTGTGTGGTGTTTTGTTTTGTTCTGCTTTTTGGTTTTTTGAGACAGGGTCTTGATGTGTAGCCCAGGCTGGCCTTGAACTCATGGTGACCCTCCTGCCTCAGCCTCTAAATGCCTCCAAGTGCTGGGATTACAGGCCTGGGGCACCATGCCCAGCTTGTGTGTGTGTTTTTAAATTTTGAAATCATTTTGGATTGACAGAAAAGTTGTAAAAGTGGTGCAGAGTATGTACTTCACCCAGCTTCACTGAGTGCTAACATCTCACACAGCTGAAGAACAAGTCTGAAAATCAGAAAACAACGTAGGTGTAATATTGCCAGCTGATCGAGGCGGTGTGGGTTGTCTTTTTCTCTTGTGACCTTGACACATTTATGTGTTTAGTATTTATTTATTTCTTTTTTGGTACTGGGGATTGAACTCAGGACCTTGCACTTTCGAGGCAGGCAGCAGCACCACTGAGCTAAATCCCTGGCCAGTATTTATTTTTGACAGTACTGAGGATTGAACCCAACCCTTTGCACTGAGCTACAGCCTCAGTTCTTTTTTAATTTTTGAGATAAGTTCTCTCTAAGTTGCTAAATTGCCCAGGCTGGGCTCTAACTTGAAATCCCCTGCTTTAGCCTCCCAGAGTTCTGGGATTACAGACCCACACCACCACGTCCAGCTGAGCTTGACGCTTTTGCAGAATCCAGATAGGTTATTTCATATTTAAAAAATTTTTTAATTTACTTTTATGATAGGCTATTTTGTAGACTGCTCCTCTGTGTAGATCTAGCTGCTGTTTTCACATGGTGAGCCTGAGGCTGAGTGTTTTAGGCAGCAGCACCACCCTCGCCTCATTCTCTCTCAACCCCAGTGACCTTGAGACAGCACCAGCCAGCCTGTGTGGGCATCCATCGCTGCAATCAAGTGGAAATGGAGTCGGTGGGCGACATGACTTACACAGTCCACAGGGACTGCTGCATCGGAGACCTGTGCAACAGCGCCGTGTCGAGCACCCTGGCCCCTGCATGCGTCTTGGCTGCAGCAGTCACCACCCTGACCTGGCTTTTGCCAGGACTGTGGAGCGGGTAGTGGGCTCAGGGGTAGGGAAGGGAGCAAGGGAGTGAAGGAGCAGGCAAGCTCTGAGCATCTAAGATGTGCAGATGAGCATTCCTCTGTGAGCCATTAAAATCTATCGACTCTTTTGCAGCTGACTGGAAAATTCCATCTGTCTCTTATTGATGGGAAGCTAAAGGGGCAATATGGGGCACCCAGCTTCTAGTTTGGGGGCTCCCAGTCCATCCGTGGACTGTTACAATGGTACACTCAAACAAGACCCCCAAGGATGATGACGCATCGACACCAGGAACGCGTTGCTAGGGAGACGCTTCCTTAGCAACAAGGGTGGCTGGGGAACAGGCTCTGGGCTGAGTGGGGGTCACCAGGCTCCCATAAGCCCCGCTGTCTGTATTTGTTCCCTTTTCACCCCGTTTGCAACTTGGCTCTTGATAGGACTATTTCAAGCTGAGAAAGGAAATGGAAGTCCCGTGATAGGGGAGTTGCCTGGATACCCTAGTCAGTAAGCAGCCCGGGTGTGGCCTCAGAGTCCCACCTGAGGGACTGAGGAAAGCAGGGCCCAGACCTGTGCACTTCTAGACTTTCTGGGGAGCCTCAAGCCAGGCTGTACCTCCTGCCTGGCAGGACACCAGGGGCGTGGCTCAGTTTAGGCTAAGAGTTGTTGCTCCAGACACTGGGCCAGTGTGCCACCCCCAGACCCTGGAAGGGAGGATGGAGGCCTGAAAAACCTGTTCCTCCTCTGCCCAAAGCAGCCTCCCTGAGAAACACCCCTGAGGGTTGTTGGGAGGACAGGAGGAGCAGGGTACTGTTGAGAAGGGGTCTGACATTTAGGTCTCCTCGTGAGAAACACAGTTTATTAGACACACATTTATTCCTCAAAATGGAAAGGAGTCGATGGTTTGGGGAGTCAGCCCCGGGCAGAGAGGTCACTAGGTCCTTCCTGGGAACTTGTGGTGGGGATGGGATGGAAGCCCCCGATCCCAATCCCTCCCCAGTGAGGGTATAGTACAATGTGGGAGACAAAGTGGGGAGCCCTTCAGAGGCCAGTGGAGGATCCAGAGTGGCCTAGAGGGCCATGAGAGAGGACTCGGGAAAACCAGAGCGCAGGGAGGCCGCTCTGAGCACTGTCTCTTGAGAAGGACTTGGCACACGCTCTTCACAGGAAGGGGAGCCGGGGAGAGGCTGCTCTGGGAGGCCAGGGCCGCGGGGAGGCAGGGGGAGAGCTCAGGCCAAGGCGAGGGAGGGGCAGTTGGGCAGCGAGCCTCAGTGCAGCAGCCAGAGGCCCAGGCCGGCCAGGGAGGTGAGGAACAGGGGGGCCAGGGCGGGAGTGGGCCGGGGGGCAGGGCTGTTGCAGCTGTCCTTGTTGCAGCAGGTGGTGTTGTAGTTCAGGCCCAGCTTGTGGTTGGTTTTATTGAACTCCTCCCGACAGGGCTCCTCTGGTGTGCCACAGCGGAGGTTGGAAAACACCCACATCTTCCCTAGGGGAGGCAGCGCCAGGGAGGTCGGCCAGGCCAGGAGGGCAGCTGGCTCCATACCCGGCTCCTCCTCCTTCCCACTCTGCCGGGCCCTGCCCTCTCTGTCTAATTGTCCTCCACAGCTCCTCATCCCCAGCCTAGTCCGGGTTCTGGCACCTGCTGGCCTTGAGCCAGCTGCAGCTACATTACCGCCCCTCCCCTCCCCTCCCCTCTTCCCCTTCCCTTCCTCCTCTCTCCTCCCCTCTCCCTCTTCTTCCTTCTTTCCCCTCCCTCCTCTCTCTTTTCTCTCTCACCCATCCAGTCCCCTCCTCCTCCCTCCACCGTCCTCCCCTCTCCTCCTCTCTTCTCCCCCCCCCCACTGGGGAAGGAACTCAGGGCCTTGGCCGTGCCAGACAAGCACTGTACCACTGAGCTCTCTCCCTGGCCCTGTAATCTCTTTTTGAGGGTACTTCCTCAGTATAACATTAGCACTCATTGGTTACTGTGAATGTTGGAACAGTGCCTCTGTGAGCTGAGTGTGATACCTCATGACCCTAGGACCTGGAAGGCTGAGGCAGGAGGATCAAAAGTTTGAGGCCAGGGCCAGGGATTTAGCTCAGTGGTTCCGCTGCCTGCCTCGCAAGCGGAAGGACCCAAGTTCAGTCCCCAGTACCAAAAAAAAAAAAAAAAGAAAGAAAAAGAAAAAAAGAAAGAAATTAACATTGTTGGGGCTGGGGATTTAGCTCAGTGGTTCTGGCGCCCACCTTGCAAGTGCAAGGTCCTGAGTTCAATCCCCGGTACCAAAAATAGTTTGAGGCCAGCCTGAGCTACATAGTGAGATCCTGTCTCAAAAAACCAACACCAGGGCTGGGGATTTAGCTCAGTGGTTTCGCCGCCTGCCTTGCAAGTGCAAGGTCCTGAGTTCAATCTCTGGTACCAAAAAAAAAAAACCCAACAAAAAACCAACACCAAATCAAACAAAAACCAATGCCTTTAACGGTGTAGGTCAGTGCTTGACACAGTCATCTCTGCCCAAGTGTTACCACTGCTGGGATTCTCGGCCCTTTCCGGCTCTGCCCGACATCGTCTCCCACCTGCCCTCCCCCAGCCAAGGCAGGGCATGTTACCGAGGTACACGTTTGTGGTCAAGCACTGTTGTCCTGGCTCCAGGCGACAGGACTGCCGGTCCACACAGCCCAGCACAGGGACCTTGTAGCAGGAGTGACAGCGAATGTCAGCTGGGGAGACACAAGTCAGGGGGACAGGGTGAAGCGGCGGGGTGTCTGAGCCACTGGGCAGGGGTGGAGGGGAGCCATCAGCACCGAGGAGGCCTCGGACCTGTTTGGTCTGTGGAGAAGACAGGTGAGTGATACTGGGGGAGTGGATGGTGGGCGGAGGTGGAGCTGCGCTTCGTGCCAGGCCCACACCCTAAACATCTTGTCCCACTGCACCCATCTGGGATGAGTCAAGAGGAACACAGCCACCAACAAAAACACGGGCTTCTGAGACCTAGGACACAAAGAAACCATGAGGAAGGAATGAAGAAGGTGGAGAAGAGAACAGAGACTGAAACAGGAAGAAATGTGAAAACTAGAACCATGGGGTGACAGTGCTTTCAGCCATCAGAGATGGCTTGGAACTTGAGGCTGCATGAAAGCCACCTGTGAGCACCTTTGGTGACTTACCCTTCACCTCCCGGACTGCCCAGACTGCAGGGAGAGGAACAGTCCTGGGCGGAATTCTCTGCCTCGGCTCTGGGCAGCAGCAGTAACACCCAGGAGAGAGAGCATGTTTCTGTCTTAGCACCTCATCAAAATGGGTGGGTGCAGAAGGTGGCACCCCAGGGCTCCTGCTGCAGCTAATCCAAGGTTTGGGTGTGGGAGGTTTGGTGAAGGAGGGGTCTGCCCAAGGGTGGAGGGCCAGGTGCAGTTGGGGATCCCAGAGATGGTCACTGGAACCACACAGAAAGCTTGCGTCGCCAATAGAGATGAGAGTCTGCAGCCCAGGAAGAAGGGACAGGTTGGGAAGGGCCACTGCTGAGCACCTAATCCCTCGTGGAGTCCACACACAGGGAGACCGGGGTCCACACAGAGCCTGGGTCTGGCTGCCCTGGTCTGAGAGGAATCCTGCTGAGGGCAGAAGGTAAAAGAGGAAGATGGATGCAACTGGATACTGGAGTGGGGTTGCCCTGGGATCCAGACACCAGAGTTTCCAAGCAGGGGGCACCTTGGAGTGGGAAACAAGACTGAGAGCCAGGGCAGGTGAGAAGAGTAAGTCTTTTCGGGGCTGAGGAGGAAAGTGGTGATGAGCCTGGGTCCTTGGGGAATGGACGAAGGGGCCTGTCCCCGAGGGAGGGTCTGGTCCAGGAGCAGAGGCCAGATGAGTGGGTGGTGAGGGGTGTTTGGGATCCTGAATGGCAGGCAGAGGAGGAGGCAGACGAGGACATGGTCCTAGCTGATGACACAGGCCTCGGGCCCCAGAGACTCACCTGTGGCCCAGCAGAAGAGAGCAGACAAGGTGAGCAGCAGCAGGGCTCTCATAGTGCCGTCCTGAGAAGGGCAGTGGCCGCAACAGCTCACGAGGTAGGCTTTCAGGGACCTGCCTCTGGGAGTTGAGCACCTTTTTGGAATTTATAAAGCCAAAGGCCCCTCCCTTCTCCGTCTCTGCGGGCACCTCCCTCCTTTCACACAAAGCTGACCAGAGGCCTAGACCAGGCGTGGGGAGGGGCGGACCTGGCGGCTTGGGGCGGAGGATGGGAGCGCGGGTGGGCGGGTGCGTGCTGCCCTCGGCCGGCTCCATCTTGCGTCTTGCTTTCAGTGCCGAGAGCGCCCACCACCCAGTTCTCTACCGGGGCATCACCAGAGGGCCTCTGCGGCTCACAATGGCCCCTGTGACGGCTTCTGCTGGTGCCTAGGACTCGAGCAGTGGGATGTGGCGAGGTTGCTGCCACGTCTAGGGGCCTGGGGACTACTGGCGGGCGCATGTGGGCAGAAGCTGGGGATGGAAAGGGTGGAGTTAACATCAGTTCACTTGGCCTTCCCAACTCCCGGCTCCACCACCACGGGATGAAGGATTTGTGACCTTACGAGGGCCTCTGCCGTCAGGGCAGGAGGGGGCGGGACCAGGGCTGTGAATCCAGCGGGGCCAAGCACGTGGGAGGTGCGTCTCAGCCCCCCACGGCTCTGGGACCTCATCTGATCCACCTGGGTGGGGCAAAGCTGGCAGGGAGGGGCAGCGTGGGCACAGAGGTGAGGTAGGAGCTAAAATAAGAACAGAAGTAGTGACAATGAGGACAAGCAGCCTGGCAGTGTTCCTGGAATCAGCCACTGTTTAGGCGCTTCATGTGTGTTTTGTTTAGTTCTCACAATGGGCTATGAAATAGGTGCTTTTGTCGCTGTTTTTCAGGTAAGCAAACAGGGAGAGGCTCTTGCCCACATGGCACAGCAGGTAGGTGGCACAGTCAGGATTTGAACTCAGCTGGGAGCCAGGATTCCTGAGGCTCCCAGGTGGAGGAGTTAGGCAGGCAAACGGCTGGCGCTGAAGGGCTTATGAGTTTGCCAGTTTCCCGAAGGGATGGAGCTGCTGCCCCCACACCGCTCTTATCAGAGCCCCAGGCAGCGGTCGGCCCCTTCCTCCAGCCCCTCCGCTGATTCACTGCGGCCTCTCCCACCACATCCCAGTCATGGCCCTGGCCCTGCGGCTGCTGGCTCTGCTGCTCTCCAGGGCCGGCGGGGACCCGGGGGGTAAGCGGCCCGGGACAGTGGTGACACCCAAAGACTGAGCTGAGCGGGAGGGCGCTTGGGAGTGGGGCGAGGAAACCCAGCGGCGGGGCGCACAGGACAGGGAGGGTGCTGCGGGGTCCTCTCGCCCCTGGACCTGCTCTAACTGCCCCACCCTCCGGCGCCTTCCCCAGCGTCGCTGCTCGGCCGCCCTGGGGACCGGGTGAACCTCTCCTGCGTCGGGGTCTCACACCCCATCCGCTGGGCCTGGGCGCCCAGCTTCCCCGCCTGCCAAGGCCTTTCCAAAGGACGCCGCCCGATCCTCTGGGCCTCGACCGGCGAGATCCCCACTGTGCCGCCCCCCCTGCCCTTCGCCGGCCGCCTGCGTTCCCTGGACCCTGGGGTCCGCCGGCTGGAGCTGCTCGTGAGCGCGGGGGACTCGGGGAACTTTATCTGCAAGGGCCCCCAAGAAGAAGAGAGCCGCACGCTGCTCCACGTGCTGGGGGACAGGGCCGATTGCAGGGCCCCCGGGCCCGCCCGCGGTAGGTGGAGGCCGGAGCCTCAGGGCGTCCGTCGGGCACGCGCGCTGGGCCGGAGAGAGCTCGGTCGGAGCCTGACCCTGACCGGCATCCCTCTCGCCTCGCTCCCCCAGGGTCGGGGTACCCCCAGGTCTTAATCCCTCTGCTGGGCGCCGGGCTGGCGCTGGGACTGGGAGCGCTAGGCGTGGTCTGGTGGTTGCGCAGGTGAGCGGGGGCGTGGCGTCGTTCGACGGGGCGGGGCTTGCTTGGTGGGCGTGTCCTGGCTTGTGGGGCGTGTCCTGCTTTTGGTGGGCGTGGTCTCCGATTGGTCTTGGAGAAGGGCAGAGGTCAGCCCTTGAGAGCGAGGTCCTAGGATGCTGTGTGAAGCCCTTGCAGAGGGAATGGAGCTAGAAGTGCAGCAGCATGCGAGCGTGGGCCGGGAGTGTGGGTCAGAGCCCTCCAGCTGTCTTTGGCCGAGGAGAACCAGTGCTACGAGATGGGCGGCTCTGACTCCTGTACTCCCTTTCAGGCGCTCGTCCCCGCCCCCGCTGCCCACACTCGGTAAGACCAACTGTGCCCCATTTCCCCCCCCCGCCACACCTTCCCGCCCTCCGTCCCGTCTGAGCCCTGATGGGAGCGGATAATTGGTCACCTTCTCTCCATCCTTCAGCTCTGTCCCCCCCACATAGCTCCATTTGTGAAAGGAGAGTCCCAGAGGCTGGCAGAGGGGGAGGAGGAGGAGCCCGAGATTCCGGGGGACCTGGACCAGGAGGAGCCGGTAAGGTCTGGGGTCTGGGAAATGGGCTGGACCGAAGCCCTGAGGACAGGGGTCTGGATCCCGAGGGAGTCAGACCACTGAGCCCGTCCTGCCTTGCGCCCTTGCTCCTGCAGAGCCTGCTGTACGCAGATCTGGACTACACGGCCCTCAGGAGGCCCTGCCGGCTGTCCACAGTGGCCCCTGCTGATGCCCCCACTGTCTATGCCGTTGTGGTTTGAAGGGAGCCCTCCCTCCAGACTCGGGGAGTGCTCAGGCTCTCTCCAGGCCACTAGCTCCTCCTCTCTGCCCCACAGCTCCTGCTCCTTCAGTTACTCCCGTCCCTCCCGCAGCTACCCTGATTCCTTCACCACCAGTGTCCTCTCCAAGCCAGACTGAGCCCTGTCTCCCACCTGAGACATCAGTAACTCCTGTGTGTGTTTACCCTGTCTCTTCAGAATCAAGCTTTTTGAACCACCAGGGTACACACCTGCTTTTTCCTTCTCCCCACTGCTCATCTGCTGAAATTGCTACCTCCTCTCCACAAGGTTGCCAGTGATGTCCTAGGCCCCATTTGTTAGCATTCACCTGGGTTGGCTTTGATCATCCCCTTCTTTAAGCTGTTTTACTTGGCTTTCTTTTTCCCTAGCCTCACAGTCTTCCCCACGATTCTAGGTTTGTCCTTTTCTTTTTCCCCTTCACCCCTCTTCAGGAAAACTTCTGTCCACAGCCCATCAGCCCCCATCTTTGCAGGTGACACCCAGAGTCTCTGCTCTAGGCCTTGTATCCGGCTGCCCCAGGCACTTTGCACAAACATGTCAGACCCAGCCCATTGCCATCTCCCGAGTCACTCACGGATCCTCCTCTGCACCTCTTCCGAACAGCCAGTTGCCCAAGCCAGAACCCAGGAGTCATGCAGACCTCCTGTCTCTCCCTCCCACACAGCGAGCCGTGCGCTCATCTTTCCACCCAGTGTCACTGTCATGTCTGCACCGTCTCCATGTCCACCACTGGCATCATGATGTACTTTCCTAATTTCCCAGTTCGCCCTCTCACCCTTTTCTTCCTCTCTGAAGCCAGGTTGATCTTCCTCAAGTACCGACCCGCTCCTGACAGCCCTTCTGTCTGAGCTGCTGTGTTTATCTCCAGCCCCCTTGGCCCTGGGCCCCTGGCTTTTGGTACAAGTCCCACAGCACTCCTCTCCCAGGATCATCTCTGCCACCTCACACCCATGCACCTCGCCCCGGGCCCCAAGCATGCCTTTGCCCTGGATTACTGTTTTTCTTTCTCCCCACTCCCTGCTGGGATAATTCTTCTTTATCAAATGTCATCTTTTGTGGAAAGTTGTTCCTGACCCTTCTTGCCTACTCCTGCATATACTTTGATGCCCTAGGGAGTCTCCTTATTTTCTCAGAGAACAGCCTCGGGTGAATCATTCCATCACAACTTGTATTTCCATTTGTAAGAAATTTTCATGTACTGTGAATTCCCTGACATCAGGAGACTGACCTTTCTCTGATACAACTGCTGATCCTCTCGGTAAACGAGTGAATGAAAATTAATGTCCTTGGAAATATGTTTAGGTGAACTAGTAAACTACCAAGGTCTGAATCATCTGGCATTTAGATAAATTCAGAGAGTGATCCAGCCACATACTCCTTTCTGCTCTGGACATGCTGTCTGTGATACAGATTCCAACTGTCCAGCTGTGTATCTGGGACAGGGTTGGGCAGTGAATGAGTCATTAAGGGCCTAATGAGGGTTTTTTTAAGAGGCCTCCTTCCCAGCACTGTCCCCAACCGCAGGTTTCAGCCCTGTCCCATCCCTACACCCCAGTAAGACATCAGCCACAGCCCAATCTAAAAGGCCAATTCCGTTTTATTGGTTCTGAGAGAGCAAACTCACCCAGTGGCTCCCATCCTTCTCCCCGAACTGTGCCCTCCCTCTACCTTGGGGACCTCTCCCCACTACTCACCATCCTCCATCTAACCCTCCTTCCCCTTCTACTCCCTAGGCTGCCCTACCCCTGGGCAAACAGAACCCCAAGGCCAGGTCCTCAGCTGTGGGGGCGTGTGCTGAGCACCAGGCAGAGGGAGCTGAGCCCGGCGCCAGCCTTCTCCAGTTCTGAGCAGGACACAGGTACCAGAGTGACATCAGAAAGCTTCTGCAATGCCTGCATGGAGAGGGGAGTAAGACCTTGAAACCAGAGCCATGCCCCTCTCAGCCAGCTCATAGCAGCCCCACCCAGACTTGCAGAGAAGGAATCCCTCCCTCCTCCCACAGGGAAAGCCTGAGCCAGTCTCTGGCCTGGAAGTATGATGGGACTCTCGTCCTCCCTCACCTCCTGGCTGTTGGGCAGGTCCCCACCTCCTCGGTGCAGGAGGAAAGAGGGTCCACCAGGCAACCCAGGACGAAGAAAGAGACAGTCAGCAGCTGCGTCATCTGGGAGGGTGAGGGAGGCATAAGGGTGATCAGTCAGCACCGCCATTGCCTGGAAGGGAAGAAAGAGGAAGTGTTCAGGTCTCAGCTTCTTCACAGCTGTCTGTCCACTCTACCACAAACGAGGAGCCCCACTCAGAGCCTGGGACAGAGTGACATCTGTCACACAGTAATGACAGCAAGCCCATAGCACTTAATTTGTGTCAGAGCCTGCTCTAAGTGCTTTCACTACTTTAGCTTGAAGCACATCAGTGACTTTTGCTAATTTCCACTTCCTACTCACATGCAGTTCTTTTCACCTACAATCCACTTCTCCTCTCCTTCTCCCACAGGTTTCTCCTATACATTCCACATGTCATAGCTTCGATGACACCTTTAGGGTTTCTTTCTTTTTGTACCGGGCGAACTCAGGGCCTTGCGCTTTCCAGGCAGGCGCCACCAAGCTACATCTCTGGCCCTACCTTTAGGGTTTCTTGCAACTAGAAGAGCAAATGCATCACCTCCTCTCCCCTGGTCTCCCAGCTCCCTGCCCCACTATGGAGCCCTTTTTTTTTTTTTTTTGGTACCGGGGAGCGAACTCGGGTCCTTGCGATTGCGCAGCAGGCGGTGAAACCACTGAGCTAAATCCCTGGCCCTGGAGCCCTTTTGTTTTCTCGTGTGTTGTCACACTAGACACACAGCTCAGGGAGGGCAAGTGTGAAGCTAATGCTCCAAGCCTCCCAGCCCCGGGCCACGCCCACGTTCTTAGAGCACGCCCCGCCCCGGCCTCCTCACCCTGACCGCCTTCTGGGCAGCCTCACTGCTGCCGGCCACCACGGTGCGGGGTCCCCCCATGCCGCAGAGGCCGCGCAGGTGGGAGGGGCCCGACACTGGCACAGTGGAGACGGCGAAGTCCTAGAGAGAGCAAGGGGAGGAGTTCAGGGCGCAGAGGGTGAGGGGTGCCCGCCGGCGCAGGTGCGCCCAGCCTCCTCCCCCCAGGGCGTCCCTAGCCTCCCCAGGCTGGTGCCACCCTCACCCGGAACGTGTCCGCCACGATCTCCGCTCCTCGGTGGTTGGTCCACTTGGACAGGCCTACGAAAAACTCCCGGCCTGAGCCGGAGGAGCGGCGGTTAGAGGGTGGGAGTGGGCTGGAAACAGGGCCGAGCCAGCCAGGCTCCCCAACTTCCTGGGACCAGATCCAGGGTGCCGGGCACCACCAGCCTCACCCGTGAAGAGCACGTCGGTGCCATCCAGCGTCGCGTTCTCATCCCCCATCTCCACGATTCGGAGCCCCAAGTCCTGGAGCGCTTTGCGGACTCCGTCAACCTTAGGCAGAGGCAGCACGGCTGACACCCTCTCCCGGCGTCCCCCGAACCCGACACCCAGCTGCTCCCCCGCCCCCCGCGCCCTGGGCCCACCTCGGGTCTGCGCGCCGGGCTCCAGGGCCGCGCGATGAGGGCCGTGTCCCCTTGGACCACGGCCGTGTCGCCGAGCAGCGGCCCCCGCGGCAGGGCCTCCTCAGGAAGCAGTTCCAGCAGCTGCAGTCCCAGCCGCTGTCTCAGTTTCCCTCCCAGCACCCCATGCTCCCTTCGCGCTTTGGCCAGGTCCAGAGCCGGAAGGCCAGCCCCCGCGGCCTCCCCGGACCCCAGGCTCTCGGGGACACCCCGGATCAGGGCGTGGGAGCAGCGACCCAGCCCCTCCCCCGGCGTCCCCATCCCATGCACACAGACGCCCCGCGGTTGCTGACTTCTCGGGATTCTCTTTTTACTTCTCGGGTCTGGAAGAGGAGACAGAAAGGGGCAGCGGAGAGAGATAAGCAGGGAAGGGCGTGGGGTGGTTGGGAGCGCCTGGGTCTCCCTCCCGCTATCTCAGGCGCCCTCCCACCCCGCCCCCCAGGCCTCCCTCCCTCAGAGCCCTCTCCACCCCGCACCCCTGCGTTTTGGTTTTTTAAGAGGAGCCCAAGGAACAAGCCGGGATCCCTAATCTCCAAAACACCTGTTGCCCCTGCTCTGGGTCTTCGCGAGGTCCCGGCCGAGCGCCCCTCTTGGCAGCCGCTAGGATGCGCTCACTCCCCAAAAATGCAGCGGCCCCGCCCCCTTAACCCTCAGCTGCTCGCCGCCGGAGGGACCAGAAGTCCGGCCAGGGACCCACAGGGTTGAGGAGACAGGAGAAAGTGAGGAGGGAGTCAGGCCTGGGGCCGGGAGTCCTGGACGCCCGACGGAGAAAGGGGGGAGGGCTAGGGAGCGAGGAATTAGGGCCTAAGCAGCTAAACGTCCTCTCTCCTCCCTGGCGGGTCACGCTGGCCCTATCGCGACCCGGTACAAACCAGACCGAGTCCCGGAGGACAGGGAGAGGTCTAAAGCAAAACCGGGGGCGGGGAAGCCAGGGGCGCCACTCCTGGCTCCAAGACCCTGCGCCCCCGTCCATCTTGCACCGAAGTCCACCCCGCTGAGCTCCGCACCCGAATGCCAGGTCCCCACTCGGTCGGTCCAGTGAAGGCACAGGCTCAGCACCCCTAAACTACGGTCCAGGGGAGTCCCTCCTCAGACTCACCTCCAGGGGTCACCCCTACTCCAGCTGCACTGTGATCTCGGCGGGGCCCCACCCCCAGAAGGCAGAGTTGGTAGAGGAGTCCTAGTCTTTAAGCCACGGAGACTGGAAGCTCTGCGTTTGAAAGGGGTCCCCAGGTCGGTGAGCTCGAGCACCACGGTGGGGCGGGGGCGCGGCGGCTGCCGGGCATTGTCTAAGCGGGACGGGGCGGGGCCTCCAGGCCACGCCCATTCCGCCCTGGTAGGCCGCGCCCCCTTACCCCCAACGGCAACGCCCCGCGGGCTCAGCCAGGGCCACCCAGATCTGGCTGGCTCTGGCGGGCGGTGGGGCTGCAAATGCGGCATGGACCGCAAGACAGCGATAAAGTGGACTGGCACCGAAAATGGCAGCCTCGCCACAAACACCTACTACTTCGCTGCTGGCCGCTGCCCTGAGCTCAAGATCACCGACTTCCCCTCATTCCTGTCAACCACACTTCAAACCTTCTTTGTGTAAACAGAACACCAGAGTTTCATTCTGTGTTTTATTACTGAAATACATTGTCCTACCCACCCATCTCACAATAAAAACCTTACCCATATGCCCCATCTTGCCCCAGCCAGCCAGCCAGCCAGCCACCCAGCCACCCCTGCACAAGTGCTCAGGATTTGCAGCCCACCAGTCATTTTGGAGTGTCCACTGGGGGCCAATGTGGAAAGCACCCAGGCCCTCTGTGGAGAGCGTGCAGGGAGGTGGGGGAGGGAGCCCGCACACAGCCACAGCCTTATTTGAGCGCCTTGGCCACCTGCTCATAGGCCAACTCGATCTCTTCATCATCTGGACAGGTGGAGGCAAACTCTTCGCGAGCGTAGGCGTTGCTCAAGTACCGATGCACTCCCTGAAAGGCCTCCGGGATGGTGAAGCCCCTGTACTTCTTACAGACCACCTGGGGGTGGGGAGAGGGGACAGACCAACAGGTGAGGGCCCGAGAACCCATGCTGGCTGTGCTACCTACTTTCCTTCAGATCAAGAACTGCATGATAAAATCACACTTCTTGTCCAGGCATTCAAGAACTTTGGCCTTCCAGCTATCTCCTACATGAAACTGTCTTCTCCACACTAGCTTTCTCAGCTCCTCTACTGTAATGTCTTCATCCTTCTCTTCACCTACTGAAATCCCAGCCATTAATAACCAGACCCTTTCTAGATTTGTTTTTGGTTTTTTTTTTTTTTGGTACAGGGGATCGTTGGGTCCTTGCGCTTGCACAGCAGGCGGTGAAACCACTGAGCTAAATCCCTGGCCCTCTAGATTTCTTTTTTATTTATTTGGCAGTATTGGGAAATGAACTCAGGGCCCTTGCACTAAATTTTTTTTTTTTGGTACCTGGGATTGAACTCCAGACCTTGCGCTTGTGAGGCAGGTGGCAGCACCACTGAGCATTTTAAATCCCCGGTCCCCTTGCACTAAATTTTGAGACAGGGTCTCAATAAGTCACCCAGTCTGGGCATGAACATGCCATTTTCCTGCCTCAGTGTTCCACAGTGGCTGGTGGTTTTTTGTTTTTGTTTTTGACAGGGTGGAGATACATAGTTTAGGCCTTGAACTCATTATGTAGTCCAGGCTGGCCTCAAACTCTGAGGAATCCTGCCTCAGCCTCGTGAGTGTTGAGATTACAAGTGTGTGTGTGCCACCATGCCTGGAGCTCCTGGCTCTGGTTTTTTAAACAAAATTTGATACAGTCTGGAGATGTGGCCCAGTGGTAGAACACAGGCTGACCAAGTACAAAAGTCAGGTTTGATCCCCAGCACCAAAACAAAAAAGATATAATTTACAGATCATAGAATTCTTTCTCTTTTTAGTACCGGGGATTGAACTCAGGACATTGTGCTTACAAGGCCAGCGCGGTGCCACTGAGCTAAATCCTGGCCCTAAAATTCTCCTTTTTACAGTGACTTTTTACGTTTCATCATTTGACTTTCAGTCTTTTTTTTCTGCTAGGCTGGGCATGGAACCCAGGGCCTTATGTTAGGCAAGCATTCCATCCCTTAGCTACATTCCTAGCCCAGTCATGAATTATTACTTAACTTTCTCATATGAATGTTTTATTGTATATTATTGGTCCTTTTCGGGAAAGGACCAATAATCAAACAGTATTTGTCTTTCTTTTTGTTTTTTTGTTTTAATACTTGTCTTTCAATGCCTACTACACTGATGCTCACTACTCAGTTGTATGGCAGACTAATATTAGCTCATGTTTTTTTTTTTTGGTACCAGGGATCGAACTTGGGTCCTTGTGCTTGCAAGGCAAGCGATGGAACCACTGAGCTAAATCCCAGGCCCTCATGTTTCATAAACTGCACCATCACTTTGAAGCTGACAAAACCATGAGAAGCAAGCAATTTTCATCTTCCTCAAGAGGAAGTGGAGACGGAAGTTACAATTACAGCTTTGATTTAGGGAAAGCCTGCTGTCTGATCTGGGGATGTGTCTCCCCCGCCCCAATACTGGGGGTTGAACCCAGAGCCTTTGAACTGAGCTACATCACCAGCCCTAGCCTTTTTTTCAATTTTTTTTTTGTACTCAGAACCTTGCATGTTCGAGGCAGGGGTGGTGCCACTGAGCTAAATCCCTAAAAATTTTTCAATTTTTTTGGTACCGGGGTCCTTGCGTTTGCAAGGCAGGTGGTGGAACCACTGAGCTAAATCCCCAGCCCTTTTCAATTTTTAGAGTCTTGCTAAGTTGTCCAGGGTGGACTGTAACCTGTGAAGTTCCTGCCTCAGCCACCCAGAGTGCTAGGATCACAGGCATGTGTGGCCATGCCCAGGCTGATCTGACGATTTGGGAGTGATATAAAGGCAGGAAGAGTTTCTTGAAAGTTAGCCTCCAGTTTTTTTTTTTCTTTTTTGGTACTGGGGATCAAACTCGGGACCTTGCGCTTGCAAGGCAGGTGCTGGAACCACTGAGCTAAATCCCCAGCAAAAGTTAATACTAGAATGTGTTACTCCCAGACAGGCTGTGTGCACCCCCAGACTATATCATGGCCTGGGCTGGGATGACTGGGGTGGCGTTTGCCATTGACAGCAATCTACAGCAATACCCTAGGGAAGAAGCCACCTTTGGAGCAGTTGTTAAGGGGAAGCCTGTGGGGAGCTCCTGAGCACCCCAGCAGCCACCCTCTCCCCGCACTGTGACTGCCCACCTGTACTATGTGCAGCTTTGGCAACAGGTTGCAGTCAGCCAGCGTGAGCTCATTGCCGTCCAGAAACTTCCTCCGAGAGATGCCCTCATCTTCGGCACTGGTCTCATCCACTTCTTCTGGGAGCGGGGATATCAAGTAATTGTCTAAAACCTTCAGGGCTTTCAAGAGTCCCTTCTCCAGATCTGTGAGAGAGGGCATTGATGAAAACATCAGAAGGCCCACACAGCCTATCCAGGAACACCCACGGGCACAATTACAAAGCCAGTCCAAAATAAGAACCTCAAACGCTAATGTAGTTTGTTTTCTATATATTATTCTAAGCACTCTTTTTTTGTTTGGTGGTACTGAGGATTCAACCCAGGGCCTGGCATATGCTAAGCAGGCACTCTACCACTCCCTTATTCTAAGCACTTTAGAAATAAAAACTTGTTTAATTCTCACACCAACCCAGGAAATAGGTATTACTATCCTCATTTTATAAATCCATAATGGATTTACCAGGAGGTTAAATGAATTGCTCAGTTAGATTTGTACCCAGGTAGTCTGAATGGTGCTTTAAACAACCTTATTCTGCCAGAAAACAGGCCAGCAGCCAACTAATGTCCCTAGAGAGGCAGAAGAGTCCGGGGAACAAATGAGAGGCTTAAAAGTCTCAGCAGTGAGAAGGCAGAGAGACACAGGATAAAGTAGAAATGGAGGGCTGAGAAGGTTTGCTGACATCTGCTCCATCTCCCTGACATCTGATCTTCCAGCTGCCCCAAATGCGTCTTCTCCCCTCCTCCTCCAGGACCCAGGCCTCTGACCCGCAGACTCACTGTCATTGAGCGCGGGGTTTGAATTCTTGATATAGGCAGAAAACTTGGCAAATATGTCCAGCCCAGCTGTGTTGGACTCAGGGTTCAGAGCTGCCAGCTTGGGGTACCTGAAAGTCATTGGGAGAAACAAGGTGACAGATCTTCCTGGGAGGAGCCTCCACTGGTTCCCCTGCCCCTGGCCCAGCCCCGCCACTATGTCCATTTTCCACTTCTTCAACCTCTCTGTTCTCCAGAGTCTCCAACGTCCTTATACCTGGGAGGGCACAGCATGGCCTCCAGAAACTCCTCAATCTTGTTGGTGTCTGTGTGTACTTCCGTGCCGTACAGCAGGAATGGGAGCTGGCCTCCTGGGCACAGCTTCTGCACGGTCTCAGTCCGCCTGGAGAAGGGGTCTGGCATCAGGGCAGGAAAAAGGCACCGGGGAAAAGCAGATGGAAATGGAGGGAAGTAGGGAGAGAAATGGGCTCCAGATGGAGGGGAAAGGGCTTAAAACAGAAGGACCTGGCGGGTGGTGCTTCTGTCTACAGGTAGAACAGAAGAGGAATGGAAGTGAGCCCACCTCTTAGTGTCAACGGTGGTGACGTTGAAGGTGACTCCCTTGAGCCAGAGCACCATGAACAGTCTCTGGGAGAAGGGGCAGTTCCCAATCTTGGCCCCATCACTGCCAGCCTGAAAAGCAACCCCCACCTCAAGGTTAGGCCTGGCGCACCCACCCGGCGCTCCAGGGCCATGCTCTGCAGCTCCTATTCCCAAACCAGCTGTTTTCTGCCTAATCATGACACACATGCTGTCCTCCCCCTAAAAGCCACCCCCAGAACTGGGCTCTCCCCCTTGGGCCTGGGTCAAACCTAGGGCAAGATCAATGAGAACATTTTCAGCAAGATCAGGTTTCTAGTTTCCTGAAGAGCAAGACAGGTGGGAGGAGACAGAGGGAATGGGTCTTGGAGAACTAGGAGCATCTGAACCCTAGAGGAAGAGGGGGGCGGCTTTGGTGAGGCTAGAATCGTTGGCTTGAGCCGGGGAGGTGGCACACACGTCATCCCAGCACTTGCACTTGGGAGGATGAGGCAGGAGGATTGCTTCGAGTCCGAGGCCAGCCTGGGCTACATAGTGAGTTCAAGGCCAGCTGGACTACACAGAGAACCTGTCTCAAAACCGCACCCCCCAAAAAAACTTGTCTAGAGCCCTGGATTCCTGAGTGGCCCAGGGTCTGCGGGCGAGGTGGGGGCGGGGTTTGGAAGCCAGCATTCGGGCTCACTACACCGCCATCTGCGCTGTTTCCCGGGTGGAGACTCAGGGGTCTCAGGCTTGGCCTCAGATACATAGGGCCTCGAAGGGGGCTGCCCTCTAATTGGCAAGTGGTGACCTCATTCCCCGAGGGCCGCCTCCCCCTGGGTGGAGGGTGATTCATCTCCAGTCTTGGCTCAGCAGCTTCCTTCCTGGCGGGGAAGTGGGGGCAGGGCCCTGGGAGGCCGAGGCCACCGCTCCAGCCCCGGCGCCCCATTCTCATTGCTAGGTCTCCCGGCTCCAGTCCTCGGGCTCCCTTAGAATCCTCTTCACGTAGGACCCGGAGTCAGAATCTGCACACAGTCTCGCCGAGAGTAAAAATACCCCGGAGGCAGGCAGGGAGTGAGGTGGGGACCACACCTAAGGAGGCACCCAGGCTCGGCCGGGGAGAGGGAGCGGCTGCGGGGAAACCGAGCCTGAAGGAGAAACGGACAGGAACACTCACAAAGACCGGACGAACTTAAGGGAAAAGTGGAGAAAAAGGAGGCAGGAAAGTGGAGGAGGTGCGAACGGAGACGGAGACGCAGACTGGAGAGGAAGGGAGGGAGGGGCGCGGGGAGGCCTGGGGCGGGGAAAGGAGGCAGTTGGAGGGGACCCGGCCGAGCCCAGGGCTGGGCCCAGGGCTGCGCTGCGGTTCCGACACCCGAATGCCACGGCCCGCTCTCCGACCACACCCATGGCGAGACAGACAGGGCGTCTCTCGGGTCTGCAAACTTGGCCTAGCAGACCAACCCAGCTTCCCTCCTCTGACCCCTCTCCCTTCCTGTCCCCAGGGCGGCGACTGCTCTCCTCTCCTCTCCGCGTCTCCCCCTCCGCTGCCCGAGGTGAGTCGGAGACACTGGGATCACCCCATCGCCTCGGCCCGCTCTCAAACTCCACTCCCCCTCTCCCCTTTCCTTCCTTGCCAGCGCACCGCCTTCCACTCCCCAGGTGCCTGCAACACACCCTTTCTCGAATCCTCCCTGGCACCTCACGGGGCCCAGCGTTCGGGCTGATGCCCCTCTGCGCTTCCCGAATCCTGCCGGGCTCCGCTCCCGGCCCTCCGCACCCCACCCTCGCCCGTCAATCTTCTCACTCCGGGAAACGCCTTTCCCCCACCTTCCTCTCCCATGCAGGCGCTAGAAACTTGCTCTGCCAGCCACAACCTTCCGGGGTCCAGCCGAACTCGGTCCCGACTGGCGAGCTGACCGTCCCGCACGTGGGCCGGGCCCGGGGCTTCAGGTGACGGCGGGGGGAGCGGGAGAGGCCCGGCTGCCAGGGACTCGCGGGCCAGGCCGGGAGGAAGGTGCTCCTACCTTCACGAACAGCTCGACCTGGGGCTGCTCCTCAGCCATGGTTGCGTCGGGGACCAGGAAGCGGCGGTCGCCGGGGAACGGGGAGGGGCCGGGCCACGGAAGGCGGGTCCGACAGCCGGGACGCTCTCTCGAGGCCGAGGCTGCCCCTCCACCTCGCGCCAGACACAGCCTCCCCACCTGCCCTGCGCGCCCCACACCCAGCTCCGTCAGCTTTGTGCCCTCCTGGGCTGATCTGGGAGGCGCTGACTCAGGGCCGCCCCGCCCTGAACCTGGGGAGGGGACAGGAGGCCGGCGGGCCAGACTCCCGAGCTAGGAAGTGGGTCGGGAGCAGCGGGGTCCGGTCTCCCGGAGGAGCCGGGATGGGGGCCTGGACGGGGAATCGCTCACTGGAGGGCTCTGGACTAAAATGCTTTGTCCTGCCTCAGTTTCCCTGCTTCATTAATCGGAAGGGTTGTCCACCCTCCCACAAGAAACTTGACACTAACAGATGGGGCACACCCATGGAGATGCAGAATGGAAAGGTTCTGCATTCCTTCTTGAGTCCAATCCAAATTCTGGGTTACTCTCAGGAGGCTGAGGTGGGAGAGTTCAAAGCTCAAGGCCAGACTGGGCAGCTAAGCAAGACCCTGTCTTAAAATGAGATAAAAAGGGCTGGGGATGTAGCCCAGTATGCGCAAGGCCCTGGGTTTGATTCCCAGCATATTCCCCCAAACAAAAATAGAAATAGGGTGCTCGGACTCTGGTTGGGAGAACTTGGAGTGGAAACTGGGATTGGTGGGGGGGGGGGTGAAAAGCAGTGCCGGACCGAAAGGGGACTAGGAGGCCTGGTACTAGGGAAGCAGGAAGGTTAGGGTGGGACTTCATGGCGGGGCGGCCCTCTCCTGGTAGCCTGGCCAGCGTTAATGCTTCCACTTCTGCCCCATCCGGGGCCCCTTCCTGTGCCTCTTGCCCTGTTGTCGCTGGTAGGTGAAGCTGCGCTGGCTGGGCGGGGGGGAGCCGTTCCTACCGCGGACAAAGCAAAGGTCAGAAAGTGTGAGGAGTCCCGGGGGCATCTGTGTAGGTAAACAGGAAGGGCAGAGGAAACGCAGCTCTCTCCCTTCCCCAGTAACTTTGAGGAGGTGCTACCAAACTATGATCCACTGAAAAAGCTCCAAAATACGTTCCCCAAAGAGTACACATTCCAGTCTCCACCTCTGAGTTTCTCTCCTGTCCAACCATCCCTTCCCTTTGCTCCCCACCATCCTCTGTCCTACAAAAGGCCTAGAGCTGCAGAAAAACACAATGGACTGCAAGGACATAGAAGTAAAACAGGGCTTGGAACTTAAGAAAAGAGAGCTTGGAGGAAGAGTGGGTTGGAGCGATGAGACGCGCTGCTGGAAACCAGCAGTTGGTGGTTTCCTCCGGTGCTTCCTCTTTTGTGGGTATCTCCTCCCTCAGGAAAGGCTTATTTCTCTCCTCCCCAGACAGAGAGGGTATATTTGGTGCTTGCTCACTTGAACTGCAACATTCTATAAGGATGTAGAATGATTCCATGTGTGCGTGTGTGAATCCCCTCCATGGTGGACCTCCGATTCTGCACACAGGACCCCTTCCTGTTACTGGGAGGTGGTCAAAGCTGCCCTACTTCCCAGGGTCCTCTCCTGTTCCCTCATCAGTGTCCACCAGAGGCCCTGTCCCACAAAGGTCTCACAGGGAAATGGGCCTAACCTTAAGCTCAAACAGGTTTGGTAGCCTCTGCCCTGCCTCTTTTCTTCTACAGCTTTATAAGATACTGCTGCCTTGATCACCAATATTGACTTGGTCCAGGGGCTGCCCGCAGGTATCCCGCCTTAGCCCCTAGGGGAGGGGCAACGCTGTCCTCTCCTGGAACCATTCAGGGGCACCTCACGGATTTGAGCCCAGGGGCTGCACCCCTAAACCCTGCATGGGAGAAGTTTCCCTCCCATTTCCTTCCTGGCCCCTGCTTTTCTGCTATCTCCTCTCTCACTATCTTTTCCTTCTCTGGGCTTCTCTTTCACTCTCTACCCCTCCTCAGCTGGTAATCCAGTCTCTAACCTCTTCACACCCAAACTGGAAGGCTTGTTCCTCCCTGCCACACCTCAGGCTGTCACCAGCTTCCTCCAGGTTTCCATAGCGTCATTGCTCAACATTTTGCCAAGGGTAACCATTAACTCAGCTCTTAACTTTGCTCACCTGCCTTTCTCACCACAGGTGACTTTCCAGCCACTGGTCAGCAAGGCCAGGTCCTCTCACTCCACCGTCTTTCCCGACCTAGGCAGGACCTTCTCACCTTCCTGTCTCAGAACAAAACTGAGGAGGAAGATGTATGTAAGAGATTTTTTTGTACTGGAGATAGAACCCAAGACCCTTGCACTGAGCTACATCCTAGCCCTTTTTGTTTGTTTGTTTTTGGGGTTTTTTTGCGGGGGAGGTTGGGGGTTTTTTGGTACCAGGGATCAAACTCAGGACCTTGCGCTTCCAAGGCAGGTGGCAGCACCACTGAGCTAAATCCCTGGCCCTGTTTTTTTCTTTTTGAAAAAGGGTTTTACTAAATTATCCAGGCTAAGCTTGAACTTTTTTTTAAATTTATGCTTGAACTTTCAATCTTCCGGCCTCAGCCTCTGAAGTAGCTGAGATTATGGGTGTGAACCACCACACCCTGCTAGTTAAGGAATTTTTAAAAACAATATATGTGTTTGTTCCTCACAACTTCCTGCCTTCCCTCTCTCATCTAAATACAGTAAAAAAAATAAGCTACAAAGAGCAGACTTCATTATGTTCACTGCTCAGAGTCCAACATCTATCCCAGAGAAGGCACTAAATAGATGCTGAACGAATGACTAACATTCTCTGCTCTGAAGAGAGAGAGGGGCAGAGAGAGAGAGAGAGAGTGTGTGTGTGTGTGTGTGCGCGCGTGTATTCGCGTGCGCACATGCATGTAGGGGTATGGGCAAAGCCCAGTAGTGGTGTAAGTGTTCTTACTAGGTCTATACCTTTTGGAATTTGGTGTCATTCAAATATTTCCACCTCCTCTTGAGGAGTTGAAATAATAAATTAGGCCCCATAGTGCCCTCTTTTGTGGGGGTGGTCATACCCTGAACCCAGGAAACAGGGAAAGTAGGGTTGGGATAGAAGTCCTTATGTCTACATATTTATTTAAAACACTCATGTAGTTCTTACTTTGTTTGCCAGGCACAGGTCTAAGTTCTTTATAAATATTAACTCTGAGGGTACAAATATTAATCTAGAATTGTTGGCACAGGTTGAATTAATATTGCGTCTCTCCATTCTTCAGGGGATAAAAGTACCTCTGGCCCTTTAAGGTTGGCCTCCTGCCCCATTCCCCGCCCTAACTCTCCTAGACCCCTTCCCCGGATTTAGACTCCAGCTCCGCTTCCGACCTTCTCTCAGGCTCCACTCCACGTCAATCAAAGCTCCGAAATGCCCGGGCTAAATTCCCGGCTGCTAAGCAACGGCAGAGGGCGGGAAGTTTGAACGTTATGGAGCCGCCCCCGAATGCGAACAGGCCAATCAGCGCCCTGGCCCTTCTACGTCTGCGGTCCACCCCTCCTCGCCCTATTAGGTCTCTAGGCGGGATCCGGGACTCTAGGACCAATAGTGGCTAAGAGGGCGGGGACGTGCGCGCGCACGTCGGTCCCACCTCCCGCAGGCTCGCGGCGGTTGGTCAGCGGGACAGTGGCGTGGCGGTTGCGACCCAGGTGACGAAAAAGGCGGGAAGGCGCCGCGAGTTGGCGGCAGTGTCGGGTGAGGGGACCAGAGCGTGAGGCTGTGAAGGGAAGTGTGGCGAGCAAAGGCTGAGGTGCCTGTCTCGCCCCGCAGGGCCCTCAGACCTCCGCGTGACAGAAATGAGAGTGGGTTGCGCGGAGTTTCCCAGAGCGCTTTAGTGAAGTGACTGAGAAGTCCGCTCAGATCATCCCCATCTGTGCCCACGCCCCTCGCAGAAGCCCCCAGTGGGTTTGTGCTGCGAGTGGAATGTCGCTCCTGAGCCCCTCCGCGTTGTGCACCCGCAGAGCCGCCAAGCGCATGGCCTCCTGCGCGGAAAGCCCCGGCGCAGCAACGCAGGGACTGGGACCCAGGGTGGCCTCCGCCGGCTGCCCCAGCCTGGACCCCGCGCCGGGCCCGGAGGAAGCCGAGGACGGTGACGAGGAGCCGGCCGAGGTCTCCCAGAGCGGGGAGCCAGGACTGGGGTGGGAGGGGGGCTGTCACCCACCGGTCGCCTCAGCCTAGCACGCGCGGCGCCAGTGCCACCTCCCGAGGATGTGACTGACAGCCGAGCCAGGCACGCAGTCAGGAGTGGTGCAGAGAGGTGTCGTCCTCGCTGGGCAGGTCCATCTGTGTGTGCTGTGGAATTCAGGACACCTGGGCATTGCCTACTATGACACCAGTGACTCAGCCATCCACTTCATGCCGGATGCCCCAGACCAGGAGAGCCTCAAGCTTCTGCAGAGAGGTGGGGACAGAAGCACGAGGAATCCCTAGATTCTCGGGATTAGAAGTGTCTTCACCCATATCTTCTCACCTGACTTAATCTATTTCGTAGTTGACGACCAGGGACTCCCTGTGTTGATTTTTAGAATTCATTTCAGTACTCAATAAATATTTTTTAGGTGTTTTCATTGTTATTGAGGGAAGCAGATATAGTCCTGGGCAAATCAGTCCTTCAGGGGTTTATAGTTTAGTGACAGTCTTCAGGGCACCCCTCTTCTCTCCCACCACTCTGACAGTCTTAATATTTTTTTCTAAATCTCATGGCTCACCTTTACCTATACTTCCAATGTGTGGTCCCACCCTACTCTTAGAGGGAGGAAATAAATTCTTGAGAGGGAGACAGTAGCAGGAAATGCACTGTGAGTTTCCTCTTAGTCCATTGATAAAGATCCTTAAACATTTATTGGGTGTGGGGTGGTGTACACCTGTAATCCCAGCACTCGCAAAGCTGAGTCAGGAGGATCACTATGAATTTGAGGCCAGTGTGGGCTATACAGTGAGTTCAAGGCCAGCCTGAATACATAATAAGACCTTATCTCAAAAAAAAAAAAAAAATCCTTAAACTCATTTGGTCTCTCTCTTTTCTCCAAGTTTTGGATGAAATCAATCCCCGGTCTCTTGTTACAAGTGCCAAACAGGATGAGAATATGACTCACTTTCTAGGAAAGCTTGGTAAGAACTGGGTCAGAAAGAAGGAAAATGGAAAAGGACCAAGATATGGAATGTTTTAGAAGGCTAGAATTGGGTGGGAGGAAGTGTGGGACAGAGGTGAAAGGACTGAGAGGTATGGAATGATGGTCTATTTTTCTTTTCTTCCCACACAGCCTCCCAGGAACACAGAGAGCCAAAGAAACCTGAAATCATATTATTGCCAAGTGTGGATTTTGGTATCTCGTTCTTTTTGGTTTACAGTTTTCTATCCCAGTGTCTCCTCCCTTTCTCCTTATTCCACCCCATTATCAGAGATCTCCCCTCAGCCTTACATCATCCTAAACGTGTTCTCCATGCTCCATGACCGACCTCCCCAAGATTTCTCTTGCTCCCTCCCCCTTAATAATCTGCAAATTATTGTGAAGCCTTTGGTTAGACTTGTCTAGAGGTGAGGGTCACCCTGAAAGGAGGAGGTGATGACATTTTGAACAGCTTTGATTGTTGAAATTTTCCCCTTTAAACCAAAGTTACTTAAAAAAAACCCAAAAAGGGTGCAGCCTCAGTGACACTGATGATCCCTAAGACACTTTCACCAGGCTTGCAAAGCAAGTACAGGATTTTCTATCCTACAGATGTTAGGCCATTAATGTTATTAGCTCCTATATCAATACAATCTTTTTGACTCCAAATCCCTAATTCTAGACATATCTCTTTCTCTCCCAAGTCAGTCTTTCTCAGGTTGTGCCCTCAGCCAAACATATTTAAATTATATACAGAATAAAAGAGGAATTGGACTAAGAACCTGAGATTTTTGGTTCTTTCTTCAGCCTTCTGTTTACTGCCTGTGCAAAGTTGAGCAAGTCAAGTCATCTCTCTCTTTTATTGCCTTATTCTCTTTTTATTTGTTTTGGTTTTTTTGCAGTACTAGGGATTTAACTTAGGTCCTTGCGCTTGCGAGGCAGGCAGCGGAACCACTGAGCTAAATCTCCAGTCCCTATTCCCTTATTCTTATTTGTTTTTGCTTTTTTTTTTTTTTTTTTGGTGCCGGTGATCAAACTTGGGTTCTTGGCGCTTGAGAGGCAGGTGGCAGAACCACTGAGCTAAATCCCCCATTATTGCCTTATTCTTAGTGGGGTGAAAAAATTGGGCTACAAGACCTTTCCTACCTCTTCCTCCCCCAAATAGGTCTGGAGATAAGCAAACAGCGCCTCCTTTCTGGAAACTACTCCTTCATCCCAGAGTCTATGACAGCCACTGAGAAAATCCTCTTCCTCTCCTCCATCATTCCCTTCAACTGCCTCCTCACAGTGAGCTGGGTCCTGGGCTTAAAGGTTGGGATGCAGCCTTGAGGAAGGCACAGGCACCCAGTCCTAGGGTTGAGTCTGGAAGGTACTAGCCTAGCCTGGGAAACAATAGTTTTCCCTGGTTTTGTCCAGCCTCCAGGATGTTAGCGTTTACCCCAACTTTACTTCTGATCCCCCCAGGTTCGGGCACTTGGAGGACTCCTCAAGTTCCTGGGTCGAAGAAGAGTTGGGGTTGAACTGGAAGACTATAATGTCAGCGTCCCTATCCTGGGCTTTAAGAAATTTGTGTTGTAGGTGATTCATCCTAACTTCAACCAAGTAAAGTGGGATTGGGAGGCCTAAAAGTAAGCCAGGGGTTGGAGGCAGTGATCCAGTGGGAAAAGTGCTCTAGGACACAGGAGAATGAGAGGGTTTGTGGAGCTCTGGGGAGAACATTGAGATGATATTCTCAAGGGAGACCCAAAGGGGTGGAGTTTTGTAATAAACTCAGACCCTTCACACCCCAGCCAGCTCCCTTGTTTTCTGTCCTCAGGACTCATCTTGTGAGCATAGATCAAGAAACTTACAGGTGAGGAGGTGGAGGCAGGCTGCTGTCTCTGGCAAGAGAGGATTAAGTTTAATTCTCTAATAATCTGAATGAGGCTCTAGTTTCCCTAATCCTAGGGTTATAAGCACTCTGTCCATGAAGGAAAGAGAAGAAGGGCAGTGAGGGGTAAGGAAGAAAAGTACAAAGGTGTCACTTGCCCTCTATTCCTTTCTCTTTTCCTTTTTGTTCTCCTGCAATGCTGGAGATGGAAACCAGGGCCTGGTGCATGCTAGGCAAGTGTTTTACCACTGAGCTACATCCCCGGCCTATGACCCTCCTTTTCTAAAGGGAGAAACTGAAGCATAGAAAAGTGAGCGATGAACCTAACAACAAGACTTGATCTCAGGAGGATGTTCCCAGTCCTCATTCTGTTTTCTCAGTTTCTATTCCTTTCAAAAATCCAAGTTATCCCACACTTCTCCATTTCTCCCTGACAGTGTTCTGCAGATTTTTAAGAGCGAGTCTCATCCTTCAGTGTACAAAGTGGCCAGTGGACTGAAGGAGGGGCTCAGCCTCTTTGGTAGGTATTCCCAATCCCTCATTATGCACTATAAAACCCTACCAGAAAAGCAGTTGTCTCCAGAGATATGTCCCAGCCCCTCTACCCACTTCTCTCCCATTCGGTGTCTCTTCCTTGAGAGTCCAGCTTTCTTTTTTTCTTTTTTTTTTTTTTTGGTACTGGAGATTGAACTCAGGTCCTTGCGCTTGTGAGGCAGGTGGCAGAACCAACTGAGCTAAATCCCCAGCCCCAGCTTCCTTTTTTTTAAATATTTAATTTTTTTATTAGTATATGTATTCAGTACATGATTACATTCATCATGGGAAGTTGGTACATGTACATAGCATCTTTGTTTTTGGTACGGGGGATCGAACTCGGTCCTTGAGCTTGAGAGGCAGGAAGCAGAACCACTGAGCTAAATCCCCAGCCCTGCAGCTTTCCTGTTATCTTTGTCCCAGGTCTGACCTTGAGCTTCTCCCCAGGCATTGTACAGTGTTGTCTGCATGTCAGCTATGTTCATTCCCTGAGTCTGTGTGGATGTTTCTACTAGATGGGCCCCTGTTAAGCATGTACAGCAGAGAGCTACATAACTGCTGTCACTGCCTGTTTGATCCCTATAGAATGTTTATTGGATGTCTTTGGCTTTAGGGTAAGGACATAGCTCCAAATATCTGCATTATCTCGGTGGGTTGGGTCTAATTTTTACATCCCTGTGTTGGGCTCTCTGTGAGACTTAGCTAGGTCTGCTTTGTGTATTTTTCTGAGTGTTCCTGTGAGTGTTCACCACTTCCCCCTTCTCCACGTGCAACAGTTCTGGCCTAGATTTGTGGCCAGACACCAGCTTTCGGTCCCTCTGTGTCCTGTGTCTGGGCCTTCAGGTCAGCCTTCCTCCTAAGAGCTCACTTCTTGTCCACACCCTCACAGGAATCCTCAACAGATGCCGCTGTAAGTGGGGAGAGAAGCTGCTTAGGTGAGTGGGTCTCAGACACATGCCGTACTCTGGTGCCTCCGTTGCATGCACATGTTATACACTAATGCCTGCTATTAGTGATCTGCAGACTCACACACACCATATAATCCAGTGGTAGTAGTAAAACAACTCTTTACCAAGTGCTGGCTAAATGCATGTAATCCTTACAGCACTCATTGATGTTATCCACGTTTTATGTTATCAACACAGATATACACATACCCACTGCTGATACACAGGCTTGCATACATAAAAGCAGCAGAGCCAGCTGTGGTAGTACACACCTGTAATCCTAGCAGTCAGGAGGCTGAGGGAGGAGGATTGCCATAAGGTCAGCCTGGACTACAATATTGAGATCAAGGCTGGCCTGGACTACGTAGCAAAATCCTGTCTCAAAACGAAACAAAGCGAAACAAAAAAGCAGAAATATCACCACAAAACACTAATGTAACACAGGGCCATATCTTTAATTTTAAAAACACACTTCAGTCAGAAGTTAGATCACCTATGATCCCAGCACTCGGGGAGGCTGAGGCAGGAAGATGTACCCAGTCTGGGCAACTTAGCAACTTAGTAAGACCTTGTCTCAAAATTTTAAAAAAGTGGGGCCGGGGATTTAGCTCAGTGGTTCCGCTGCCTACCTTGCAGGCATAAGGTCCTGAGTTCTATCCCTGGTACCAAAAAAATAAGAAAAATATTTAAAAAGTAGGGCCGGGGATTTAGCTCAGTGGTTTTGCTGCTTGCTGCTCAAGCACAAGGACCCGAGTTCGATCTCTGGTACCAAAAATAAATAAATAAATAAAAAGTAGGGCCAGGGATTTAGCTCAGTGGCACTATCCCTGCTTTATAATCACAAGGTCCTAAGTTCAATCCCTGGTACCAAAGGGAAAAAAAATTTTTTTTAATTAAAAAATAATAATAAACAGCTGGGGATATAGCTCAGTGAAAAGCTCTGAGTTTAATCCCTAGTACCAAAAAACAAAAATGAACAAACAAAAAAACACTCCTCCCATACACAGCACACACACACACAGACCAGGGTGGTCTAGGGTTGTATCTCAGTGATACATGCCTTTCCCAGCATGTATGAAGCCCTAGGCTCCATCCCTGACACCAAGAAAGAGACCAAAACTCAAATTTGAGCTATTCTCTGGTAATTCCCAAATTTGTGTGCATAGTTCTAAACTCCATGAGTGGAACACTAACTGCAGACCATTTGCCACCCGTAATTTCCACAGGCACCTCAAACTCAAGAGCATCTGAACTGATGCCCACAGGACCTACTCCTCTTCCTGTAGCCTTTTTTTTTCTCCTGGTTAATGGCATTTTTGGCAGTGGAGCATCTTGAGCTATGAACCTGTGCTTCTTTCTCAACCTTGCTTATTCAGTTATTCAGTACACAGCCTACTGATTGTATTCTGAAATGCCTCTCAGTCATCCCCTTTTCCCTCTTTCCACTGCATCAAACCCAGGGCCTCACAAGTGCTAGGCATGTGCACTACTCCTGCACTATACACTGAGCTAGCTATCATCATTTTTTTTTAAATTATCTATTAACTATCATCATTTTTAACGTGGAGCATTCCATTTGCCTCCTAACTGGTCTGTCTAATCTCTTCCACCCCTACACCCCTACTACTGGGAATTGAACCTAGGGCCATCACACTGAACTATATCCCCAGCCCTTTTTATTTTGAGACAGGGTCTTACTATGTTGCTAAGTTGCCCAGGATGGGCTTGAACTTGTGACCCTTCTGCCTCAACCTCCCAGAGCACTGGAGTTACAGGCATGTGCCAACACACATGGCTTCCTTTTTCCAGTTAATCTGTCATTCTAAAATGCTGCCATTCCAACACAGAGATCTGAGCATGCCACAGCAATTTGTTAGAAACCTTAAGCAGAAACAGAGTAGCAGGAAGCCTTCCCATTACTGCCGGATGAAAATTAGCATCTTTCTCAATGTGATGCTGCAGTGTGATGTTCAGGCTCCCTCCGATTCTCCTCAGTTTTACTTCCCCTTCCTAAATTCCCCTTAAGTCGTCTCCTTCTAAACTCCTCTAAGTCGTTGGATCCTTCCTGCATACTCATCATTTAGGGCCACTTGTCCTTATGCCTGTGTTTCTGCTCTTCTCTCTTAAAGGTCCTATCTCCTGTTCTCTCCCTGTCAGAGGTTTATATCCTCTTCAAAGTGTAAACCAGCTGTCACTTCTTTGACAGAGTTTTCACAGGTACCTGTCAGGAGATTGATGTGGACCTTCTTTGTGCTTAACATGGTGCTTGTTTATGTTTTTCAGTTGCACTGTCACACCAGATTAGAAGTAGCAGTCACTTAATCTGCTTGCTTTTGTAGCTGTGAACTCTGCCCAGTGGCCATTCCTGGTACCTCGGTGCCAGACTCAGGCCCTTGTACGTAGTAGCAGCACCCAGATGCAAGCATACCAGTCACATTGCCTCGAACGAAGAGTCTTTGCTAGCCTACAGGTGCACACGGCTCTCTCTCCTCACCTCCCACAATACATGCCTTCTAGGGGTAATTTAGGATAATCTCTGAGGTCATCTCCAGGCAACTGGTGGGGTAATTTAATTACACGTCTCCAGTGCTTTAAGTGTAGATCTCTAATCTCAAGCAGGGATAGAAAGAAATTCTCAGTGAAGAACTGGGTTAGTGATGGGGGAGGAGTATAGATTTCCCAGATGGGATTCACATAAAATCACGACCTGAATGTTGAACTAAGGACCCCGGTGGCCTAAAGTTGGACACAGTCCTGAGGTGACTGAATGTCACAGGCACTGTCCTGGCACTTTGGATACCTGAGTTTTCATTAGCAGTATGACTGGACAGACTGCTTATTCACCTAGGGCCTTGTTTCCTCAGCTGTGAAACTAGGGAATTGAGCTTGACTGAGGGCCCCCAGTACTTGACTGAGGGCCCTACTAGTACTCCCATGTACTAGTAGAACATGAGTCAGAGAGACCTAGGTGTCTTTTGAGAAAGTGTACTGAGCGAGGCTTATGTGCTTTTGAAAGTGGGTATAGGGATTCATAGACTGTGGACTACACTACCATGGCTGAAGCTTTCTCTGACTGAGGAGTGGAGTAGAAGTACCTAGAACCCATCCTTAAATCCATCTAGGTCTCCTGTTTCATTCTAATTTGAGATTTCCAACACAGGGTAAATGGGAATACACTATAGTGTAAAACATGTATGCTCAAGCCCCAGTGTTTGCACTTGTTGGCTCTTAGATAAAATGCTTTTAAAAATGCTTAGTGGTGGGCCGGGGATTTAGCTCAGTGGTTCCAACACCTGCCTTGCAAGCACAAGGTCCCGAGTTCGATCCCTGGTACCAAAAAAAAAAAATGCTTAGTGGTTTGGGACCAGGGATTTAGCTCAGTGCCACCACGCCTGCCCTGCAAGCGCAAGGTCTTAAGTTCGATCCCCAGTACTAAAAAATAAAATGCTTAGTGGCTAGGCATGGTGGCATACACCTGTAATCCCCCAGCACTGGGGAGGCTGAGGCAGGAAGATCACAGTGAATTCAAGGCCAGCCTGGACTGCATAGTGAGTTCATGGCCAACCTGAGCTACATAGCGAGACCCTGTCTCAAAAAAAAATTAAATAAATAAATAAAATAAAAATATAAATAGGGCCGGGGATTTAGCTCAGTGGTTTCGCTGCCTGCTGCGCAAGTGCAAGGACCCGAGTTTGATCCCTGGTACCAATAAATAAATAAATAAATAAATATAAATTTAAAAATAAAAATGCTTAGTGGCTTGGTCTAATGTAGAAAATAATCTATGGGCTAAGTTCTTACAGTTTTATTTTTTTCATAACCATAGGGATACAGGGTTACCTGCAATTAGACAAACATAGATGAGACATTTATTTCTGTGTAATTATTTTAACATATTAGGAAATATCTCTGCCACACAATAATAATAACAAGCACTTGGGAGGCAGAGGCAGGAGGATCATCCTGAGTTTGAGGGTAGCCTGGGCTATATATTGAGTTCAGGGCCAGCCTGAACTCAAAGCGAGACACTGTCTCAAAAAAAAAATAATAACAACCACTTACCAGTTTAAGAATAAGATATTATTAGGGCTGGGGATGTAGCTCAGTGGTAGAGTTCATGCCTAACATGCATTAGGCCTTGCATTCTATCTACAGCACTAGGGAAAAAAACGTTCTATAATCTAGCATTCTGGGAGGCCAAGGCAAGAAGATTGCAAGGTTTTGTTTTGTTTTGTTTTGTTTTTGAGATAGGGTCTCCCAATGTAGTTAAGGTTGGTCTTGAATTCACTATGTAGCCCAGGCTGGCCTCGAACTTACAGTGATCTTCCTGCCTCAGTCTCCCAGAGTGCTGGAATTACAGGCACGCACCACCACACCTGGCAAGATTGCAAATTTGAGCCCAGCCTGGGCAATTTAGTGAGACGTTGTCTCAAAAATAAGAAATGGACTGGGAATGTTAGCTCAATGTGAAGGCCTTCGGTTCAATCTCTAATACTGAGAAAAAATATTCCAGAATAAGACAACCTTGTTGAAGCCCCTTAAATGTCCTTGCTGACACTTTCTTCTTTGCAGAGGTCACTGCTAAGTGTGAATGACAGCCTTATCATTCCATGGGGCACTGTTACACTCTTACAGGAAGAACATGGCAAGAAGAATGGCTGCTACCCAGAGATACTTTCAGAGCTAAATACAGACATACAAACTCATACTGATTCACTCTCTCCTACTCTGCCCCAGAGAGGACTGTAGTGTTGGCAGACAAATACTTCCAGCACACTTCTGTCCCTCTCAAATATTGACAGGCTCTGTCACATAGCCACATGGAGTGACACATGGTCTCATCCATCAAAACCACGATACACAGACACACGCTCATATCCAGCAATTTTCCATAGAGACATAAACACACCCACACCGGTAGGACACTGCACTGTAGCATGTCACAGGTTCAAACTGCTACAGTCCCCAGGGACTGCCAAAGATATTGGCAGTGAAATTGAGGCAATAATTAGAACAGATGTAATGTCTAGTCCCTTACCCCCACCCTCACTTTCAGGCTATGGTTTACGCGTCCCACTCAGGACCTGGAGGAACTCAGTTCCCGTCTGGATGTCATTGAATTTTTTCTGCTGCCCCAAAATCTGGACATAGCTCAGATGCTGCATCGGCTTATGAGTCACATCAAGAACGTGCCCGTAAGCCCAGGGTGGAGGGAAGGAAGTTGAGGGCCAATACTGATGTAGGGTTTGTGAGGGGCATTCAGTAGTAGAGGGAAAACAGTGGTGTCCCCTTTGCTCACTACAGCTAATTTTGAAACGCATGAAGTTGTCCCATACCAAGGTCAGCGACTGGCAGGTTCTCTATAAGGTAAGCCCTCCCTTCTTGAATCCCAGAAGTCTAAAGCCCCTTAGCCTGTGTTTAAAACCTTCTTTTCTTTGGTCACCCTGTCCAACCTTAACCCACCACTTTAAAAAACATTATATTGGACTGGGGATTTAGCTCAGGGACCACACCTGCCTTGCAAGTGCAAGGTCCTGAGTTTGATCCCCAGTACCAAAAAAACAAACAAAAATTGTACCGTGGAAAATGTCAAAAATATTTAGAATAATGAACTAGCCCCCTTGTACCCACCATGTAGCTTCAACACTTTGACTCATGGCAATCTTGTTGCATCCTTTTTTTTTTTTTTGGTACCGGGGATCGAACATTGGTCCTTGCATTTGCGCAGCAGGCAGCAAAACCACTGAGGTAAATCCCTGGCCCTTGTTGCATCCTTTTGGATTATTTTGAAATAAATCCCAGTCATTATATCATTTTATCCAAAAATAGTGTTACTATTTTAAAAATTATTTTTAGAGGGCCAGGGATTTAGCTCAGTGGTGTCGCCACCTGCCTTGAAAGCACAAGGTCCTGAGTTTGATCCCCAGTACCAAAAAAAAAAATTATTTTTAGAAAGAATGGTGGAGCTGGAGGTTTGTCTCAGTGGTAGAGTGCTTGCCTAGTGTGCACTTCCTTGGTTAGGTTAATTCATTAGTATTTAATGTTTCTTGATGCTATTATGAATGGTATTATTTTCCTAATTTTTCTCAGTTCATTATTAGTGTACACAAATACTATTGATTTGTATGTGTTGATTTTTTATCCTGCTATACTACTGATTTTGGTTATTAATTCTAGGATCTCGTGGTGGAATTTTTTGGGTCTTCTATGTGGAAGATCATCTCACCTTCAAATAATGATAATTTGACTTCTTCCTTTCCTGTATATATCCATTTTATTTCTTTTTCTTGCCTGATTGCTCTGGCTAACGTTTCAAGTACTGTATTGAACAGGAATGGTGATAATGGACATCCTTCTTATATTACTGGTTTTAGAGGGAACACTTTCAGTTTTTCCCCATTTAATATGATATTGGCAGTAGGTTGTTGTAAATGGGTTTATCAGATTGAGTTAAGGTCCTTCTATACCTATTTTCTTTCTTTTTTTTTTTTTTGGTACCAGGGATCAAACTTGGAACCTTGCATTTTCGAGGCAGGTGCCAGAACTACTGAGCTAAATCCCCAGCCCTATACCTATTTTCTTTAGGGTACTTATTTATTTAATTTTTTGTGGTACTGGAGATCGAACTCAGGACCTTGCACTTACCAGGCAGGCATGGCACCACTGAGCCAATCCCTGGCCCTTCTTTAGAGTTTTTAATCATGGATGGGTATTGAATTTTGTCAAAGGCTTTTTCTGTATGTGTTGAGATGATCGTGATATTTTCGTCCTTGCTTCTGTTTATGTGCTGTATTACATTCATTGATGTGTGCGTGTTGAACTAAACTTGCATCCCTGAGATGAAGCCTCTTTGGCCATGATATGTGATCTTTTTGATGATTTGTTGCTTTCTCTTTGGCAATATCTTGTTGAGGGTTTTTCTATCTATGTTTATTATAGAGATTGCCTTGCGGTTCTCTTTTTGGTTGAATCCTAGTCTGGCTTTGGAATCAGGGTAATGCTAGTTTCCACAAGTGACTTCAGGAATTCTCCCTTTCAAATTCATTAAAGAAATTGGCTGGGCATGGTGGCGCACACTTGTGATCCCAGCACTTGAGGGGCTGAGTGAGGCAGGAGGATCTCTCTGAGTTCCAGGTCACTCTGGGCTACATAGCGAATTTGATGCCAGCCTGAATTACATACTGAGCCCCTGTTTAAAAAAAAATAGGGAAGTAAATAAAAATAACATAGTTTAGTGGGGGGGGGTATTGGTGTCTGATTTTCTCTAAAGTTCTTGTAGAATTCGGTGGTGAATTCATCAGGTCCTGGACTTAGTTGGTAGGTTTTTAACTACCACTTGAATTTCATTTCCTGTTATTGAATTATTTGGGGTTTCTGTATCTTCTCAGTTCAGTTTTGGTAATTCATATCTAGGAATCTATTTTTTTCCTATTTTTTTCCAATTTATTAGAGTACTGATTTTGGTAGTAGTTACTAATTATCTTCTGGATTTTGGTATTGCCTGTTGTAATTTAGCCTTTTTCATTTCTAATTGTATTGATTTGGATCTTTTCTTTCTTTCCTTCTTTCTTTTTTTTCCTTCTTTTGTAGGTTTTTTTTTTTTTGAGATTAGTTAAGTTTTATTGGAAAAAAAAAAGAGGAGGAAAATAGCTCCTGGATTTCCAAGAGGGGGTGGTCCCTTTTTCTTTTGGCACCAGGGATGGGACTGAGGATCTTGCACTTTCAAGGCAGGTTTGGTGCCACTGAGTTAAATCCCTGGGCCACGGGGTGGTCCTTTTTTGTAAGATTGGCTAAGGGTTTTTCTATATTGTTCATTCTTTCAAACAACCAGCTCTTCAATTCATTGATTCTTTTAGCCTCAATTGCATTAATTTCTGCTCTGATCTTTATAATTCCTTTCTTATATTAGCTTTGGAATTGAATTGTTATTGTTTTTCTAGGACCTTTAGGTGCCACTTAGGTTATCCAAGAGTTGAATGCTGGCTGTGGTTATTGCTACCAAGGTATCTGCACTTCTAGGCCACAGACAGGAAATATCTGCCTGTATACCAACCCAGGCAGACATATATGTATTCCTGTGTCTCTCTATATCAAAGAACCCGGGAGTTCACAGCAATATCTCTGATCCAGTCCAGTGTCACAGAATTCACTGTAAACTTCTTTTTTTCATTTGTAACGTCTTTCTCTGACAGAGAGAAATCTGGTTCTCATTATCTGCTCTATCTTCACTTAGTACATAAAGTGGTTTAAATTTTTGCAAAAATATGAGCAGGTATGTCTGACTGTATCTTTCTACCCCACTGCTTCGTAACATCATCCTGTTTCAGCCCTGTCAGGCTCTGCATTGAAGTCCCCTGTCTGGGATACCCTCTGTGCTCCTGCTCAGTACAACAGGGTTAAAGACTGCACACCTGGATTCACATCTCAGCTCTCTCATTTCTTTGCCCTGAGACCTTGAGGATTATGTCACCTCTTTGTGCCTCAGGCTGTTCATCTGTGAAATCGACATCATGCTATGATTGTAGCTACCTCACAGAATTATTTTTTGGAGTGAATGAAATCAACATCTAAAAGGCTAGAACATTGCCTGGCATGTAGATGTCAGCCCTTCCCACCTTTGCCCATGCTGTGCTGCCACTCAGAGTGCCTCCTTTTCTTTTCTTTTTTTTTTTTTTCCTCCTTTCCTTTTGAATCCTTATTCAGGACCCAATTCTTCTTCTTTTCTTTTCTTTCTTCAAATTTTTTTCTCAGTCCTGTGGCTCAAACCCAGAGCCTCACACATGCTAGGCAAGCACTCCACCCCTGGGCTTCATCCCCAGCCCTCCTCAATTTTTTCTCTGCAGACTTCCCAAAGTATTTTAGGCCACGTTAGTCTTATTCTATGAACTTCCTTAGTAATTTAGTAATTTCTGCAACTTGGTTAATCTGTTGTGTAGGGCTAGTCATTGTTTTTGCTGCCTGTTTGTGTCCATCATGGCTAGATTATAAACTTGTTGATTTCCATACTTTATATGTCCCCTAGTGTAGAGTAAAGCTCTGTAAGTGTACGGGGGTTTGGATCACCAATCACTAATCTGGGGTTGGATCACCCCTCATGTCACTGACCCTCACCCTGGGGGTTTCCTCTCAGGGACCCTCACCTGTCCTCTTCCTGCTCTCTGTGCTATCCCTGCCTCTTCTCACTTCTTTCCTGACTCATCCCTAGTTCTCTTTTGCCCTTCTCTTATGGGAGTCTGACTTAGCTTTCTTTCTTCCTTCCTTCTTTTCTCTCTCTCACTCTCTTCTTTCTTTCTTCCTTTTGCTCTCCTTTCCCTTTCTCTCTTTCTTTCTTTCTTTCTTTCTTTCTTTCTTTCTTTCTTTCTTTCTCTCTTTCTTTCTTTCTCTCTTTCTTTCTCCTCTTCCTCCTCTCCCCTCCCCTTCCCTTTCTTTTCCTTCTTTATGTTTCACAGCACTGGGGATGGAATCCAGGGCCTCATACCTGCTAGGGAAATGTTCTACCACTGACCCACTACACTCCCGCCCTCTTATGGGAATTTGTAACAAAACTGTATCAAGGGGCTACCAGCCAGGTGTAGTAGCACATACATATAATTCCAGCACTATGGGAGGCTGAGGCAGGAGAATTTTAAGTTCAAGCTGAGCCTGGGCAACTTAGTGAGAACATGTCTCCAAAAAATAAAGGAAAAGGCAAAAGGAAAGGGCTGGCGTTGGCCCTGGGTTCATTCCCCAGTTTCAAAAAAAGCACTTATCACTTTCTTTTTAAATCTTCTGCACATGCTTCTGTCCTCACTAGACTGAGCTCATCTGGGACAGGGACTGAATCTTCACTCTGTAGCCTCAGCATGTAGGATGGTGCCTGGTAGTTTTACAGATGCCATTTTCACTCTCGCCATTTCTTTTTGCCTTTGTGATCTTCTCTGTGTCTTTGGTTGTTTTTCCCTGTTGCTCTGCCTTCTTCTCCTGCTGTCCGTGTCCCCTCATCCTCTGCGGTGCCTTTCTCCTTGTAGACTGTGTACAGTGCCCTGGGCCTGAGGGACGCCTGCCGCTCCCTGCCCCAGTCCATCCGGCTCTTTCGGGACATTGCCCAGGAGTTCTCCGATGACTTGCACCACATTGCCAGCCTCATTGGGAAAGTGGTGAGCGGGAGAGAGACAGGGCACCTGGAAGGCAGGGAAAGTCTGAGCTTGGAGAACGAGAGGGACATGGCCTGGGGATGTGGATTTGGAGGTGGGGAAGCCTGGGAGACTCAAGAAGGGGATGGTGAGAAGAGGCACGGAGCCCTGGAACTTTCTGGAAGGTCGGGGTCACAGCAGAGCTTCAGGAGGAATGGGGCCCAAGGAAAGCCAAGAAGCACAGAGCCCTGAAGACCGGGACTTGCACCTGTTTCCCCAGGTGGACTTTGAGGGCAGCCTTGCTGAGAATCGCTTCACCGTCCTCCCCAACATTGATCCTGAAATTGATGAGAGTGAGTGATAGGTGTGGGGAGGGGCTGTGAACCCCAAACACAAACCTGCCTGCTCAGGGTACGTTTTCAGCAGCGGTCACTGCAGCTGGGGATCCTAACAGCCAGGCAGGGGCCTTACTTTTGATACCCATGTGCCTTCCACTCTCCTAGAAAAACGAAGACTGACGGGTCTCCCCAGCTTCCTCACTGAAGTTGCTCGGAAGGAGCTGGAGAATCTGGACTCTCGTGTTCCTTCATGCAGTGTCATCTACATCCCTCTGGTGTGGGCGGGAGGGTGGATGTAGTCTCTAGGGGTCTTCTTTTTTAAGTTTTTTTGAGGCTTGCTATGTAGTTCAGGGTGGCCTTGCACTCATTATGCAGCCCAGGCTGGCCTTGAACTTGTGGTGATCCTCCTGCCTCAGTCTCCCAAATGCTGGGATCACAGGTGTGCGGCACCACGCTCAGCCACCAGCATTCTTACAGAGGACGTGTTAGACTTACGAGAACCTGTGGAGGAGTCTGAACACTTTTGGTGGCTAAGCCTCCTGAGGGAGGCATGGGGGATTTGTGCAGGGCTCTCTGAGAGAGACTCCTTCCTCTAGGGAGAGAAGGTGGCTTGTAGCTAACTCAACTCAACTTTATCACCTCTTTCTTCCACTAGATTGGCTTCCTTCTTTCTATTCCCCGTCTGCCCTTCATGGTGGAGGCCAGTGACTTCGAGATTGAGGGACTGGACTTCATGGTAAGGACCTTGACCCCTGGGGGTCATAAAGAAGGTGAATCAGTGGCCCAGGGAGGAGCTTACCCCACCAGCCCCACCCAGTATGGAGCTCTCCTCTGTAGTTTCACTTGAGCTTTCCCAGCCTGTGACAGAGGAGAAAGGCAGGCATGGGAGGTGGGGTTGGAAAGGTGTGAGAGGAGAGGAGGACCAAGAGTTGTGAAGCCCACAGCTTTGGACCCTTGTTCCCAGTTTCTCTCAGAGGAGAAGCTGCACTATCGAAGCACTCGGACCAAGGAGCTGGATGCATTGCTGGGAGACCTGCACTGTGAGATCCGGGGTGAGAGGACCCAGAGCTGGAGGGAGTGGGGAGCAGCTGGGGTGATGAGTCTCTGGGACTGAGCCTGCGTCTGCATGCTGCCTCCATGTCTGCCTCCCGCTTCCCCACCCCCAGACCAGGAGACCCTGTTGATGCACCAGCTGCAGTGCCAGGTGCTGGCAAGGGCAGCTGTCTTGGCCCGAGTGTTGGACCTGGCCTCCCGACTGGACGTCCTGCTGGCTCTCGCCAGCGCTGCCCGGGACTATGGCTACTCTAGGCCCTGTTACTGTCCCCGACTCCATGGGGTGCGAATCCAGAACGGGAGGTGAGAACACAGGAGCCTGGCGGCAGACACAGGTGCCAAAGGCCCCATATCTGTCTGGATCCATGGGCCAAGAGCAGCACTCTCCACCCCTGCAGACACCCTCTCATGGAGCTGTGCGCCCGAACCTTTGTGCCCAACTCTGCAGAATGCAGTGGGGACACAGGGAGAGTCAAAATCATCACCGGACCCAACTCCTCAGGGAAGAGTATTTATCTCAAGCAGGTGAGAAGCCCTCAGCCTGAGCCCTGGCATCTTCCCCATCCTCTCCACCCCCTGCCAGCCAGCCCTGGACCCTATTCTTCCATCTCACATGTTCTCATCTGCCTATGGGAGCTGGGCTCGTGGATCTGTCTTTCCGTGGCCTGAACTCCACCCACCTCTGAGTAGGTAGGTGCATGCCATTCCCAAGCCTACCTCTGCCCACTCCCGTCCCTCTTGACAGATTCTAAAGTCAAGCCCTGGAAAGAGACAGTGCGTTCTGTACTCTTTCTTCGGTTACTCTTTGATCTGTCATTCGTGCCCTCACTTGAGCCTCACTTTTCCCTCAGCCCACACCACCAAGTCCCAGGTCTGTCTCCACCCCATCCAGGTGGGCTTGATCACATTCATGGCCCTGGTGGGCAGCTTTGTGCCAGCGGAACAGGCCGAAATCGGAGCAGTAGATGCCATCTTCACCCGAATCCACAGCTGCGAGTCCATCTCTCTGGGCCTCTCCACCTTCATGATCGACCTCAACCAGGTCAGAGGACGCAAAGGGAGGTGGGGTCAGGGAGATGCTCAGCGCAGGCCTGCTGTGTGCCCTCTGTACTTGGGACAGGGAGCATCCGGGTCAGAGGCAGAGGAATCAATACCATGAACATTTTTCAGCCCTTCGCTGTGTGTGAGGCAGCGTTGGCAGTGAGATGATGAACTCATCAGGTGCCTCGGTATTAAGAACTTACAGCACCACAGAGTGGACGTGCCACAGCAGCCTGGGGCAGTGCACCACCTGCCTTGGATGCTAGTGACGCTGCCTTGTGCCCCACAGGTGGCGAAAGCAGTGAATAATGCCACCAAGCAGTCCCTGGTCCTAATTGACGAATTTGGAAAGGGAACCAACACGGTGAGGGGAAAAACTGATGAGAACTGAGCGGGGGAGTGGAGGAGGAGGGCAGAGGGGCCTGAGAGTGAGGGATGTGTGGACAGAAGAGACACACGGGGGTCGTGAGACAGGGGAGGGCCTGGCTCTGCACCCTCACCCTCCCGCGCAGCTGGACGGGCTCTCGCTTCTGGCTGCCGTGATCCGACACTGGCTGGCACTCGGACCCACGTGCCCCCACATCTTTGTGGCCACCAACTTCCTAAGCCTCGTTCAGCTACAGCTGCTGCCACAAGGGCCTCTGGTGCAGTATCTGGTGAGGAAGCCAAGGTGGCCCTGGGAATCCAGGGTGAGTGTTTCCGAGGTGGGGGCGGCTCCTCTGTCAGAGCAGGAAGACCCAGGGCACAGGGGCTGTGTCCCTCCCTCTCCTCAGTCCCCAGGACTGGCCCAGGACCCCAGGGCAGGAAGCAGGGCCATGACACCTTTTGTTCTCTTCCAAGACCATGGAGACCTGTGAGGAGGGGGACGACCTTGTCTTCTTCTATCAGGTTTGCGAAGGTGTCGCCTGTGCCAGCCATGCCTCCCACACAGCTACCCAGGCTGGGCTTCCTGACAAACTCGTTGCCCGTGCCAAAGAGGTGACACTGTCCTCCCATCCAGCCACCCCTCCGGGCACCTGGGTTTCTGGGCATGCATGATCTTTGGCCCTGACTTCTCCTCCCCACCCCTCCCCACCCCTGTATCTTCCTTCTTGTTCCTAGGTTTCGGACTTAGTCCGCAGTGGAAAACCCATCAAACCTGTCAAGGAGCTGCAGAAGCAGAACCAAATGGAAAAGTAAGCGTGTGGCCCAGTCTCCTCTTCTCCCCCACAGGGTCTCAGCCGTCTTCCCCAGCCCTGTGCCCTCCCGCACCCACTGCTTCTCTCTGAAATCCCGGATCTTCAAGGCCAGGGCATAGCCTGGGCCATGGCCGCTCCCTCTGCTGAGGTTCAGTCTCCATCCTCCATAAATCTCACTGTCCTTTCTCCCTCTCAGGTGTCAAATACTGGTGGATAGGTTTCTGCAGCTGGATTTGGAAGATCCCAGCCTGGACTTGGATATTTTCATGAGTCAGGAAGTGCTGCCTGCTGCCACCACCATCCCCTGAGAGTCCCTTCTCTGCCCTCCCAGCCCTGAGACCCCAGGGGCTCCTGTGCCCACTTTGTGTGCTTATCCCCTTTAACCCCCTTCAGACCCGAAGTTTGGTTGCCCTGGAAAGTTTGGTTTACTATTAGGAATAAAGTCTATTTTGGATAAAGTTAATGTTCCCTTAGGCCACCCAAAACAAGAGAATAGGAAGCGCTGAACACCCAGTGGAAGCCCATGGCATGGGCTGGAGGGGGCTCAAGGGTACAGTGCTTGCTTGGCATGCACCAGGCCCTGGGTTTGATCCCCAATACTGCAAACAGACAAACAAAAAAGTGACACTACCTAGGGAGACCCTTGGATTCCACCCCTGGAGACATCGTGAGAGACTGCTGCAGAAAGGCCCTAGGAAACAGATGAAAGGGATGGCAGAGGGCCCCAAGAGTCTTCAGCAGGGACACCCCTGCCTCAGACCGGGAAAGGGGCCAGGCGGGGTGGGCGGCAGGGTTGGAGGGGAGGGAACAGCCCTGCACACCACAGGCTGGCTGCACCCTCCCCACCTCAGAGCCGTGGGGAGCCCACGGCCTTCAGGGTCACCCCTGGCTCCGGCTCCCTACACAGTTCTGCTGCTGCCACTGGGACAAGCCGCCAAGACCCGGGGGCCCAGAACTTCTTCCTCTGGGTGAGTATCAGCCCAACAAGGGGTCTCCTGGGAGGCTCGGCTCACCTCCCTAGGTCTGGCCTGTTTCCACTCAGCTGGAGGGCCATGTCTGCTGCCCACCTCCCCGTGCCCTCCAGGGCCTCAGTGGTGTGTCTGGGCTCATAGTGACCAGACCGTGAACCCACCCAGGCGCTGAGACAGGCCCATGGCTCTGAGCCCCGCCGCAGGGAATCACCTCCACTTACTGCCTGACCCAGCTGCAGAGGATGCAGGCCCTGGAGAGAGAGCAGGATGCCCTGTGGCAGGGGCTGGAGCTGCTGGAGCACGGGCCAGGCCTGGTTCCAAGACCGTCTGAACTGAGGGAGGCTCAGCGACAGACAGCAGCTTTTCTGGGGGCCCCGGGAGAAGTAGGGGCTGCCCCTGTGGGGATGAGGAGCAGCGCGTGGGGGTGCTCTGGGGAGGGGAGGGTTAACAGCAGGGGCATCACAAATGGACGCCACCAGCGGAATGACAGGACACTGCCTGGTGCTAGGCTGGTGTTCACTGGGGCAGAAGGAGGCTGGTCCGTCCCACTCAGAGGGACAGACTAGGATCATCCTGGCCGGGGAGGCCCAGCAAGGGCAGGGAACTGCAGGGTCAGCTCGGGGCCCAGATAAGGAGAGGGGTGGTCAGCCTTCAATGCCTCCTTTAGAATTTCCTATGATTCACACCCAGAGCCCGGCGGCCCCCAGTTAGCCCAGATTCACAAGGTGAATGTCTGTTTGCAGAATCTGATCCAAGGGAAAGTGAGTTTATTATTTTTAGTTTAGGCTTTTAGGAAATGGGGAGGGGGTGTTGGGGTCAGTGGTAGTTTAACAGAAAACATAGTGTGAATTCTCTCCCCCCCCCCCTTGCCCACTGAACAAGGCTGGTTCCTGTGGAAGCCGGCACGGGAGGGAAAGGCCAGGGAGGCAGAGCCTAGGGCAGCTACAGGTAAACTCAGGGGTGGGGGGCAGAAGCCCTGGGCCCAGGGTGGGGAGAGCAAGATGCCCCGGCTGTCTCCCTGTTGTCCAGGAGATGTCGAGGCAGCAGAGAGAAGCCACCCAGCTGGGCTGCGCCCTGGGCTGGGCCGAGGGGCCCCACCTTTGGGTGAACCCTCCTCTGGGTCCCTGGGTGTGGGCCGGGTAGGCCGAGTCAGGAAGAATTCCCTTCCTCACTCTGTGTCCTAATGCAACAGCCTCCTTACAGCAAAAAGTTTGTCTCCTGCTCCTGAAAACACATGCATCTCTCCAGCCTCATGCCTTACTCCCCTATCTGCTGTGCAGTGATCTTCCTGGCCCGCCCCGTAAGGCCTGTGTGTGATCCCAGCACTCTGGGAGGCTGAGGCGGGAGGAGTTCGACCCCAGCCCGGGCAACTCAGCAACTATCAAGACCTTGTTTCAAAATAAAAATATTTTTAAAGGGGTGGAGATGTAGCTCGGAGTGAAGGCCCTGGCAATAAATAAATAAGCAAATAAATAAATAAAATGACCTGAGAAGACATGCTCATGAAACTATCAGCTTTAAACACAAAAATAAAATAACAAAAAATAAATAAATAAAATAAAATAGAAGCTGCTTCAGAATTTATAGTAAAACAACTCTGTGACTAAGCACCCGGTGATGGCATGGTGATGCTCCAAAGCCACAGAGGGCGGCTTCCCCAGCCGCCAGGTCTCCAGTCTGCTTTCCGCCAGGTCTCCAGTCTGCTTTCCGCACAGGCGGGGAAGGCGCACTGCGGGACGCCCACCGCTCTCTCAACACCGCAGGCTTCCCTTTGCGCTTTCAGAAGGCGGCCGCTAGCGGGAGAGCAGGCGGAGCAGCAGCAGAGCGCCCCCGATGGCGCCCCAGCGGGGGCCCCCGGCCTGCCGCCCCGCAGCCCCGGCCCGAGGCCGCGGAGTCGGGGGCGAAGAGGCGCGAGCGGCCCCGGGCAGGGGCGCAGGAGGCCGCCGGGCTGCGCCCGCGCCTTCCTCCTCGGCCCTGCGCTCCTCGGCCCCGGCCCGCTCGGGGAAAGGCGGGGGCCTCACCTGGGAGCCCAGGGCCAGCACCACAAACCGGAGAAAGGCGTGGGTCGGGGGCGCCGGGCTGTCTTCGCGACCCACCGCGGACACAGTCACCAGCACCACGGAGTCGGGGGCCGCGCACTCCGGGACCTCCAGCCACAGGCGCCCCCAGGCGGACTCATTCAGCCCCAGACGGGCCCTGCCAAGGGGATTCAGTTGCTAGGCTGGAGCGAGCCGCCAAGGGGCGGAGCCAGTTCCGGGGCGGGGTCATGACTGCGGGCCAATCGGAAGGGTCCTGGGCGGGGCTTGGAGTGAAGCGAGCAGGCCACGCCCCCAACCCACAGGTGGCTCGGGAACCCGCAGGAGGGGCCAGGAGGGGGCCTCACCTGGACAGATTGGAGGTGAGGACGAAGCTAGGGTTGACGGAGGTCTTGAGGTCGAGATCCTGAGAGCCGGAGAAGCTGGCGACGCGGAGGCTGAGCGGGGCCTTGCTGCCCGGGGCCAAGAAACCTGGGGGTCCGCTGAGCTGCAGGCAAGGCGGGTCAGGGGAATAGCCGGTCCGACCTCTCCAGCCAGAGCTCGACTTCCCCCCAGTCTCACCTCCAGCAGGACGGGAGCCACGGTGCAAGGCTGGGGGGCAGCCCTGTGCAGGCCCTGCCCGCCTCCGTCCTGGCCTATCAGCTCCAGGGAGAAGGGGCCGGGGGCGGACAGCAGCGCTGGCGGCAGTGAGGCCGCGAGGAGACCTCGCTCTGGGGGGCCCTTGGGCTCCAGGGCCACCTGACCCAGCTTGGTGCCCTCTGGAACCCTTCGAAGGACGACGTGGGAGAAGTGCGGCGGAGGACCCCCAGGGTTGCCTCTGGAGCCCAGCCCGGTCACTTCCACTAGCAGCTGGGTCGGGAGCCCTGGACCCAGAGGGGATGGAGAACAGGGTTTGCATGAGATCCAGGGACACTGGGAGGAAAAGTGAACGACCTTGTCTTGAACGGGTGATGGTTACATGGGGAGATTACATGAACTCCATCAAGCCGTACACTCAAGTTCAGTGCTCTTTGCTCATAAAAAGATGCATACCTACAGGAGCAAAAATACGTACGTGCGCATGTACCTGTCTGCACTCACACACTTATATAATGAACGGCTGGTGCTGCTCGGGGAATAAACATACCTGCAACTGGCTGAGCCAGGGGGTAGAGGCCAGGGTGGGGTCCATCCTCCATGGGGATCCCAAAGTGGAAGAGGAAGTCGAGGCCGGTCTGGGCTGGGGGAGGAGGAGGGCAGAGACCCCGAGAGGAATGTGCCTGGCACTGCTCTCTGAGCCGAGGCTCTGCCGTCTGCCATCTCCCCCTTACCTTGCACTCTCAGCCGAGGGGCGCCCTCAGCTGTGACATGGATCTCCCACATCCCTGTCTGGGGGGGGTCCGTCACAGTCACCACCCAGAACTGGCCAAAGCGGCGAGTGTGACCTAGTAGACCCACACCTTCCTCGTGGTTCTGAGACTCCCCTGGGATGGGAACAAAAATTTGTCACATGAAACAATTTCCTTCCCTTAGCACATCCTCCCTCGTTTGCCATTCTCCAGGTTCCAGTTTTGTCTCTGCCTTGGAAGATACACAGATGTACCTGCAGGGCTCTTGATCCAGAAGCTGCTGATCTCCCCATGCATCCGGACAGTGAGCTTCCGGAGCAGCCCATCCACAATGAACACAGCTGCTCTCCCAGGAACCAAGACAGGAGGTTCCAGGGGAAGAGTCACCTTGGGAGATGAGCAGGACCAAAAATGGGGGAGAAGGTAAGGCATGGAATGAGGAATGAACAAAAGAAAAAGGTGCAGACAGTCACCAAGCCCACAAGGCCCAGTGAGGGTCGCAGGGCCGGGATGACCAGTTACTATGGTCATCGACAAAGCTGGAGGTGAGGATTCAGAGGGAAGCAGTCACCTCTTGTTCTCCCTTAAGAGATGGCAGGACTTCCTGTCATCACCCCGAGGACAGAGACCAGAGACTGTGAAGGAGCAGAGGTTAACTGATTTGAAAGGGCGGGGAGAGAACTTTCCTTTTCTACCCTTCTGACCAAAAGGAAATGCAGCACCCTTTCTCTTTTAAGAAGATAGAGGCAGCATCACACCCCTAGCTCTGAGCTGAGGGCACTCACCCCTTATGAAGTGTGATTGAAAAATATGGTGAATCTTTAAACTTTTTTCTTTTGTACTGGGGATTGAACTCGGGACCTTCTGCTTTTGAGGCAGGTGGTGGCACCACTGAGCTAAATCGCTGGCCCAAATCTTTAAACTTCTTAAAAATGTATAACAGTAAAAGACACATTGCCATTAATCCTCTTCAAAATACTCCCCCTGACTTTGAACACATTCATTCATCTTGCCATTCTTGCCACTTCCTGAAGCAGCTCTGAAATCTTCTTTTGTGAGCATCTTTCGCTGTGCTGCCACACGTGGCTGCCTCCATGTCCTGGAGAATTTAAAACATTTACCCTTCATGGTCACTTCGACTCGGGAAGAGCCAGGGGTCCTGTGGGGCTGGATCCAGTGAATGGGTGGATGGGGACACACAGTAATGGTTTTATGAGCTGCATTTCTCGGATGGCACTCGACAGCAGCACTGACTGGGCCTGGATCACACCTCGTAAAGAGTCACAAAAGAGGCCTTCAGGGATGACTAGAAAGGGCCAAGAACACCATGAGGTGTGTTCAAATCAAGGGAGAGTATTTTTGAGGGGAATTAATGGCAATTTATCTTTCACTGTAATAAAAAATTTTAAACCTAAATATTAGCGGTGTATTTTGTCACCTCATACTCACCAGAGCACCTATGCTGTCCCCAACAATGGCCGCTACGTCCCGAATGTGCTGATCTTTGGTGAAGATCACTTCTCCTCCTGACGAGAGGGCCACTGCTTCATATGGCTCAAACCGCAGAGGTGACAAGACCTCACGCCGAGTCCGACCCTGACCCCTCGATGGATCCTCCGTCACCAGGAAAGTCACCTGTGGTCAGAAGGCCACCCAATGCTGGGGGTGCCCGGGCGCCATCTACTGCTGTGAATGAGGATCGCTTGCTGCTCATGCTTCCGGCAGAGTTGAGGATTAGTGACAGCGTCTACACCCTGGCTTGGGGGCACCATCTCCCATCTGAGCTGCCTTGGCCCTGGTTAGCAGCGAGCCACCCTGGTAACCCTAAGCATCTTTCACAGCGGAGTCCTGGCAGTGGTTCTTCAAATGGTTTACTGGGCAGATTCAAATACGAATTCAGCACCACTAAGGGCAGGGCCTCCTACTCTTTTTTTTTTTTTGGTACCAGGGATCGAACTCTGGTCCTTAGCTTGTGAGGCAGGCGGCAGAACCACTGAGCTAAATCCCCGGCCCTAGGGCTTCCTACTCTTGAGTACTGTAGAAGTTATGACTGGGCTGGCTGCAGTGGCACACGCCCAGCTACTTGGGAGGCTGAGGCAGGAGGGCCACAAGTTCCCGACCACCGTGGGTGACTTCAAGCCCAGTCTCAAAATAAAAGGCTGAGATATAGCTCAGTGGCAGGGCCCTCCCTTAGCTTGCATGAGGCCTTTTGATCCCCACCATGATGTGAAGTGACTCAGGAGACTGTTGCCATGGGGTCCCTCCCATCCCTGCAGGGCCGAACCTGTTCTCCCTCCAGCCGTGCTCACCCTGCAGTGCCGCTCCTGGGTCAGGGACCCAATCCTGCTGGTGAGAAAGGCATCCTTGGGGGAGGCGTCCGTGAAGACAAAGATGTCTGAGAGTGGCGGGGTGTGCAGCAGGGCCAGCTGGCAGGGTGGGAAAGGACTGGTGTTAAACAGGGCCGTGGGCAGAGCCGGGAGCCCAGGCAGAGTACAAGGGAACAGGGCGCGGCAGCCTGGAGGGAGCTCGTGGAGCTAGGCTGAGGGGTGGGGCGCGGTTCCCTCTCTAGCTCCCCCTGGTGGCGGGCCCTGGAAAGGTCAGGGTGTGGGGAAGGCAGCGGAAGAGCTCAGACCTCCAGCGCCGACAGGCACATCTCAGGCTCGTCTCCACCCCCCAAGGCCTGGATCTCATTGAGTTGTTGCCAGAAGCTGTCAGGGTCACTGGCTGTGAAGACAGGGCCGAACCCTAGGCAGGGAAAGGAGGTTGAGATGAGTGCGGAAAAACCTCCCCTTTGCCAGGTCTGGTGGCACTTGGAAGGCTGAGGCAGGAGGATTGCCATGAGTTTGAGGCCAGCCTAGGCTACACAGTGAGACCCTGTTTCAAATAACCAGAAACGGGGGGGAGGCACTAAATGAATTGATTTTACGGATCTTAGAATAAGGTCTTCATTATTCATTGATTCATACCTTCATCAAACATGTAATAAGCCACTATGAGTTATCTGACAAACCAGACTCAAACCTTCCCTTTCGGGAATTCTCAGTCCTGGAGACATTCTGTGGGATCATCATGTCAACCCTGGGAGTCTGACACTGACCTACTTAGTGGGTGATGAAAATGAGGCGAGAGAGGGTAAATGCCCAGCCTAAGGGCACAGCGAGCCGGGGTGGCCGGGCCAGATCCCGCCAGATCCCCTGACTTCCAGTTCAGTCGGGGAAGGAAGTAGGACGAAACCACCCCGGACACTTCCTGGACGAACAGGCCCCCTATCTTCATCCCAATCTCGCTACAGGAAGTGCAGAGTCGAAAATAGCTTATAGTGGGCCGGGGATTTAGCTCAGTGGCACCGCGCCTGCCTTGTAAGCAGAAGGTCCTGTGTTTGATCCCTGGTACCAAAAACAGAAAAAAGAAAATAGCTTACATCATAGAAGCCTAAGAAAACAGAGGCTCTGAGATGGGTGTGGAGGCACAGGCCTGTAGTCCAGCACTCCAGGAGACTGAGGCAGGAGAATAGCAAGTTTGAGCCCAGCCTGGGTGACTTATCACCCTGCCTCAAAATAAAAAATAAGAATAGTACAAAGGCCCTGGATACATCCCCCAGTAAAACATAAAATAAATTTTAAAATTAAAAGAAAGGAAAGCAGAGGCTATGTACCTAAGCATGGATCACATTTTATTGGTTTGTTTTTGAGACAGGGTCTCAGGCTGGGAATGTAGCTCAGCAGTGCAGCATCTGCCTGAAACAGGGTCTCACTCTGTAGCTCAGGCTGGCCTCGAACTCATGGCAGTCCTCCTGCCTCAGCCTCCCAAGTGCTAGTATTACAGGCGTCCTCCACCATGCTGGGCTGGATCACACATTAGACTAACAGAAAAAGTGCTGGGGCCAGGGATTTAGCTGAGTGGTTCTACTGCCTGCCTTGCAAGTGCAAGGTCCCGAGTTCAATCCCTGGTACCAAAAAAAAAAAAAAGAAAAAGTGCTGAGGCAGGGATGTAGCTCAGTGCCTGCCTAGTAAGCACCAGGTCCTGAGTTCAATTCCCAATACCAAGAAAAAAAAAAGTGCTACCTTTTTTGGGTTTTGCCATTTTGGCCACTTGTTTTCTATGCGCACAGGGGCCCAGTAGAGGCCCGTGAAGAGCCACAGGAAGACTCACCATGGAAGTGGAGCCTCTAGGCCCATCTCCTCACTGAGGCCTGTGCCCCCCACCCAAGACTTTCCTTCCCTCCCCTTTCCTGGTACCATGACAGCTACCTGGGTCGTGGAAAGGCACTAGGACATAGTGGACGGGCTCCATGGGGCCACCTCGCCGCTGCTCCACGATGTGGCGAGCCTGGATCTTGGCAGCACTGATCTCCTCGCCCATACTGCCCGTGGTATCCAGGACAAAGCTGAGGCTGGAGGCCGGGGTGATGTCCAGCAGCCTGCGGAGCAGGGCGGAGACACCATGAAGCAACTGCATGGGGTCGTCCTCGGCCCCTGGTTTGTCAGGAAGCCACTCACCTGGAGAAGCCCTTGTCTCCCAGGTGGCCTCGCAGGAGGCTGAAGGCCTGGATGGAGGCCAGAAGGGCCAGCTTTGCAGCCTGCGGGTGCAGCGTGTGGTGGGGGGAGAAGCCCGGGGATGTGCTGTCCTTGTTGATGCCTCCCCGGGGCGGCTGGGAGCTGCTCCGGTCAAAATGGCCCCCATGGCTACATTTCCCTGGGTTGAGGAAAGAGATCTGGAGGGTGGACATCAAAAAGCCACTGCCTCCTAAGGAAATGGGGCCCTTTCTGACCTGGCATGACCCTCTCATCCCCCAGCAAAGGATCAGCACGAAATGACATTGTGTGGTAGAAAATCCAGAGTAAATCTGGAGGTGTCGGTCGCCACAGCACGTGGTGGCCTCCAAAGCTGCCCATGGGTAACAGAAATCCTGTGAGCAGAATAGGAAGCTGCTCCCCACCGAACGCACCCAGCCTCCTCAGCGGGCCTCCATCCACCCCCACCACTCCCAGCATCCTCTTCTCCTGGTCAGAGATGCCACGGCAGGTGGAACAAGGGCTGACAGGACTGAGACCCTATGTAAGTGATCAAAGAAAGTGACGTTCTCCCCTGCTAGTGGGGAGGAGCACTTTCCCACCTGGTACCTGGAGGTTTGGGGGAATGAATTCCAAAGTAGCCGGAAGTGAGCAGAGTAGAACCCAGCAAATTCCCAGGGCAGCTCATCTCCCCACAATCAGAGCAGGTAGCATCATGCACTGGGAAGAGAGGGCAGGGGCTAGAACAAACCCCAGGGATTTTACCTGTCCTCCCAGCATCTGCAGCCTTTCCTCCCGCCACAACAGTGACAGCCCACAGCTTCCTGGCAAGCCCTTCCGAGCCCAACCCTGGAGTTCTGGGGCTGGCAGTGGGGGTGGCTGTTTGAGACTAGGACTGTACAAGAAAAGCCCAGAAATGTTTGGATCTACCCTACAAGGATTTTGCCCTCTGTGAGCTGCAGACAGGAAGTGAACTTGTGGTGGACCGGAAGCGGCTTCCAAGTCCTGGTTTAGGTGAGAGGATGAGGGGACTGAGAGAAAGAAGTGGGAGCCGGCGGGGCGGGGTGGGGTGGGGGTCTGAGGCCCAGAGCCTGGGTTTTGACTTCTCCCCGGGTGACCGGGCCTGCTGTTGGACTAGGACTGACTTCCGGAGATGAAGACACGTCCTATGCGACGTGACCACAGGACGGGCCACAGTAGCGGGCGGGCTGAGCAGAGGTGGCTGCGCGGGCTCCCCACCCTCCCAGGCCACAGCTGTACCTTGTGCCAGGCTCCAGAGCTCCTGCCTCCTGGGCCAGAGGAGGTGAGGGTGTGGCCGCTGCTTCCCCAGCTCCACCCAGTTGCTGTGACTGTAGAAATCCTGGGCCCCAGGGGGAGAAGGAGGAACAGGCAGGGACAGAGCTGGTCTGCCGCCTCTCACCGCCACCGCTGCCAGAGACCCAAGTCCCCTCCCTTTCTCTGTCCCTCGCCCAGCACAGAGCTCTGCCCACGTGAGAATCCTCCCATCTCCAAGGGCCCAGGACCCTGCCGCCTTCCCCTCTCTGCTTTCCTTCTTTCTAGCCACCACCATGGCCTACTGCTGTCCCCACCAGAAGGAAGGCTGCCCGTGTGGTGGTGCCTCGGGTGCTGGCTAGCAGGGCCCATCCCTCTGGAGCAGGGGCGGGCTGGCTGAGAGGCTGCCTTAGCTGGGGCTCCACCGGCCATCACCCTACTCCCGCTCACCTGCAAGGCGTGCAGTGCGGCCCCGAGGCGCCAGCGGGCCAGCGTGTGCTCCAGGGCTCTGGCTGCCGCCAGGGTCTCCTGCAGAGCCCCCGCCAGTCGCTCGCGTGCCTGGCCCAGCCGCTCTGCATCAAAGTGCAGGTCAGGGTCATTCTTGGAAGCTGCCAGGAAGTCCTGAGCTGCATTGGCACGGGCCACCTCTCCTAGGGCTGCTCGGAACCGCCGGGAAGGAGACCCAGGTCCAAAGTATGCAGCAAAGAGGTCATCGGCGAGGAGGGTGCGGCCCTGGCAAGAATGGTGGGGGCAGAGACCCCTCGGATGGGACCGTTGCCCATCTTACCCCACTCAAGGCTGGGACGGAGGGAACCAAGAGCGCTGGCCCCAGGAGGGCAGCCCTGTGCATCCCGAGTCCAGGACAAGGCCACTGCGCGCCATTGCTGTAGGGCAGTGGGGAGGTGAGCAGGTGGGAGGTGAGTGGCTCTCCTCCTTGTGGCTGGGGCAGGGGAGACCCAGTGCTCACCAGGAAGTCCTCGAGGCGAAGCGGGGGCCGAGCCGGGGGTGGCTGCTCCAGGAAGAGCTGCAGGGTGACATTTAGCGCAGCCTCTTCGGTCAGGTCCTGGTGGGTGACGGAGCCGGGGGCGGCCACAAGGCTCCAGATATTGGGGAAGAAGGCAGATGCGGGGGACAGCAGCAGCTGCGACAGCAGCAGCAGCACTGAGGGGCCCAGGTAGGACAGGGGCTCCTCCGCAGGGAGCATGGCTGGGACATGGACCAGGGGACAGGAGGCTCTCAAGGGAGGGGGAAGCAGCAACTCCAGGGCAGGCCTGGCTGTTCGTCCACATGGGCACCTCCTCGGCCGCCTCCTTTGCTCCAGCCTGGCTCCTCCTCCGTCCCCCAGACAACCTGAAGGCCTTCTCAGGCCAGGAGGGACAGACGCACACCTTCCAGGACAGGGGTCCAAGGCCCCGCCCGGCCCCTCCCAGGGACTCCCTCACACAGAGGAAGGGGTCTCCTCCGGGGCCTCTCCCCTACCTGGCTGCTGGGTCTCCCCGGCAGGGCCGGCCGGGTGGCGTCACAGGGCACTTAGGTCAGAGCTATAATTAACCAGGCCTCAGTGGAGGGGAAAGGCTGCCTAGCAAGGGGGCAGGACAGGCAGCCCCTGGCCCTCCACCCATGCCTGCCCCGGCCACAAGCAGCGGGCGGCTGGGCGGGCTCACCCGAGCTGCAGTGCGGAGGTGAGGCGCTGGGGAGGAGCTGGGAGGGAGCTGAGGGGCGGACGGGCGGGCAGCGTGACTCAGGCCTGGCGCCGCGCCAGAGCCAGACCCAGGATGTGCGCCTCCGCCCACCAGCGCCCAGGGCTGGCCTCGGCCTGCAGCCCTGCTCTGGCTCAAACAGCCTCGAGGATTCAGGAGCCCAGGCCCCTGCACCCTTCCCACCCCACCACTGCACAGACAGACGAGTTTGTGGTGAAGTATTTTATTGCTGCTGTCCCTCAGGCGGACACTGGGGGCAGGAGGACTGGAGCTGGGCATCACAGCATCTTCTGGAACAGCACAATGGCCTCCTCCACCTTCCTGAGCTCTGCCTCTGTCTGCCTGAGCTGGGGTGGAATACGGGGGTAGGGTAAGGACCCAGTTCTGAGGAGACCCAAACACCCAGAAAGCAGAGAATCCAAGATCGCGAGGCCCAGGGATGGGAGTGTCACCCTGCCCACCTTTCTGTCCTCTCACCATGCCCCTGCTGCAGGGTCTCCCCCATCTCTCTTTTTTTTTTTTGGTACTGGGGATCGAACTCAGGACCTTGCACTAGGTAAATGCCCGGCCCTACCTGTCTTGAGTGATCAAAGCAAACCGCACGCTGCCTGGCACCCCCACCGCCGAGCAGGTGGGCACAGGCTGTCAGCTGTCGGGTGAGTCAGGTAAAACGGAAAATGGGAATGCTAGCACGGTCTACTACAGGAGGCACGGGTGTCAAACAAGGCGAACTGCTTCGGCACCAGGGAAGCGGCAGGAGGCGCTGCCCCAGGCTGCAGCCTGCACATGGTTCCAAGTCCCGGGCAGCTGGGTGGGCACAGGGACTGCCGGGGAGGGTGCCTGGCTCTAGGTCTGCCTGTCTCCAGCCGGCTGTGACCTCCTGCGCCTGGGCACAGGGAGGGGACTGCACGGCACTGCTCGGGGTGTGGGCGGTGGGCTCCCCGCACACTTCCGGGCCAGCAGCCTCAGGGCTGGTCTGAGGGGTGGCGGCAGGATGCCTCCTCACGGTGCTCACCTTGGCTCCGTCCGTCTCCTGGACCTCAAGGGGCACCTTGCCCGAGTAGCCCACGGCGGAGCGGCGCTCCCGCAGACGCTGGGCCTGGCGCCGCACCTCAGCCTGCTTGGCCTGCAGCTTGCCCAGCTCCCGGGCTGGGTCCACCAGGCCCTGCAGCTGCAGGTGGATGGAGCAGCGGTCAGACGCCAGGGCCACAGCACAGCCCTGGGGTGCAGGGGCCCCCAGGGCCAAGATGGTCACCACACCTGCACTGGCCAGTGCCTGCACGTGGCCAGACACCGCCAACGCCAGGGTGCCTGTGGCCTCGTCAGCCACTTCCAGGAAACCTGCAGGGGGGATGCGGTGAGGCCTGGCCCCAGACACAGGAGACCAGGCAGCCAGGCCAGACACCAGTTCCCAGAGTGGGCTGAGGCTCACAGTCAGGCCGGGTCCGGGTGAGGTTGTAGTCGGCACGCAGGGAGCGCACGGCTCGAGTGATGCTCAGCGCCAGCTCAAGGGCGGCTTCCGCCTCGGGGTCCTTCCAGGAGCACTGTGGGACGGAGAGGGCGTGAGGGAGCCCAGGAGGACAGAGCCCCCGCAGAGCCCACTCCAGACCAGGCCCTACCTCTGCGGGCTCCGGGTAGGGGGTGACGCAGAGGCTGGCAGGGGCCTGCGGGGTCCGCCGGGGCAGCCTCTGGAACAGCTCCTCTGTCACGAAGGGCATGAAGGGCGAGAGCAGCCGCAGGCCGACGTCCAGGCAGGTGTACAGCGTCTGGCGGGCACACTGGGCGGCCACCAGGTCCACCCCACTCAGGATGGGTTTCAGGCACTCCTGGAGAGGGGCACCAGGCTGAGTGTGGGGCTCGGGAAGGCGGCACCCCAGGGCCAAGAGGTCAGCTCCACCTGTGCCTTGCCCCCCTTGGCTTCTCCTCACCAAGTAGACGTCACAGAGCTCGTACAGCCAGAAGCTGTACTGGGCCGTGGTGATGGCTGGGAAATCGTAGGCCCGGAAGCCCTCATTGCTGAGCCTCACGGCCTCTGTCAGCCTGCTGAGGATCCAGCGGTCCAGCAGGCTCTCCTGGCCTCCAGGCTGGGGGAGAAGGGAGATCAGCCAGCAAGGCCTTCGCCCGCCGGGGGAGGGAGCCCAGGGCCCGGGGGTGGGAGCAGGGACAGGTCACCAGCCACCCTGGCGAAGAAGGACCCTGGTGTGGGTAACTGTGTGCCTGAGCTGCAGGGAGGTCCCTCGGGACGGGGAAGGGCTCCTGAGCCCCGGCTGCAGTTCTGGCACAACAGGGACTGTGCTGGATGCCTGTAGGGCCAGAGTGCAGCCTGCATGCGATCTGGCTGCCTTGCTGCCCACCAGGCCCTCACCGTGGGGGTAGGTGAGGGCACAAAGCCCTCCCCAAGGCCTCGGAGGGCAAACTTGGTGGCGTTCCAGAGCTTGTTGCAGAAGTGTCGATAACCCAGGATCCGGTTCACGTCCAGGTTGATGTCCCGACCTAGAAGCAGGGGACACGTGAATCTTCCCCATCCCCTGCCGGGGCCGCAGGAAGGCCAGGGCCGAGCACAGAGGCAAGCCTCAAGGGGGAGGCGGCGGACAGGGGCTTAGGGGGACCCACCTTGCGAGGTGTAGGCACAGAGGCCAAAGCGGAGGGCGTCCGTGCCACACTCAGGGATCCCAGCAGGGAAGTCAGCCTTCTACAGGAGGGGGGCATCCTCGTCAGCCCTGCCCCTCGCCCGGCCCCCAGGCCCCGCCCCTCATACCTGTCCTTCTTTAGCCTTCTCCACCTCGCTGGGGTCCAGGTTGCTGTTCAGCAACTGGTCGTGGAGGCCCTGAGGGTGGGAGTGGGGCAGTCAGGTGGTCGTGGCCGCAGCACCACCGCTGTCCCCAGCTGGCTCGCCGCCCAGCCTACCTGCAGGGAGACGCCATGGACAACATCCAGGGGGTCGATGACATTCCCCAGGGACTTGCTCATCTTCCGGCCGTGCGCATCCCTCACGATGGCGTGGAGGTAGACCTGTAGGGCAGGTGGCAGGAAGGCCACTGGGCCCGAGCCCCCCCTCCACGGGCCCCAGGTCGGGCCCGCTGTGGAGCTCAGGCCCCACCACGCATCCCCGCTGCCTGCTTGGCGCCCTTCTGTGAATCAGAAGCCCTCGGTGCCCTGTGAGGGGAGCACAGGAGCCACCCAGAGCTCTCGGGGCCTGGCGGGTCTGCCGCCCTCGCACCTCTCGGAAGGGCAGCCTGCCAGTGAGCTTCAGGCCCAGCATGACCATCCGGGCCACCCAGAAGAACAGGATGTCATGGCCGGTCTCCAGCAAGGTCCCCGGGTAGAACACGCTCAGGTCTTCTGACTGGGGACAGGGCGGGGCCAGGGCGGGGCGTAAAGGGGAGCCCGGCGGCCCTGAGGGCCCCGCCACAGCCCACCTGGGCCCGGGCACACACCTGGCTGGGCCAGCCGAGGATGGAGAAGGGGAAGAGGCCGGAGGAGAACCAGGTGTCCAACACGTCCTCATCTGGGGGGCCGGAGGCAGAGGTGACGATGGGGCGAAGTGCGCTCAGGGCCCGGCTCTGCCCTCCCGGCCACCCGGCCCCGCCCAGCCTTGCCTTGCTCCAGGGCAATCTTGTCCGGCGACACTGCGAACTCCCGGGCGGCCTTCTCCCGGGCCTCGGCCTTGCTGCGCCCGCTCACCCAGTAGCGGCCGTCGGGGTCCTGCCCGGCACAGGTGCACTGAGTCCCCACGGGGCCCCTGCCAAGGGCCCGGCCGCCCCGGGGTCCAGCCCGGGCCCCTCCTCACCTCCCCGGGGGGCACTGCCGGGTCATGGACGGTGACGAAGTAGGCGGGGATGCGATGGCCCCACCACAGCTGCCGGGAAATGCACCAGTCTCTGCAGGCGTGGGCGGGAGGGAGGGCGTCAGAGCCCCTGCCAGGGCCCGCAGTGCCCCATCCAGAGGGCCCCACGCCCCGCGCACCGGATATTGTCCATCCAGGAATGCCACGTCCGCTGATGGGCCTCGGGCAGGATGCGGAGCTCACCCCGGGTCACGGCCGCGCTGGCAGCCCGGGCCATCTCCCTACAGCGCACGTACCACTGCGGCCTCAGCAGAGGCTCCACCACGTCCTTGGAGCGGCTGGGGTGCGAGTGGGCAGGAGGCCAGGCATCAGTACCCTGAGGAGCTCCCCCCGGCCCCGGGGTCCCCCAACCTCACCTGCAGAGCGGCACCACCATGGGGTTGTCCTGCACGCCCCGGAACAGGCCTCGCTCCTTCAGGGCCGCCAGCACCACCTTCCTGGCCTCAAACCGGGGCAGGCCCTGGGTGGGAGAGCCCTCGTCACGGCAATGCCGGTGGCCCTAGCCCGGCTCCCCGCGCCCCACAGCCGGCAGCCTCACCAGGAAGGGAGGGGGCACGCCGACGAGGGCGCCACGGGAGTCCATGATGCTGACGGCCTCCAGCCGGTGCCGCTGCCCCAGCTCGAAGTCGTTCTGGTCGTGCGCAGGGGTGATCTTGACGGCGCCTGGGTGGGCGGGCACACGGAGTGCTGGGGTGCCGGGGACCCCGGAGCACCTTCCCACGCTCAGCCCAGGCTGAAGGATGTGCCCTGACCAACCCAGCCCCAGCCTCCTGAGAACCGGCTCTTTCTGAGACAGGTGGGCAGCCGACATGTGCTTTGTGCTTCCGGTCTCTTCCTCGCCCCCAGAGCAGCTCCCCGCTCACCTGTGCCAAACTCCATGTCCACAAAATCGTCAAAGACAATGGGGAGGCTCCGAGACAGGAACGGGTGGATCACGCTCTTTCCCTTCAGGTGCTTGGGACAGACGGAGAGGTCAGGAGCACACAGCAGGCCGGCCCGGTGGCTCCCCGCCGGGGCCCTGAGCGCCCACACCCCACCCTACTCCCAGGCCTGAGAGTGCCACCTGCAGGGCTGGGAGAGGAGCGAGTCGAAAGGCCAGCAGCGTCTGGCAGCTCCCTGGGGGCTCAGTCCCCAGCCCACTCGCACCCATGGCTGTGAGAGCCTTCCGGGCTGGCCGGCAATCCTTCCAGCTGGGGCCCTGGCCGCCCTACCCGGTATCTGGGATCTTCTGGGTGCACAGCCACTGCCACGTCTCCCAGCATGGTCTCAATCCGGGTTGTCGCCACCACCACCTCTTCGTCACTGTCTGGGGTAACAGAGGCCTCAGGGGCTCAGGCCTGGCCCTGCCCCACCCAGCCCAGAGACCTGGTGCCCCAGGCTCCTACCTGAGCCCTGGACCTTATAAGCAAAGGACACAAGGACCCCAAACTCCACCTTCTCCTTGTAGCCAGGCACAGAGAGAAGGGTGCGACCCGTCAACTCCTTCTTATCCACCTGCAGGAGGGGTATTTAGAGAGCTAGCTCTGGAGCAAGGGCTGGGGACAGACTGAGACAGAGGGGGGGGGGGCAGTGCACCTCGATGTCGGAGATGGCGGAGTTGAGGGTGCAGGACCAGTTGACCAGGCGCGTGCTGCGGTAGATGACGCCTTCCTCATGAAGACGGACAAAAGCCTCCGTTACGGCTGCTGACAGTTTCTAGGGTGGAGCAGGGACAAGTCAGAGAGCTGGGCTTGGGAGCCTGGAGGCTGAGGCAGACGCGCAAGGCGGCAAGGTCCAGGGAGGCCTGTCCTGCCAGTCCCCCAGATGCACACGGGGCTGCTCTGAGGGAGAAGTGCAGGTGACAAGCCTGTGTGATGCTGGGATGGTGAGGAGCCGGGGTCACGTGCTGGTGCAAGGCATCCTGGGAGCTCAGGTGCCATGGGAGGGGGAGGCCTAATCACGGAGAAATGTGGAGCCTTGGGGTGACTGAGGACAGAGGATGTGAAGGGCTACAACTGGGGTAGGAAGTGGCATTTGCAGCTAAGCCTTCAGGGTGTCCTAGGAGAGGGGTCACCTCCTAAGGGAAGGTCGAAACAGGGCTCCTCTGCTGAGCCCCGACCTGGGGAGCCTCCCATTCCCACCCCAGCCCAGAGACCCCGTCCTACGCACAGGGTCCATGGTGAAACAGGCTCGCTCCCAGTCCAGGGAGCTGCCAAGCTTCTTCAGCTGGTGGTAAATCCGGTCACCCTTCCTGCAAGGACAGACAGGCCGGGGCTGGAGCACATCGAGTGGCCAATGGGGCACCATGGGGATCACGCATACCTCTGAAACTGACCGCCCCGCAGCCAGGGTTAGGGGAGGTCGTTCCTGCACAGGGGACAGGAAAGGAGGCCACCGTGCCTGCTGCAGGCGCCCGCGAGGTCGCTGCCTACTCACTCCTCCTTCCACTTCCAGACCTCCTGCAGGAAGGCCTCACGCCCCAGCTGGTGCCGGCTCAGGCCCCGCTCCCGCCATAGCTTCTTCTCCACCACCACCTGGGTGGCGATGCCTGCATGGTCACAGCCTGGGTTCCACAAGGTGGTCTCGCCGCGCATGCGGTGCCTGGGGGAGGGCAGGAGAGCGAGGGTGAGCCAGGCCAGTGTCCAGCACTGGAAGAAGCAGGGGCTGCCAGGCAGGCAGTCATCGGATGCTCAGCAAAGAAAGGGGGTGGAGCTGGAAGCCTCCCGACCGGAAAGCCACAGGGAAGGGAGCCAGGAGAAGAGCCAGGCAAACTGGAAAAGGAAAGAGGAGGCTTTCGCCCAACTAGACAGTGAAAGGCATGAGAAAGTTATGAAGGTTAAAATAAGAAATGCCTAAGAACAAAGTCACAGACGAGGGCAACGAAACAGTGCCAGCAAACAGATGCAAACAAAATGAGCATTTGTGAAAGGTCACACACGCTGTCGGGAGGCCAAGAAGAAACTGTCCAGAAAGGCGTCCCACTTTGGGACAAGTCACTGTCTGGAGAAAACCTCCCTACTAGCTCACATTCACACGCAGAAGTTCGACCACAGTAAAGAAATCACCCTAAGAAAGCAGGACTGCATTCACAGGCTGGTGCCAGGCCAGTGTTTACCTAAACGTGGGAGGCCCTGGGCTCATCCTCAGCACTGCCAAAGAAACACACAACCAGGAAAGGAGAAACATTTGCAACAACAGGAGCAGGGCAACTCAGCAAATAAGCAACCCCATGATAAAAGAATGCGTTTAAAATATAAATAAGACAACCAAGTGGGGCGTGTGACTCAGTGGTAAGGGCAGGGTCCTGAGTTCAATTCTGAGAACCAAAACTAACTAACTAACTAACTAACTAAATAGTCAATACCCACAGCAGGTAAAAAAAATCTTCAATAAGCCAATTAAAAAAGAAAACAGCTAGGGCCGGGGATTTAGCTCAGTGGTTCCACCACCTGCCTTGAAAGCGCAAGGACCCGAGTTTGATCCCTGGTACCAAAAGAAAACAAAAAAGAAAACAGCTAGGCGTGTTGGTGCATACCTGTAATCCCAGCACTCTGGGAGACTGAAACAGGAGGATCACAAATTCGAGCCCAGTCTGGTCCACTTAGCAACTTAGCAAGACTTTGTCTCAAAGAACATAAAAAAGAAAAAATATATAAAAAAGGCTACTGCTTGATGGACAGGCCCTGGGTTCAATCCCCTACACCACAAAATAAGTAAATAAATCAACAGAAAAACGGGCCACAGAAAGGTACAGATAATTCACAAATGGGGAAACCCGACTGGCTGAGACATGGAAAGAGACACTGCTACCACAGTGGGTGGAAAATAAGAGAGGTATTAGACTGGCAAAACACAGACCGAGGAAGCCCAGGGTTGGCAAGGGTGGGGAAATAAACAGCCCCTCATTCGATTCATAAGGGACTCAAGCAGCTTCCTCAAGTCTCACATGGGCGAACCGTGGCAGCCCACCAAGGTTACTTCTTGGTAGCTGCACAAAAGAAACTTTCTACACACGCCTGAGCAAGGACGTACGGCACATGTGACAGGCTTCCATCAGAGGAAAATTAGGAATGACCATTAATTTAAAAAGCAATTCCGAGCCGGGGATCTAGCTCAGTGGTTCCACTGCCAGCCTCGAAAGTGCAAGGACCCGAGTTCAATCCCCAGTACCAAAAAAACAAAACAAAACATAAAAAATGTGATTCCACTATGGTACATCCATAGAGTGGAATACTGTGGCTCAATCAAAAAGAACAAAATCATTTTATGGGTAAGGACAAGGAAAGACCTCCAGGAGAAACTGATAGGCAAGGAAAAAAAGCTATAGAATGACATGCGTGATGTGAGCCCTTTCTATTAAAAAATGGAAAAGAAAAACTCACCTATGGAAAAATTATCCCCTCTCTACATTTGGGTACCTACATGTACTGGCACAGCGATTTAAAAGAAAAAAACAAAAAAGAGCCAAGCATGGTGGCGCAGTCCGTCAGTCCCAGCACTCAGGAGGCTGAGGCAGGAGGATCGCTGTGAGTTCCAAGCCAGCCTGGGCTATATAGTGAGTTCAAGGCCAGCCTGAACCACATAGCTTCAAAATAACAAAACGAAACTAAACCAAACTAAAGTTATTTTTATTAGAAGAAAAGGAAGAGGAAGGAGCCCGTGAGTGCGGTACATGATGAAGTAAGTCACCGGACTAGGTGAGGCGGCTGAAGGCCCCAATGAGAGAAATACAGCACCGCTAGGGGCAGAGCAGGACCGAGACAAGGGGCCGAAGCTCACCATCGGGTCAGGGAGTCCTGGATGGCGTTGGTGAGCGCGTGGCCCAGGTGCAGCGAGCCGGTCACGTTGGGGGGCGGGATGCAGAGCATGAAGACGCCCCGCGGATTTGGCGCGGACACGCTGGGGCGCTAGCGAGAGGACAGATGTGCTAAGGCTCAGTCACCCCGCTGGGGCCCAGGCCAGGGCCTTCGGCTCCACCCACACCCCAGGCAGCACACGCTCACCCCGTACTCTGGCTTGAAAAAGCCCTGCCGCTCCCACCACGGATACCAGGCAGCCTCCACGTACCGCGGGCTGTAGGAGTCGGGCATGGCACCACTCACGTCTGGGGACACAGGGGGGCTCAGCGCGGCCGGGCACCGGGGAGGTCAGGGACGGGGCTAGCGCGCAGCAGAAGGGGCTGACGCTCCCCGGCCCCTCCTACCTTTCTTCTCCCCAGGCGGGATGGGGATGTCATAGGTAATGACTCCAAGATCGCGCTTCTCCTTCTTCTCGGCTTTTGGTTTCTTCTGCTCAGAGAAGGTACAGGCCCAGGCATCAGGCACCCACCGTGGCCCCCAGCCTAGTCCGGCCCAGCCTCCGGCCCTCACCTCCCCTGGTGCTGGCTGCTGCTGCAGGATCCTCTGCTTCTGCTGGAATTTCTCCAGCTTCTCCCGTTTTTTTGCTTCCTTCTTGAGCTGAGCAGCTGTCTTTGGAGGTGCAGGGACCTCGGGGGCTGAAAAGAGGAATAAAAATTCACACTCCACACAGGGGCAGCTTGTTTCAGAAGGGCCCTTCCGGTTGGCAGAGTGCTGTCTTCCCCAATCCGCCAGGGCCGCCCCGGCCAACCCCAGGCCTGCCTACCTGGCTGCTGAGAGGAGGACCGAGTCCCCGAGAGCAGAGCCACTTCTCCCAGCACCGCCCGGAACTCTGGCTGCTGGACACACGTGCGAAACCAGCGAGTCACATTCCCCCAGATCTGGCGGGCAGAGGGCTCCAGCACCTGGGAGGGAAGAAAAGAGCAGCCTCAGCACCCTGCCCGAGGGAAGCGCCGTGGACCCTCCCCAGGCCCGGGACGCTCGGAACTCACGTATCGGAAAGGCAGCAGCAGGGCTGTCACGGCAGCCAGGTCGGCCAGGGAGGGCGCATCCCCCGCCAGGTAGGTGTGCAGCCTCAGCCACTCCTCCAGGGGCTGCAGGGCCTTCCCCAGGGCTCCCAGGGCAGCCTGGCCGGAAGGAAAAGGGCGTGAGATCACAGTGGCCCACTTGCGCCCTCCCAACCTATCCATCTGGCCTCTGTCCACTCCTACAGACCCCACCTGCAGGCCAGTTCCTTCTTCACTCAAGTGGTCTTCCCGGCGGGCGGGGGAGGCCTGCTCGCTGCCAGAGCCCCTGCTTAGCCCTGAGTTCCGTCCCCAACACCTAATATATGTGGGAATCTATGTGCTTGTGAGTGTGTACATGTGCATAACACACATCTAACCCGTCCCTACTGGACGTGACTTCATGTATCAGACGAAACACACTGAGCAGGAACGTTGAGAGTAACGATTCGCTGAGGCAAGGTAGGAACTGCCAAGTCCTCAACAAGCACAAACAAGCAATAAACAAATATACAATGCACTGCTTTTTTTTTCTTAACCCCAATAGAGAAAATAAGCAGGCCTGGGTTACAGGATTTCTAAGAAAGAGGGGACTATTTTGGGTAGGGTGACACATATTCATTCATGTGTTCCCTGGAGAAGCTCAGTACGCACACACTCTCACTACTCTGCAGGTGTTGAGGAGCCCCAGGGACAGCTCCCTCTGGAAGGATGTTCAGGGATGGTCTGGCATCAGGGCTCTCTCTTCTTCACTTCCCTTTCTCCCCATTCCACTTGTCTACCTGGTCGCAGCACCTGTAATCTCCCTCTCACTCAGTCTTTTCCTGCATTCAAAGTAATCTCTACAGTGGGCATAGTGGTGTAAGCCTATAATCTCAGCACTTGGGAGGCTGAGGCAGGAGGCTCGATGTGTGTTCGAGGCCATCCTGAACTACACACCAAGACCCTGTCTCAAAAGAAAGAAAGAAAAAGAACACCTCAAAGTAACTTCTATCTTCATCGGTTTCAGACTTGCCAAACTTTTACTCCTTTACTTAGTCTTTAAAACGGATTTAGCTCAATGGTTTCACCCCCTGCTGCACAAGCACAAGGACCCGAATTCGATCCCCGGTACCAAAAAAACCCCCAAAAAACAAATGCTCCACCGGATTACATGCTCTGCACACCTTTTAATCTCATTACATCTGTGAGGCATGTATTACGTCAGCCTGCAATTTCATAGTCGTAGGAAGACCAAAGCTCAAGAGAATTTTTTTAAAAAGTGCCCAAAGTTACCATACCAGTGACAACCTGGGACTTGACCAGTCGTGCCCTCCATCTGATAGGCTGTGGGGTCTCCCGATCCGCTCCAATCCTGGTTTCCCTCTCCATTTCCTGTTTCCCCCCTCCCACTCACCTGGGGGTCCTGGGCCGGGCTCCGGAGTCCCAGGGCCGGCAGCGTGGCCCCACAGGCCGCCGGTATGAGCTCCGTGTCGGCATAGCTCACCCACTGCTGCACGAGCACAGCTGCTCGGCTGCCCCCAGGGCCCCCCAGGCCCGCCGGCCACAGCAGCTGGGCCACAGCTGTGGCCCCCCACACCCAGAGCCCCCCGGGCCCCTGCTCCAAGGCCGGCAGGCGGGGTGGCGGGAAGGGCGTCCGGCTGGCCGGGGGCGGCTGAAGACAGATGCGGGGCTGCGCGCCGCCCCAGCCAGGCCCGTCCCCAGCCTCCCCGTACCGAGCCGCGATGAGGGCTCGGAGGCTGGGGAAGGCGTCCGGGTGCGGGGAGACGTACAGGATGGACATGGCTCTGCGGGGTCCGCGCGGGTGCAGACACCTGGGGAGGAGACGGGAAGGGAGCTGAGGGAGCGCGGAGTCCGGGACCCTCGTCGGGCTCCGCCGCACAGGCCAGGCCGCGCCTCGGAAGCCGAGCTCCTGGGCCGGACGCGGGGGCACCGGACGGGGCAGAGGGCCGGGGATCGCGGGGCTGGCGTGGGCCGTACTGGAGCGCGGGCCGGCCGGGACTGCTCAGCCTGTACCCACTCCGGTGGCGGCCGGCGGAGCTGTCGGCTCGCGCGGGACGGCGGGGGGCTCCGGGCGACCCTGGCTCCCGGCGACCGCCACCCGGCAGCCGGCGCCCACGTGCTCCCCTTTGTGACAGCGAGCGCTTCCGGCCGCGAGTCCTGGCGGGGCGGCCGAGCCCCTCCCTCGAGCCGGCCCGTAGGACGCGGGGACCTGGCGCTCCGCTCAGGCGCGCCGCGGGCACCCCGGGGTCCTCGGCGGGGCGCGGGGGTGGGTGGGGACTGGCTGGAGGGCGCGCGGCCCAGCGCGGCCGCGAGGTGGCGGCCGAGGATCTGTGAGGACCTCCCTGGTGCTGAGGGAAGGAGTTACTAAATCCTCCACACCACTTTCGTGCCTCGTTTGTGTTTTCTTGCACACTGGGGAATGTGATTCGGCCGATGCACGGAAATCTGGCGTTTTCAAGCCAGTGTGGCGGCGCACACCTGTAATCCCAGCACCTGGGAAGCTGAGGCAGGAGGATCTCGGTCGAGTTCAAGGCCAGCCTGGACTACATAGTGAGATCCTGTCTCAAAACCAGAGGCATTTTCATGTCTCCTAACAGTTACAGCAACAGAAGACCATGGCTGTAGAAAGAAGCCGCGCTGGGAAAGCGAGATGTAAGTCCAGCTGGGGAAGATACTGAGGGGCAGGCAGCTGGGAAGCTGGGTGGGAACCTTAGCCGAGGGATGGCTCGTACCAGGGCCTGGCTGAATTGAACCGCCTGCCCCAATCAGACACTGATCACCACTCAAATTTGCATAAATTTTATTCCCGATGCGGGACAGATTCCTTCCATCCCCAAAATGAGTAACAGGCTGCCTTGGGAAGACCTTGGGAACTCCCACCTTCTGGGGAAGGAGGGAGGGCAGATGCAGGCCAGGCCGGCTGTGGTCCCCTGCCCGCTTCTCCTCCCCTTCCAAGCAGAAGACGGCTCTTCCCATGACTCCGCTCAGACACACAACCCCTTAAAAAAAGAAAACAAAGACAAAACCCTCCAGTACTCGAGGAAGGGAAGGGTCCTAGCCAGGGGGCCACCGAGAGGGACAGGAGTGTCACTGCTTCTGCTGCAGGGCTTCCTTCCTCGCTGCGTCCTGCAGCAGCTGTGTGTCCACCTCGTCTGCGGGCAGCTGCACGTAGCGGACCACAGAGCCCCGGATGAAGCAGTTCTTCACAGACAGCTGGACAGACAGACAGACAATGCGCGGACGCCCTTTACAATGTCCTCACACACCAGGGGCCTCCTGCTTGCAAGTGTTTACCTGACCAACCCTGACTCACCATGTGAGGGTACTTCTCGGGGTCTGTGACACTGATGTCCGTTAGTTTAATGTTGAGATACTAAGAAAGAGGAAGGACGCCATCACTAACCCCAGGAGGGAGACAAGCACCCAGCCCTTCATTGTCCCTCTCTCCTTCCCTGAGACAGAGTCTGAGTCTTCGCGGTGTCTTACCTGGTCCACAGAATGGAGGGTTCCACAGATGCTGTCAAGGGCAAGAGGAGGGAAGAACCAATTAGCTGACACTAAGTCAACACAGGTGACTTCAGAGGAAGGATGGGAACACGGCTGGAGGACAAGGCCTTGGGGAAGCTAGAATAGCACAACCAAGAGACCCTCCCTTAAGCCCTGGTGGAGAAAAGACAGCTGGCAGGATGGTTTGTTATTTTAAACCCCACATCTTTCTTCCCTAAACCAACCCATTCTATTTTGTTTTGCTCATTGACAGGATCTTGTTGTGTAGCCCAGGCTGGCCTCAAAGTGGAGATCCTTCTGCTTCAGCTTCCTGAGAACCAACCCATTCTTTTTATATTCCAGTGCTGGGGATAGAAACCAGGGCCTTTGAAGCAAGCAACATCCCCAGCCCTTTTTTAATTTAATTTTTGAAACAGGGTCTCCTAAGTGGTCTGGGCTGGGCTTGAACTTGTGATCCTCCTGCCTCTGCCTTCTAGACTGCTGGGATCACAAGTGTGCGTCACCACTTGGCTAGTATTTGTAATCTTTACAGCCATTTCTCCAAAGGAGCTATCACCATGCAGGGACTTGCAAAGCTGTATAACTTGCCCAAGGCTAGAACTAATAAACAAGGGCATCATTCCAAGTCTGACTCCAAGAACTCTCAGCTATTTTTAAATATTTATTGCTCTGGAACCAGAGCCCATATGGAGATAAGGCCACTAGCATTATTCTTGATGGTGCAGGCACAAGCCACAGCCTCTGCAACACTACTGAGGAATGCTACGAAGACGCCAGTGCTCGGAGTCAGGCTGTCTCCCAGATTCGTTGCTGTCAGAGCTGTCAATGGCTCTGGCAATTTAAGTCTAACACCTTCGAATTTGGTGAGTTTTACTTCTTTCTTCTTCATGTTCCATGAATCTCCACTGATCTGCTGACTTGAAAACACTTCTGTAATTCCTTTTCTAGTCTGACTCTCACAAACCAAAGTGTAATTACTGTGCACCTCAACTCAGGCCAGCCTGCCACCCTGCCGGCAACTGTCCTGTAGGTCATGGTCAGGTTCTATCCTACAGGTCATTACCTTAGAATCATGGTTCGCAAACACGGATGTGTACTCAAAGGCTTCATGAATCCACAACAGACGAGGAAACAAAGCAAGTCCCTGATATGGCTAGTATTTAGATGTCCCTCCCAAAGCCTCATGCTTTTTCAGTGAAAATGCACTCTGGATGGCTGAATCTGGAGTGTGTGATGGATTCTTGGGAGGCTAGGCTGGAGGGCACCAGGATTAAGGGCATGAGTGCCACCAGTCCTAAGTAGTCTGAATAAGATAACGGGCACAAAGACGCTGCTAAGGCCCCTTTCTGCTTTTGCTCTCTTCTGGTTGCCATGAACTGTTTCTCCTCTGCCAGTCCTGTCTGCCATGGAGCAACCCAATTATGGACTGAAACCTCTACAAACTGTGAGCTACATAAACCTTCCCCCTTTAACTTTGGGTGTCGGGTCTTTTGTCTCAGTAATGAGAGAAAAGTAACTAAGACAGTCCCCAACTTACGAACATCCGGGTTGCGAATTTTCACAGGTGTACTGTTAAGACTCACTTTGTTGGACTTAGGAACGAGTCCAACTTACCAGCATTCTTCCAGAATGGAACTCATTTGTAAGTCAAGGACTTACTGTATAGGATAGTGAATACACACATGCTGTGCTAAAAATTATCAATAGTTTTTCCCAAGAATAATGGTTCTTTAATGCCCTATTTTGGGGGCGTATCAAAAAAAATATTGAGGGCCACGATTTAGCTCAGTAGTGCCACTGCCTTCCTCACAACCGCAAGATCCTGAGTTCAATCCCCAGTACCAAAAAAAAAAAAAATTTGAGCCAGGTGCAGTGATGCATACCAGTAATCCCTCCCCTTGGGAGAATGAGGAATGAAGATAACAAGTTCTAGGCTAGACTAGCAACCTAGCAAGACCTTGCCTCAAAAAAAGAAAAAAAGGTTTTAAAGGGCTAGGAATGTAGCTTAGTGGTACAGCATTTGCCTAGCAGTAAGCACAAGGCCCTGGGTTCAATCCCCAATACCAGAAAAAAACAAAAAACCTGCCTTAAATGATCACACTGAATGGCAGTTTTAAAAATGACTTATCTTGCCAAAAGTTTGCAGCTCTCTGTTGGACTTTTTTTTCTTTTTTCTTTCTTCTTTTATGCAGAGAGTAAAAACCCACAGCCTCACTCATGTTAAAGAAGTGTACTACCACAGATCTACGCCCTGCCCAGTCTTTGAAGTCTAGTGTCTGCCTCAGACCTACTGCCTGAGTGGTCTTACCATCCTCCTGGCTGCTAAAAACCTGACAGCATTTTCTGTCTGCAGCAGTGAAATAACTTTCAAGAACTGTATAGGAGCCAGGGATTTAGCTCAGTGGTGCTGCGCCTTCCTGGCAAGCCCAAGGTCCTGAGTTTGATTCCTGGTACCGGAAAAAACAAAACAAAAAGAAAGAATTGCATAGGACAGTGTCCTTTCAGTCAGTTTCCTAAGGAGGATAAATTTGGCACCAAAACCTCCATTCTACAATGTTCCAGCAAGTCATGTCCCTCTCCTCCTCATTTTCTTCTATGTCAGTGTTTCCGTGGCAAGAAATTACCTCCAACAGAAATGTGGAAAGTACCACTGTGGAGGAAATTCACTGATACAATCTTTCTAAAAGACAATCAGGCAACAAATGAAAGCATTTTAAATGTGCATTTCAGCTGGGCATGCAGGCCTGCAATCCCAGTTCTGGGTAGGTTAAGGTAGGAGGACCGCTGAGGCCAGCCTGGGCTACATAGTGAGTTCAAGGCCAACCTGAGCTACACAGCAAAACCCTGTCTCCAAAAAACCCAATAAAATACACTTAATTTAAAAAGTTTCTTTCCAAAGAAACAGCTGTATGTACAAAGATGTATAGGTGTATGTGTGCAGGGCCACGGGGTCTTCACACTAAGTTACATCCTTCCATCGCCTCTTTTTTTTAAAAGTAGGAGGGTCTTGCTAAATCGTCTAAGCTGGGCTTGAACTTGCAGTCCTCCTGCCTCAGACTTGAAGTGCTGGGAACACAGGTGCACTCTTTACATATTGCTTTGTATTTTATAATACACCACACAACTCCCCAGCTAATCTTTCAACTTAAGGCACAAGGCATTTATTTCTCTCTCCCAACGTGCCAACCCTCAAATATGTTATACCGATTCCCAGGCCCCTGGTCACACACTTCCTCCAGACTCCCTGGAACAGGTACCTACCTCAGGTCATTCTTGAGCTCCACGACCACATCCTTGCCCACAAGGGACTTGAAAAAGGAGTAGAAGAGCTATTGGGCAAGAGAGGGGAAACCATCACGCGGGAAGGGACCGGGACGCGCAGGGAGGAGCCCCCCACCCCCACCCCCACCCCGCCGCCCGCGCTCGCGGCGCTCCCTTGTGACGTCACGGTACCCACCATGGTGCCGGCACACGCGCTGCGCGCCGGGCGGGAAGGAAAGGGCCCGGTGTCGCCGCGGGCTGGAGGCCGGCCTATAACAGAGCCCGAGCTCACGCGTGGGGCGAGGAAGGCCCACGCAGGCGCAAGGGAAACGCCGCGGAGAGCCCCCAGACACGGACAAAAAGAGCGCGGCGGGCGGCGTGCAGAGCGCCGGTCACTGGCCTTGAAGCAGGAAGGGGGCGGGGATTTCTTCCCGACTTCCGGCTGCGCAGGCGCAGGCGAGCCGTGGTCAGGGCTTCACCTCGCAGCTTTTCGCTCTTGATTTTTAGGATGAGAAGCTTCTATCCTGCCAGATTTTTACTTTCTATTGATAGACCAATACTATACAATAAGACCGGCCCTTGCCTTGCCTCTGTGTTTTTTTCTTCCACAAAATGTTTTGTTCCAGAAATGTAAGTTTGTGCTGCTGGGCAGTGCTGCTACCCAATCAAAATGTTTTGTGACTGTTTGAACTGTGTGGCCTTTCAGGGATGTTCTGTTAAACTCTGGCCCCTCACAAGAATGTTAGGAGCTGGTGATTTAGGTCAGCGGCGCAGCTCCTGTGTCCTGAGTTCATCCCCGACCAGAAAAAAAAAAAAAGTTTTGTTAAACTCTGTCCCTTTTAAGAATGTTAAGCTCTGCCCCCTTGCGAGAAAGTTCTGTAACTCCGCCCCTCAACACAGCTTCTGTTTCAGGAATGTTCTGTAACTCCACCCCCTTCCCTCAGTGAGCATGCTCTTTCTACCCTGTAGATGCCTATGTAAGGATATTCTCCTTTCTGGTAGAGCATCTCAGACTTCAAGTACAAACTCTCTGAGCCTGTCCACTTACCATCGGATTCTCCAGTCTTCAGATTTCAATAGCTTAACTCAGAACTGTAACACTCAGCTGTGCCTCAGAGTTCTGGCACTTGGCTGTAGCCCTGAGTTGTTCCGCTTTGCCACAACACTATGACTGGACCATGCATAGTGTGTTTTGCTTACACCCTATACACCCTTCCTATTGGGAAGTATTAGGTAGTACGTACATGATAATTATGATTTGTGCACTTTGATAATCAAAAATACGAAGGGCCGGGGATGTAGCTCAGCAACACCATGCCTACCTGGCAAGCAGAAGGTCCTGAGTTTGATTCCCGGTTCAAAAAAAAAGATGTGAAGAGTTCCCCAAAATCGGGGAATCTAAGCATAAATCTTGATTTTTATCAAAGATTCCCACTAAATACATTTCTCCCAACCTTAGGCTCCATTTTGTTTAGTTTTTTGGTGCTGGGGATGAACCCAGGGCCTTAAGTACACTAAGTGTGTACTCTGCCACTAGTCTTAGTCTCTATATTAAAAAAATACTTTTACCCAGGACTGTCCTGTAAAGAGACTAAACACAGTGGCTTACCTACCGAGAGAAAGGACCCATTCCCCCTCCCTCAAGTACTGGGGATTGAACACAGACTTCACACTGAGCTACATCCCCAGCTCCTTTTTATTTCTTGAGACAAGGTCCTTAAATTGCCCAAGCTGAGCTTGAACTTGTGATCCTCCTGCCTCCTCCTCCCAGAGTGCTGGGGTTGCAGGCCTGTGCCACTACACCCAACTAGAAATGACACATTCTGATATATTTCCCTTACCAATATCTCCCTTAAATACGAAGGGGCACAAATGCACAGTTACCTATATGTTCATACTCCTGTCTCTCAGGGTTTTTTTTTTTTGGTACCAGGGATTGAACTCAGGTCCTTGTGCTTTTGAGGCAGGCAGCAGAACCACTGAGCTAAATCCTCGGCATCTCTTAGGTTTTTATGAATTTGTGAAATAAGAAATAAAAATGTGGGCTGGGGATTTAGCTCAGTGGCACCTTGTCTGCCTCCCAAGAGCAACGTCCTGAGTTTGATCCCCGGTACCAAAAAAAAGAAGAAGAAGAAGTAATAATGATTTTGTGGACTAAGACTGCAAAAGCCCTTCATTTCTCATCTTGCATAAAAGTACATTTGTCAGGGGTTTGTTTTAGAAATATTTTCTGCATATAAAGCATGAAATAACCCTGAAAGAGCACAGGTACTGATGTGGACCCCATCTACAGTGACATCAGGACATCAATGATGTCCGCCCAGCTGCATCCTAAACACTTAATTCAGATTATGGTTGGTTCTAAGCAGTAACCAGAGTTACCAAGAGCTCCATCCATACTAAAGGTGTCTGAGGACTGAGATTTTCCCATTTGAAACAATGAGCTAATGAAAATACTTTCCCCTTACCAATTTAATCATTCACAACCAGCTCACAGAGAGCACATGTTCTCTATTATCTGCCCTTCACTTCTCAAAGTACACTCATAGCCTAAAGATACCAGAAGTAATTTCCTTTAGGAACACATTTACGGAGTGACAACCATCCTTGCAGGAAGGAGGAAATTGCTGTGTCTGGAAATATATGAGACATTCCAAATCCCCAGATGGTTCAGAGGGGCCTAGTTTTCCTTAGAAAGTCCATTTTAGAGCCACAGACAGGATGTTGGAGTATGAAAGAATGATTTGTGAGACTTCTCCATCAGAATCCCAAAGGAAACTTAGGTTCAGGTCCAGTCAATCCAGGAATCATAAGAATGTTTGAAGAGGAAAGTATTAAAATTGACCTAGAAGCACCTTAGAACCCTCTAGTTCCAGAAAACATTAATCTACCTCTTGGATGGTAGGGCCGCCTGCTGCAGGCCTCCCGGGCGTGTACCCTGTTCCACACACAGGCCCAGTACATCCTCCCTGGTAGAGCTTTGTGATGATTGGATTACATATCCGTTCCAATTCTTTCCTCTTGTGGTCAAACTCATCTTTCTCAGCCATTTGATTGGCCTCCAGCCAGGAAAAGACCTCTTGGCATTTACTCAGCATTTTCTTTTTATTGGACTCACTAATCTTGCCCTTCAAACCATCATCACTTACAGCACTCTTCGTGTTATAAGCATAGGATTCTAAGGCATTTTTGGCAGCAATTTTCTCCCTTTGGGCCTCATCTTCAGCTTTATATTTTTCAGCTTCCAGAACCATGTGTTCGATCTCCTCCTTGCTCAGCCGGCCCTTGTCGTTGGTGATGGTGATCTTGTTGGCTTTGCCCGTGCTCTTGTCGGTGGCCGTGACGTTGAGGATGCCGTTGGCGTCAATGTCGAAGGTCACCTCGATCTGAGGGACTCCCCCGGGAGGAGGAGGTATTCCAGTCAGGTCAAAATGCCCCAGCAGGTTGTTGCCCTTCGTCATGGCCCGCTCGCCCTCGTACACCTGGATCAGCACCCCGGGCTGGTTGTCCGAGTAGGTGGTGAAGATTTGTGTCTGCTTGGTGGGGATGGTGGAGTTGCACTTGATCAGGATGGTCATCACACCCCCGGCCGTCTCCAGCGCCAGCGACAGGGGCGCCACGTCCAGCAGCAGCAGGTCCTGTACCTTTTCAGACTTGTCCCCCATCAAGATTGCTGCCTTTACTGCAGCCCCATAGGCCACTGCTTCATCAGGGTTGATGCTCTTGTTGAGATCACGGCCATTAAAATAGTCCTGAAGCAGCCTCTGTACCTTGGGGATGCGCATGGAGCCGCCCACTAAAACAGTGTCATGGATCTTAGCCTTATCCATCTTGGCATCCTGAAGAGCCTTTTCTACAGGCTCCAGTGTGCCCCTGAACAGGTCCGAGCACAGCTCCTCGAAGCGCGCCCGCGTGATGGACGTGTAGAAGTCGATGCCCTCGAACAGAGAGTCGATCTCCAGGCTGGCCTGCGTGCTGGACGACAGCGTCCTCTTGGCCCTCTCGCAGGCGGTGCGCAGCCGCCGCACGGCCCGCTTGTTCTGGCTGATGTCCTTCTTGTGCTTCCTCTTGAACTCCTCCACGAAGTGGCTCACGAGTCTGTTGTCGAAGTCCTCCCCGCCCAGGTGCATGTCGCCGGCCGTGGCCTTCACCTCAAAAATCCCGTCATCTATGGTCAGGATGGACATGTCAAAAGTGCCTCCACCAAGGTCAAAGATGAGGACGTGTCTCTCTCCCTGCCCTGCTTTATCCAGACCATAGGCGATGGCGGCTGCTGTGGGCTCATTTATGATTCTGAGCACATTGAATCCTGCAATCACACCCGTGTCCTTGGTGGCCTGGCACTGAGAGTCATTGAAATAGGCTGGCACGGTGATCACAGCATTGGTGATAGAGTGGCCCCAAAAGGCCTCTGCAGTCTCCTTCATCTTAGTCAGTACCATGGAAGAGATCTCCTCAGGGTAAAAAGCTTTATTCTCCCCTTTATAGGACACCACCACCTTGGGCTTGCCTCCTTCATTGATCATTTGAAAAGGCCAAAGTTTCATATCAGACTGCACAACAGGATCATTAAATTTCTGGCCAATCAGACGTTTGGCATCAAAGACAGTGTTCTGGGGATTCATGGCCACCTGGTTCTTGGCCACATCCCTGATCAGCCGCTCTGTGTCGGTGAACGCCACATAGCTGTGGGTGGTGCAGTTGCCCTGGTCGTTGGCGATGATCTCCACCTTGCCGTGCTGGAACACCCCCGCGCACGAGTAGGTGGTGCCCAGGTCGATGCCAATGGCCATTCCCTTAGTAGTAGTCATGGTTGTCTGGGGCCTGTGGAGAAAGAATAAGATACCATTTTGAAAGGGTGCTTTTTGATTTTCTTTTTCTTTTCTTTTTCTTTCTTTTTTTTTTTTGCAGTACCGGGGATGGAACTCAGGACCTTGTGCTTACGAGGCAGGCACAGTGCCACTGAGCTAAATTCCCCAGCCCTCAATTTTCGTTTTCTACTTAATAATAAATGATTTTATTTTAAAGTGTGCTGGTCAATTTTCAAATGCAAGAATATATAAATATAAGAATAAACATACCCAGGACCCTTTCAAGACAGGAAGTAGCCCTGGACAAAAAAGCCCACAAATGTCCTTTCTCTTTTTGTGATATTGGAGACTGAACTCAAGGCCTTCTCTCTGAGCTACAACTTCAGCCCTTTTGTCTTTTGCTTTGTTTTTTTGTTTTTTTACACAGGGTCCCACTAAGTTGCTAAACTGCCTGGGCTGAGCTCAAATTTACAATCCTCCTTCCTCACCCTCTGAGAGTGCTGGGATCACAGGCATGCACACGCCTTAGAATGCCTGGCTGGGCTTTGCATTTGCGTCCCTCCTGCTTTGGCCTCCTGAGTAGTTAGGAGGACAGGTATGAACCGCCATGCATACCTTGCCTCACTGTAGCTTGTTTGTTCATTGACAGTTCTGGGGCTCAAAAGCCCACAGCCTTTTGCTACTTATGACCTTCTACTGAGAGCTACACTGCCAGCCTGTAGCTTTTGTTTATCCCAGAGCACAGTGCTCCCTTCAGCAGCACATACATTACAAAGAACAAACCCTAAATTACATGCATAGTCTCCACATTCATGCATAATGTTTGTTTCAGGGTAATGTCAGTTGCTGTAGTGTTTCTCCGTGTGTCTCTGGTGTCCCCTGGGTGTCACTGTTGAAGAGGCTGGCCAAATGGCAGCACAGGGCAGGGGACACACACAGTCACCCCTGCTCAGTGTGGACACTGCTTCACAGGTTAGGCTAAAGCACCGAAACCAGTGCTGATCTTAGCTGATACTCATCCTGAAGTTGCACTCTTTCCAAACCGGAATGAATTTCTTCATGATTAATTATGTGAAGCTTTTGAAAGTTGTCAGGCATGTTCTGAGGAAGCACCTTGCCTTGGAGATAGGGGATCGTGGCTTTCGCCTCTGGAGAGGCTGCTTACACAACTTCTTTCTTCTGGGCCACCAAGAACTCATGAACGGCTCCTTCTGTGGCCTGAAGATGTGGCTTGTTTTGTATGCACCACCTGAGAAATAATCCTGACTGCTCTTGCTTCTAACATCTCCGACTGAACTACTCTCTGGCTCAGACCAGCTCACAATTTGTGTGCGTGTGTGTGTCTGCATGTGCGTCAGGTACTAGGGATTGAATCCAGAGTCTTTGAGCTGAGCTGTATCCCACTTCCCACACCCCCGCACCTTTTTTTTTTTTAATGAGACAAGTCTTGCTATGTATTCCAGGTTGGCCTTGAGCTCCCTTTGCAGCCCGAGCTGGCCACAAATTCGCTGTCCTCCTGCCTAGACTCTCAGAGTGCTGGGATTACAGGTGTGCACCAGCAGACCCAGCTTCATCATTGGTTTTTGTTCACCGTGTCATTCCATTCCTGTTTGTCTGGATTCGTGCGCACAAAACTCTGCACTTTCTGCCTCAGGCTTTCTTAAGGTGGCTTGGTGTTCACCTTGACCAGGCGGTTCTGGCATAATCTGTTAAAAAGGTCCCAGCTCTCAAGCTGCTCTGGAATGACAGCTGTGAGCTACAGGTCGCTGGTGAGGCCAGTTGATGCGCCCTCCAGGTCTGCTGCCTTAGGCTGCCCTGCTCTGCTGCCCCTGCACTTCAAGGAGACCAAATTCAGTTTTTCTTGGGGAAGAAGAGGCGCAGGACAGGGAGACAGAGGAGGAAAGTCCTAAGGAGACAGTGGCAGGGTGGACATGGCAGGTTCTGAGGCAGCGGAAATGGTTTGTCTTTTTTTTCGATGGCAAAATGCAAAATGTATTTTATCATCTTTCTTTCATTTTATCATCTTAACCATTCTGTTTCATTTGTAAAAAATGTTCATGGTGCTGGGGATGGAACCCAAGGCTTCATGCAGTCTAGGCAAGCGCCCTACCACTGAGCTACATCCCAGGCCCATCTTAACCGCCCCCCACTTTTTTTGAGATAGGATCTTGCAAACCTGAAACTAAACCCATTAAACAACTCCCCATTCATACTTCCTACCCCCCATCAATTTGACTACTCTTAGTACCTCATACATAATGGTACAATGGGTGAACAAAATATATAATGAATATTTAAATATTAAAAATATTGACCAGGCATGGTGGTACATGCCTGTAATTCTGACACTGGGGAGGCTGAGGAAGGACTGTCACAAGTTCAAGGGATACATAGTGAGTTCAAGGTCAGCCTGAACTACAAAGCGAGACCCTGTCCAAAACAAAAAATAAAATAAAACCAAAAAAATTGCATTAAAAGACATATTACCATTAATCCCCCTCAAAATATTCCCCCTCACTTTGAACACACTAATCTCATTATTCCTGGCATTTTCTGAATTCTGGAAGTCCTCTCTCATGTCTTTCTGGGATATGATTAAAATAATACATTGAGGGCCGGGGATTTAGCTCAGTGGTTCTGCTGCCTGCCTCGAAAGTACAATGTCCCGAGTTCAATCTCTAGTACCAAAAAAAAATACAGTGAATACTGCTGTCAAGTGCCATCTGATGCAAATGGGCAGGCTCATAAGGACATTTTGGTGTTGTGGTCCATCCACCTTCTTCACCATGTCAGGCATAGTGCCACTTCCATGTCTTCCCAAAGTCAAAATGACCATGAAAAGTAAAGGTTTTGAGTTAACTCAGGATACTGAGGTGGCCACAACAGCACAACTAAAGGGACTGACAGGTGGGTGTGTGTGGGGGTGTGCCTGTAATACCAGCACAGGGGAGGCTGGGGCAGGATGATCACCTGGAGTTCAAGGCCAGCCTGGGCTACATAACAAGACCATGTTTCAAAAAACAAAACAAAGCAAAAATAAAGGCACTGACAAGAGGACATCCAAACTCCTTCAGAAAGTGGCAAGAATGATGGAATAAGTGCCATCAACATGAGGGTATTTTGAGGGGGATTAATGGCAATTTTTTACTGTAGTATTTTTAAAAATGTAAACATTCACTGGTCAGGCTGAGGAAGGAGGATAACAAAGAAGGAAAGAGCCCAGCCTGAATAACTCACAGACTTAGACCTTGTTTCAAAAAGGAGGTGGGGTGTACCTCGGTGTGAAGGCCCTGTGTTCAATCCCCAGCACCACCAATTAAATACGTAAACTCTATTCTTCAATCACACCTCAAAAGGGACATTATACAATATTTGTCCTTTTGTGGCTTACTTCATTTAGCATAATGGTCTCAATTTTCATCTATGAGGCAGCATGTTTCAGAACTTCGTTCCTAAGGTTGAGTAGTGTTCGTGTATACCACCTTTTGGTTACTATCCATTTCTCCATAGACACCTGTGTTCTTTCCACCTGCCAGCTATTGTTGAGACAATGTTACGAACATCAATAAACAAACATATGGGAAGGAGCTTATTGGACACGATAGACCAAAGTACTCTCAGCTACTGAAAGGTGGCAGGGAGCTAGGTATATCCGATTCAAATGTCCTCCTCCTGTCTCTGATTTTATTGTATGATCATATCTGGCTGATGTTGAACTGAGATGACTTTCCTTTTTGAACTCCTTAAGAGACATTAACTTCCACTCTTGGGTTCTACTGCCTTTCCTACTCCTTCACTCTTAGGAATCCATGATTAAGGCCAGTCTGAGAATGGCTGCTACAAAACAGTCAGGGTCTCACAAGATTTTTCAGAGAGGGAGTTCTCTGTCCTTTCTTGTATACAACCTCTGCTGTCTGGAGCGAGTAACAGTCACAGGAGGGTTGCGGTCCCCCACCCACTTGGTGCCCACACCAGTAACCAGGGTGGACCCACACTTCTTTTTGGCTATGACCAATTCTGGCCACCTAGCTGCTCTCAAGGGTACACCTGCCACACCAGACTTAAACCAGCCAGGGAACTTTACAGGAATTTCACAAACAAGAACCTAACTCCTGGGCTTCCAGATTCCTCCCCAATTCCAAGCCGAGCCCTCCAGGCTGACCTGTTCACTGTCCGCCTTCGATCCAGTTTGGAAACTTGTAGATCCCGGAGCCCCTGCGACTGGGAACTCCCCAAACACCCAAACCCCACGGGCTGGCGCCCCCACCCCCGGCCCCGCCCGGCCCTCAGCTCTGAGCCGATCTGGTGCCGCTGCCCCATACTTAACCGGTCGGTGAGGCCAGAAACGACACAGCCATTGTAACGTGGCTGGAGGTGCGTCATTAGACACGCGAGGCCCTGCGGACTCTCCCGACCAGGGCCATATCGCCCTCCGGCCCCAAGCCCGTCCCCGAGACCTGCCCGTCCCGGGGTGCAGCAGCGGCTGCACAAGGAGGACAGACGCTGCGGCGGCTGGCCGGGGCCACCGTAATTCCGGGACGCTGCGGACCTTCTCTACCTAAAACCACTTGCTTACGCAACCGCTACTCTTGTAAAAACCCAGAGCCTCTATCCCAGATTTTCTGTCCAGGTTAGGGTAAAGATGGTGTTTTGTTTTGTTTTCGGTACCGAGGATCCAACGCGGGACCTTGAGCTTGCGAGGCAGGCGGCAGAACCACTGAGCTGAGTCCCGGGCCCTAGATTTGATATTTATTTATTTATTTATTTAAACTATACAGCACTTTCTCCGCGCATTCGTCAGCGGCGCCGTCCCCACCCCACCCGGCCTCCCGCGCAGGACACACCCTTCTCCTCCTCCAACTCCGGGACTGGGCCTTCTGGGGGTCCCCACCGTCACCTACACCGATTCACAGGAAACCGCCCAACAGCCCTCAGCCCCTCCAGCCCCTCAGCGCCGACTCTTCCGCCCCACTCCACACCGCCCAACTGCCCCAGGTCGCCATGGAGACCCAGGCACCCACTCCTCCCCCCCCGCCACGCCCTCCCCTTGCCCTTCGGGCTCCCGTCCACTCCAGCAAACCCCAGGAGCGTCTGGAGAGTTCTGAGAAGGGGCGGCGCCCTCGCCTCTGATTGGTCCAAGAAGGGCAAGGGGCAGGAACCGAGGCGAAATCCCTGGAAGGTTCCGGACCGCCAGCCCCAATGCGCACCGGTGATTGGCCTAGGGGCGAGTAGGCGGGGCTCGGGGACGACTTATAAAGGCGCAACGCGCAGCCAGCCGAGCAACCGCCGCCCCAGCAGCAGCCTGCCGGAGTTGTGGTTGGAGCGGTTGGCTTTCGGCTTTCGCCCCTCAGCAAGCAGCGAGCTTCTCGTCGCGCATCGCGTCCGCCGACCCGACCCTAGCGTGAGCCTGAGCGCGGAGCCGAGAGGGCAGGCGGCGACATGGCCAAGACCACGGCGATCGGCATCGACCTGGGCACCACCTACTCGTGCGTGGGGGTGTTCCAGCACGGCAAGGTGGAGATCATCGCCAACGACCAGGGCAACCGCACCACCCCCAGCTACGTGGCGTTCACCGACACGGAGCGGCTGATCGGGGACGCGGCCAAGAACCAGGTGGCGCTGAACCCGCAGAACACGGTGTTCGACGCGAAGCGGCTGATCGGCCGCAAGTTCGGCGACCCGGTGGTGCAGTCGGACATGAAGCACTGGCCCTTCCACGTGATCAGCGAGGGCGACAAGCCCAAGGTTCAGGTGAACTACAAGGGGGAGACGAAGGCCTTCTACCCCGAGGAGATCTCGTCCATGGTGCTGACGAAGATGAAGGAGATCGCCGAGGCGTATCTGGGCTACCCGGTGAGCAACGCGGTGATCACCGTGCCCGCCTACTTCAACGACTCGCAGCGCCAGGCCACGAAGGACGCGGGCGTGATCGCGGGGCTGAACGTGCTGCGGATCATCAACGAGCCCACGGCGGCCGCCATCGCCTACGGGCTGGACCGCACGGGCAAGGGCGAGCGCAACGTGCTCATCTTCGACCTGGGCGGGGGCACCTTCGACGTGTCCATCCTGACGATCGACGACGGCATCTTCGAGGTGAAGGCCACGGCGGGCGACACGCACCTGGGTGGGGAGGACTTCGACAACAGACTGGTGAGCCACTTCGTGGAGGAGTTCAAGAGGAAGCACAAGAAGGACATCAGCCAGAACAAGCGGGCCGTGCGGCGGCTGCGCACCGCCTGCGAGAGGGCCAAGAGGACGCTGTCGTCCAGCACGCAGGCCAGCCTGGAGATCGACTCTCTGTTCGAGGGCATCGACTTCTACACGTCCATCACGCGGGCGCGCTTCGAGGAGCTGTGCTCGGACCTGTTCCGCGGTACGCTGGAGCCCGTGGAGAAGGCCCTGCGGGACGCCAAGCTGGACAAGGCGCAGATCCACGACCTGGTGCTGGTGGGCGGCTCCACGCGGATCCCCAAGGTGCAGAAGCTGCTGCAGGACTTCTTCAACGGGCGCGACCTCAACAAGAGCATCAACCCCGACGAGGCGGTGGCCTACGGGGCGGCGGTGCAGGCGGCCGTCCTGATGGGGGACAAGTCCGAGAACGTGCAGGACCTGCTGCTACTGGACGTGGCGCCCCTGTCGCTGGGGCTGGAGACGGCGGGGGGCGTGATGACGGCGCTCATCAAGCGCAACTCCACCATCCCCACCAAGCAGACGCAGGTCTTCACCACCTACTCGGACAACCAGCCCGGGGTGCTGATCCAGGTGTACGAGGGCGAGCGGGCCATGACGAAGGACAACAACCTGCTGGGCCGCTTCGAGCTCAGCGGCATCCCCCCGGCGCCCCGCGGCGTGCCCCAGATCGAGGTGACCTTCGACATCGACGCCAACGGCATCCTCAACGTCACGGCCACCGACAAGAGCACGGGCAAAGCCAACAAGATCACCATCACCAACGACAAGGGCCGGCTGAGCAAGGAGGAGATCGAGCGCATGGTGCAGGAGGCCGAGCGCTACAAAGCCGAGGACGAGGGGCAGCGCGAGCGCGTGGCGGCCAAGAACGCGCTGGAGTCCTACGCCTTCAACATGAAGAGCGCCGTGCAGGACGAGGGCCTCAGGGGCAAGATCAGCGAGGCCGACAAGAAGAAGGTGCTGGACAAGTGCCAGGAGGTCATCTCCTGGCTGGACGCCAACACCCTGGCCGAGAGGGACGAGTTCGAGCACAAGAGGAAGGAGCTGGAGCAGGTGTGTAACCCGGTCATCAGCGGACTGTACCAGGGGGCGGGAGGCCCCGGGGCCGGAGGCTTCGGGGCGCAGGCGCCCAAGGCGGGGTCGGGCTCCGGCCCCACCATCGAGGAGGTGGATTAGGCCGGAGGGCCTCGCTCGCTCCTACCGTCCTTTCTGCGGGTCCCTTCCTCTGGGACCCGCGGGCTGCTGGGAGGGACTCCAGGGACCCTGCTGTTGCTTGATGTGCTGTGCAAGTCGAGGGCTCTGTGCTTGAGTGGGTTCTGAAGTTAAGTTACGGGCTGAGGGTGATGAGGCGGCATTTCTCACGCTTTTACGGTGTAAGTCACGTTATTTACCCAAGCGCAAGTTAGTGCTGTAAGGATGTTTTATTTTCTCCTCTGAAGCTGATCGGTACTGCCACCTTGTGTACAGTGTTTGCTTTGCAACAGGACAAAAGGCTAATTTTGATTTGTAATTCATTTAATTGTGAAAGTGCTTTAAATTTTCAGTAGACTGTACCAGGATTGGGTGGCGTGGGGACGGTTGCCCTGGGGCTCAGACCCCGGAGTGTGTTCTGGGTCGGCCTCCTCTATCGAGGTGTATATTAGACCATCCCTTTCTTAAGCCCTGTTCATGGTGTAGATGTTTGGGACTCAAGAGTTTAATGTTGATTGTATTACCTATTTGTATGTTTGTAAAGTTAAACTGAGTATTGTGTTGTTGAACTGTGGAATTTGCAGCCGAATTTCTACTGTCATTTTGTCCTTTTATTTTTTTGTATAGTCATTCTGAACCGAAGCCTGTTTTTATTGGTTTTTTAAAAAATAAATAAACTTTAAGATAATTTGACTGATGTCTGCCTGTTTTTATATTTTGAGGTGAGAAGAATGATGAGGGGCCGGGGATGTAGCTCAGTGGTTTCACCGCCTGCTGTGCAAGCGCAAGGACCCGAGTTTGATCCCCAGTACCCCCCCCCCCAAAAAAGAATGATAAAAGTTTAGGGTTTATGCTAGGAGTAGTACTGGGAGGCTCAGACAGGAGGATTGAAGAGTTTGAGGCCACCCTTGGCTAGATGGTAATCTTGAGGCCAGCTGCCACTACGTAGTTTAGTATTTGTTAATTTACAAAAGGGAATCAAGGAGCCAGGGATTTAGCTCAGTAAGGGAAAGGCCCCGAGTTCAGTCCCTGGTATCAAAAAAAAAAAAAAGGAATTGGGAAAACCTAGGTGCAGACTTTGCTGTCCTGCACTTATTTTCCTCGAAGTCCATCAAACCTTTCACTAAACAGTAGCTTTGGAGAAAATACATTATTAGGAGAAAGGCACACAGTGGTAGACCTTGCCTTCAAAGTTTGGAAATGGAAAGGAAATCTAAGCCGGTGTGGTGTCATATCCCAGCACTGGGAGGCTGAGACAGGAGTGAGTTGTAGGCCAGCCTCAGCTACATAGTGAGCTCAGTGTCATTCTGAGCTACACAGCAGGACCCTGTCTCAAATAAATTTTTATAATCTGAGATGCTAAAAAAGAAACAAAACTAAGATGCTTAGGTTTCAAGCCAATCAGCATAGACACATTTAACACTCATGGTAGCTGAACTGTGATGCTGTGGACTTTGCGCAGTGTAAATTAATCTTCGTGGGAATGTGCATCTGAATAAGATCTTTTCCTAAAACCACAGCAGCATTTGTGACTCACCTGCACACAACACAGTGAGTCTCTAAACCAGTAGCCAATACTCCTACTTTGGGATGAGGGTGGAGGGTAGGAGGTGGAAAAGGGGGAAATAGGAAAGGACCTGTCAAGTGCCTTTTGTAAGTGATAAGAGAAATTTCCAGAAATAACCTCGAACGGACAAAATAAGAGGGTTCCTATGACCACATCAGTCAATGTTTTTATAAGAAATCAATATGCAATTGCTTATCTGTGTACCCTGCCTAGCACAGAGTACTCTGAAATAGTTAAAAATACTAATTATAACTTCTAGATCACACTGGGGAAACCAGAATTAGCAAACTATGAAGTACCACTGGTGGAAGAAATGATATTTAGGTTAGCCAGAAAATTTTGAGGGAGAGGAAGAAAAATAATTGTAATATAGAAAGAATTTTTAAAATCCAGTATCTGTCCTGGGCTGGATGTGGATGGAGGCCCATGCCCATAATCCTGGTACTCTGGGAGGCCGAGGAAGGAAGGTCTCAAGTTCCAGCCCAGGCTGGAAAATTTGGCAACTCACCGAGACCCTGACTCAAAATAAAAAATAAAAAAGTTCTGAGGATGTGATTCCCTGGTTCAGTCCCCAGAACCACAAGGAGAAAAAAAAAAATCCCGATTCTGATCACCTCCTGCTTTCCTAGCCAGGTCTCAGAAATAGGAGGTAAGGTAAAGGGGCCCTGGTTCTAGAAACCAGAATATGGCTTTATATTGGTATATTTACTCCTGCTTTTTTTTTTTTCTGGTACTGGGAATTGAACTCAGGACCTTGCGCTTGCAAGGCAGGCACAGTGCCACCGAGCAACATCCCTGGCCCTATTCCTGGTCTTTTAAAAAGTATATTTCTAGGCCAGGGATTTAGCTCAGTGGTTACAGCGCCTGCCTCGCAAGCGCAAGGTCCCAAGTTTGATCCCCGGTACCAAAAACAAAAAAAAAGAAAAACAAAATAAAAAGTATATTTCTATTAGTATAGAAACATGCCTGCAGTATATAATGATGGGGGGGGCTATGCGGATTGAACGCAGGACCTTTCGCTTGCAAGGAGCCTGCCTTCGGCCATGCCTCATGCCTCACCTTGATGTCTCCACTTCGGTCCACTAGGCCTGCATGAGGCAGCTCAGCCGGAAGGAGCCACGCAGGCAGACCCTCGCCCTCGCCCAGCCCGTTATTCAGGCGGACCTCAGGGGCCCGGCACGGGCGTAATTCGGGGCGCCCCGCCAAGTCTGTCCCTTGTAGCCAGATCCAGAGCTGGGGGAGAGGGCGGCGTGGGCGGCGTGGGGCAGGGCCACGCGGTGGGGCGGCGGCACAGCCCAGGACCGAGTCGCTCCCGAGGACCTCAGACATGGTCCCCAGACGGCCCCGCGGGAGGAAGTGCGAGCCGAGAGAGAAGCCGGCGACTCCGTCCCGCGAGGCAATCCGCCCACACCGGGGCCGGCGGGGATCTCGTCTCCCCGCGTCCGGCCGCGCATCCGTCCTGCTTGGTGGGTGAAGTCACGAAACTCTCCTGAGTACCCCCGGACCGAGCAGCCAGGCCCCAGCTACGCGGAGGGCTGAGGCGGGGGTCACGGGAGCCCAGGAGTGGGAGATCAGCCTGAGCAATCAACACAGGGAGACTATTTCTAAAAGGTAAATAGCCGGGCGTTGTGGCGCACTCTTGTTATCCCAGCACTCGGGAGGCTGAGCCAGGAGGATCACTGAGAGTTCGAGGCCAGCCTGGGCTACATAGTGAGTCCAAGGTCGGCTTGCACTACAAAGTGAGACCCTGCCTCAAAATAAATAAATAAATAAACAAATAAATAATTTAAAAGGTAAATAGGTAAATAATTGGCTAGCATGAGAGAACCTGTAAGATTTCTCCTTTCACCCTTGGGGAGTCAAGGCCCAGCGGAAGCCCCACCCCTTCCTCCGTGCTCCGCCCCTTTCACCCCGCCCACCCTGTTTATTTCACTCCCCCCCTCACTCGCCCCGCCCCCGTCCCCGCCCCACCTGTCGCCGTCCATCAGGCGCAGGCGCCTTTGGCCGTATTGCTGGCTGAGCCTGGAGGTTTCTCGGGTTTTCTAGCCTGAAAGGGGGGAACCGCCCTGTTATTCTTAGGAACACCTCTCAACAAACAAACACCTCCCCCCAGTCTCCCAACCCCCAGCCCTGCCCTAGAACATCCAGCTGAGTCAAGACTCTATATTTAATATCCGGAAGATTCCGTTCCCAGTTTGCCATAGTAACGGGGCTCGTCCGCTTCACCCCGTCCGACAGGGCAGTCTGTTCCCGAGGAGCTGGAAGCGGGGAGAACGGCGCTCGGGGATGGGGCGGTCGCGGCCGCAGGAGGGTATCCTGGCCGGGCACGTACCTCACGGTGCCCCGGATGGTCGCGGAGGCCGGGCAGTCGCTCCTCACTTCTTCCGCTTGTTTCCTGTCGTTAGAGATGAGAACCATCATGCCGGGAGCCAATATGAAGAGAAGGGAGTGTGTGAGAGTTTGCAGGGCCAGTCACTGATTTATAATCTCCTGCCTGCTGGGTGGCTAGATGCTAGATCAAGCCGGTGACCACCCCCCACCCCTTTTTGGTACTGGGGATCGAACTCGGGTCCTTGCCCTTCAGAGGCAGGTGGCGGAACCACTGAGCTAAATCCAGGGCCAAGACCCCCCCCCCTTTTTTTGGTACCAGGGATTGAACTCGGGTCCTTGCGCTTGCGCAGCAGGCTGCGAAACCACTGAGCTAAATCCCCGACCCTAAAGATCGATTTTTTTTTTTTTTCCCCCGGTACCAGGGATTGAACTCAACACCTTGCATTTGCGCTCAGGTGCCAGAACCACTGAGCTAAATCCCCAACCCCAAGACCCCTTTTCATCCTGTGTGCCCCTCTTTGAGAAATGAAAAGGTTGTGTCCAAAGATCTTTCCACAGTTTTTACATTAAGCCGAAAAGTAATGCTATGGTTCTGGGCAGTGGTTCCCAGCCTCGAAGGAACCTCAGTAAGAATGACTAGGTCAGACCCAAGTGTGGGACCCCAGCAGAAAAGAGGAAGGGGCACAAATTCTGAGCACACACTGTGTAACCGGCACAGAGTAGCCTTTTTACCTCCCTTTACTAAGGATTGAACCCAGGGCCTTTATTGTGAGCTACATCCTCAGCCTTTTTTTTTTCTTTTTTGGTACTGGGGATCGAACTCGGGTCCTTGCGCTTGCAGGGCAGGCGGCGAAACCACTGAGCTAAATCCCCAGCCTGCCTTTTTTTTTTTTTTGGTACTAGGGATTGAACTCGGGACCTTGGGCTTGCGAGGCAGGTGGCAGAACCACTGAGCTAAATCCCCAGCCTGCCTTTTTTTTTTTTTTGGTACTAGGGATTGAACTCGGGACCTTGGGCTTGCGAGGCAGGTGGCAGAACCACTGAGCTAAATCCCCAGCCCTAAGTCCTTTTTTATTTCCAGATAAGGTCTCCCTAAATTGCCCGAGTTGGATTTGAACTTGTCCTACTGCTTCATCACCTCAGAGTGCTGAGGTTACAGGCATGGGTTACCATCCTGGGCTCATCTTATTAATTCTTTTTTGGGGGGGTACCAGGGTTTGAACTTCAGACCTTGCCATTGCGAGGCAGGTGACAGAACCACTGAGCTAAATTCCTGGCTCTATCTTATTGATTCTTTTTTTTATCTTATTAATTTTTGATGCTGCCGTCTTATGAAATCTTTTTAGACATGAGCACATAGAAACTTACATAATTTAGTCAACTTGTATAAGTACTTCATTGTTGAAAAGGAAAATGCCTTGCAAGGTGTACTGTGTAATGGCCAGTACCTGGGGTGGTGAAAGTATTCGACAGTTGAGTTGGGCGTTGGGCGTGGTGGTGCATGCCTGTAATTCCAGCACTTGGGAGACTGATGCAGGAGGATCACTGTGAGATCAAGGCCAGCCTGAACTGCATAGTGAGACCCTATCTCAAAAAAAAAAAAAAGAATTTGTCAAGGAACATAGAAAAATGATGTTTAGCTGGGTGTAGTGGCGCATGCCTGTAATCCCAGCACTGAGGAAGCTGAGGCAGGAGGATTGCTAAGAGTTTGAAGCTGGCCTGGGCTACATAGCGAGACTGTCTCAAAAAAAAAAAAAAAAAGGTGATGTTTATTGATTCACTGCAGGTTCCAAGA